TGTGTTTCATTCCCTTGGCGAACATCAGAAGGCTAAAGAATATTACGAGAAAGCACTTATCATCGCGATAGAAATTGGCGACAGAAATGGAGAAGGAACAAGGACCGGGAACCTTGGATCGGTGTTTTATTCCCTTAGCGATTTTCAGAAGGCCAAAGAATATTACGAGAAAGCACTTGCCATCATGATAGAAATTGGCGACAGAAAAGGAGAAGGAAGGATATACGGGAACCTCGGAGATGTGTTTGATCCCTTTGACGAAAATCAGAAGGCTAAAGAATATTACGAGAAAGCACTTGCCATCGCGATAGAAATCAGCGACAGAAATGGAGAAGCTGCAGGACACTTTAGGCTTGGATATTTTAATCATGATACGCTTCGAAAAAATCGAGAAGCTGAAAAACATTTCAACAAAGCAGTCGGCATCAGTATAGCAGTCAGTGACAGAAATCTAGAAGCCAGGGCTACTGCAAATTTGGCATCTGTCTTTTTTTCTGTGAGTGACCATCAGAAGGCAAAAGAACACTGTGAGAAGGCGCTTACCATCAGCAGAGAATGTGGTTGTAGAAGAGTCAGAGCAGAGATCTACCGAGGCGTTGGGGTAATATTCCTATTGCTTGGTGAATGTGACAAGGCAGAAAATTATTTAGAGAAAGCTCTCTCCATAAGCGGACAAATTGGAGACAAAATGTCTGAGTTTAACAGCCTTCGCTTTATTACAATGTTAAGGTTATCGCAGTCGGGGTATGTGGAGGCAGAGGAATATCTTTTCAAATGTATTGGAAAATACGAACAAATCAGAACTTTTCTGAAAGGGAACAGTGAATTCCAAATGTCTCTGTTAGAAGTACACGGTACTTTTCCCTACCGGTTACTCACTCGCTTGCTTTGCCGTACTGGAAAATTTCAAGATGCTCTCTATGCTGAAGAGCTAGGACGAGCAAGAGTCCTTGCAGAATTCATGGCAGAGAAGTACGCCGTGGAAAGTCACATCTCAGCTGATCCACAGTCATGGTCCGGAATTGAAAACATCGTGAAAAGAGAAAGTAACTGTGTTTCTTTGTACATTTCGTATGAAGAACGGAGAGTTCTTCTCTGGGTATTGAAAGCAAATGGAGAACTATGCTTTCGAGAAACAGACGAAGTGAAAGTAGACACTCTTATTGATGAGAAAGTTTGCGATCTGGAAGGAATTTTCAAAAAGAGCGCCACCGGCTTTGGCGTTTTACCCGCAGCAAACTGCGAGGATCGATCCTTGGATGACAACGTGAAGACATCTCTTCATGATGAGAGCCGAGAAAATTTGCCAGCTGACGAAACCAAAGATACCGAAAGAATTCATCATTTGTGCTACAAATGGATCATCGCTCCAGTGGCAGATTTACTTACAGAGCCCGAAATCATCATTGTGCCGGATCGTTTTTTGTACCGAGTCCCATTTGCTTTATTGCGTGATGAACCGGCCGGAAAGTACTTATCGGAGAAGTACAGAATACGCATTGTCCCTTCTCTGACGACTCTCCGGATCATACAAGAAAGTCCAGCGGACTACCACAGTCAAACAGATGCACTAGTTGTAGGTGATCCTACGGTCGGCGAAGTTTATTACGATGGACATCTCACTGACATTACACCATTGTTCTGTGCACGTAAGGAAGCAGAGATGGTTGGTGGACTGCTGGGCGTTCAGCCTTTGTTAGGAAGTCGCGCAACAAAGCAGGCGGTACTTCACGCAATACCTTCCGTGAGTCTGATACATCTTGCCGCACATGGAAATCCCAAAAGAGGGGAGATTGCCCTCTCTCCTCAACGTACTTCTAACATTACTCCACAAGAGGAAGACTACCTACTGACAATGCCCGAAATCCAAGGAGTGCAAGTGCGAGCTAAACTGGTAGTACTCAGCTGTTGTCACAGTGGGCGTGGCCTGGTTAAAAAGGAAGGAATTATTGGAATCGCTCGGGCATTCTTAGCATCCGGTGCACGTTCAGTGTTGGTTGCATCGTGGGCTGTAGAAGACGAAGCAACGGAGAAGCTCATGAAACATTTCTACAAACACCTTGTTCGTGGAGAAAGTGCCAGTGAATCTCTTCACCAGGCCGTTCAATGGTTGAGAACCAATGGTTTCCCCAAACCTCGCCAATGGGCTCCGTTTGTTTTGATGGGGGATAACGTGACATTTGATTTTACGAAAAAAGGGTAAGTCTGATTATAATGAGCAATTTTCTAAGATAAACTGATTAGCACGCTTAACTTGTTCAGTTTACCAGCTTATGGTCTTTTGTTTTTCGTTTTTTTTTGCTTCCATTCATTGTTAAGAAAAAGAAGTTGATGTTATCTTTGACGAATCGCTCTCTAAAATTGGCCTTGAATTAGAGTTTCTTTTGTATGCAATACACTCAGAAGTAATTACTCAAGGTCAGTGCGATGCTAAACGCTATGACGATGAAGGTGACTTGACAAGCTGAAAAAGTTAGCTTTATCTTTAATAAATCCAAAAAAAAATAATAACAATAACTTGACAATCTTAAGTCACTTTCGTATTAAGCATATGGTATGTTCGACAAGTTTGGATAATCATAACCAATGACATTGAAGAAGAAAGTAAATTCTTTTAATGGAAATCTGTTCCGTTTACTTTTAAGTTGAAATAGTGACAAATGTATAATACTTTTTTAGGAAAGAAGAACTCGAGGAGGACAACAACGAGGCGGAGAAGAAACAGAGTGACTACTGATTCTACAAAAAGATTCTTCTTCATGTACATTATCTTTAAAAGAACACTGGTATTATTTTGCGAAGACATTTTAAATTTTCTTTTTAAGTAAAGTAGTAGATTTTGCGTGCTTTTGTAAGCAGGGTTTAATCGAAAGCTAGCGGCAATGAAACCTGCAAATTCAGCCGTTTGATCTATTAAGTAGATCAATAGGGAACTACAATAAATTAGGAAGGGAAAATTGAACGCAGGAAATTTGCTTGATATTTTAAAATGTGACAATGTTGGAAAAGTTTCGTCAAAGCTAAAATTAATCCTTGATTTACATCACCATGATCTAGTTCTCAATTCTCCAGTAGCACGCAAACGTAATCGTCAAAGAGTGATAACATCTGTTCGCACGTGCAAGCGATGATAACATCACAAGTTAACGGAACAGGAAAAAAAAAGTGATCAAATACTAAAGAAACAATTAGATAGAAAAGAGAAGAAACAGTGTGGAGATTTTAACGTAAAAAAGACAGAAAAGAGAACAATGGGCCAGAAATTACCGCAAAAACCAAACAACGTAGGGAACAGCGCGCCACATGATAGTTTAACAGTTAAACGGAGAAGGGAACAAACAGTGTCCAATATCATGACTTAAAAGTATTATTAAGAAACAAAGATGAAAAGAGTAACGGTATGTAAATTGTTATAGTAAAATTAGGAAAAACCGATTGAACGAGAAACTAATGCAATAGTCAAATGGAATTGTTTGAACAGTTCGTGGGGTATTAAATTGACAATCAGCCAGCATTAAAAACAAAAGCAAAAAACAAGGCGCTAGATTCTAGCGCAAGAAACAAATATAAACTAGAACAAACAGAGGTAGATAGTAACTTGGAAATCAAACAGAGAAGAAAACAAGCAATGTGTTTGATTCTATCGCAATATTCAAACAAAGAAGAGAATGCATAAGATATGAAGGAAACAAACAGAGGAAAGGAAAAAAAAGCAGTGCGCAAAATATTTACAACAAACAAAAGGAAAGAGAACAACGCACAGGACAAAAACGTCAGATTGGAAAGAAAAGGAGCATTTGTTGCGCGAAAAATTGAAGTAAAACTCCATCAGAACTGGGAAGTGAAGAAACAGAGCGCAAGATGCTGATGTAACAAATATTAAAAACATAGGCATGCAAGGGGTAATTTTTTTGGTTGGGTGGGTTGAGGTGAGGCACTGTGTAACTGATGTTTTTATTTTTTGAAACTGAAGAAAAAGAACTACGAAAATGCTTCTTTACCTTAAGAGAGCGAGAAAAAAAACTTCCAATTTACCTAAAATAAACTAACTTACAGGTATTTTGTGGTCTATCGTATGTCTGCTGTCTAAATAATTGCAAGCAAAAATAAACTGCACTGGTGCTACATACCGTTGTCTCCTTCGCAGCCATTGTTTAGCCATGTCACGCAGTGCCCTCTCTCATTAAGGAGAAAGCGCATTTGCATGACGAGACCAAACAACAGTTTGAAAGGAGACTATGCTTGCTGCCAAAGTCCCCGTTGCGGGGGGACTAGGGTTAGATTTCATTGAACAGTTTAAAATTTTTGAGAGGGAATTTTGCAGGTGCCCCTAACGGGTTTCAGTAAAAGCTTGATATTCTGCTCTTTTCGCGCATAGTCAACGTGTCAAACGGACGTGTCCCAGGAACTGTTTCAACGATCATCGTGACTAATTTAATCATAGCTATACAAAAAGATGAAGTAGGTCAATTTTTAAACGCACTAGGGGGAGCTGCAATTGTTAGTGGATTGGATGACGGTTTAGACGTGCAGGCATCATATTTCCCAAGAAATTTCACATTTGATTGAAAATCCAAAACCACAAAACATAATATTTTGTCACAAGACTGCCTCAGGTGGTCTAGGAAGGCGGAAAGACCTTTTGACAAGACGTTTTGCAAGCGTTCTTTGCGCGACCCGACCCAAACCTCCGTCCTTTACGCGTTTACCCAAGCCTCTCTCGGGTTCTTTTCACTCGGCCGCTACTGTTGCACCGTTCATTATTTTGCTGAATGCTTGAAATAGGCGCAAGAGTTCTTTGATGTCATGTGTTAAGCAGTAGAGAGAAGATGTAGGATATGTAACTTATCTGCACACCACTACATGTCGAATGAAGACCAAACTATGGTGAGAAACTTACTACAGAATTCGCATAAGTTTCCATCCTAGACCCGGTTTAAGAAAACATTTAGTGATATTACACCACAGCGATGTTGGGTGTAGCTGAATAAATTTCATACCTCAGCAAGTTCTTCTTGTCATTTGTGTTACTTAGTAGCACAGACAACACGCTAGCGATGGTGTGTGCTGTAGCATCTGTCACGCTGTCATCCTGGAGCACAAACAACAGCTTGGGAACCAAACTGAGTCGCTGCATCAGTTCAGCATTCCTCACTGATTCACTGGTGATATAAATGCGTTCTATTAATGGAATTGCAACGAAGATACGGTGATCTGAAAGTTAGCCAGCTCGATTTCGAGTCGGGAGGTGCAGATTCGAACCCTATTCAGATCATGGTATTGTCTTCTTGAGCGTATCATTTTAAAACCTCTCACGGAGCCGACGATTGTCCGCTACAGAGTACGCTCATAAGGCAACCACTTGACTCTTAGATTCCTAGGAATGACCAGCATCTTATTTCTCCCTGCCCTATCAGCCCTCAATCACACATTAGGGTCACGAGAATAAAAGAAATGATAACTTACTAAAGAAGCTCTTGATCATTACACAAATTCTCCTTGTCGGCAACTTGGATTTGGATGAATTTTGATAATTGGATAAAATAAGTTAATGGATAGAATAACCTTAAAATCACTTCAGTGCATCAAGTGCAGTCCAACACGCCCCATAAAGAGACTTTCATTCCTTTGATAAAATAGTTGTAATAAATTATTAACAAACGTTTAAGGCAGAAAACGAAGAACTGTTTACCTTCCTGGGCCCAGGAGTTCCAGGAAATGTGAAAACAAGGACCGCTGTAGGTCTGCAGGCGCCTCACGCCACACCTGTGTTACGTTCAAAAAGTCACGCAGTCAGTAAATCAGGATCAATGTCAGTATGTGAGCAACTACGCGCCTACCCCTCCCCCTAACCAAACATTAACCCTTGATTGTTATCAGTCAGTCAACTCTCGTTGGGTTGGGGAAGAGTAGGTGCGCAGTTGCTCAGATACTGACATTGATCTGTACCTCACAACTCCACAAGGGAAAACAGCAACACTAACACGAGGCTAATTCATCTGGCCTCAGGTCAATAGTAGAAGATCAATTTGATTCTCGCGAGACAGGATGCACAACATAGAGCTCTTCTTTACTTCTTTCCTAGTGAAGTATCAACCCTTTCACCCCTAAGTGACTAACATCTAATTTCTCCTTACAGTATCAGCCCTGAATCGCGCATCAAGGTCGTGAGAATAAAGGAAATGATCACCAACTAAAGAAGCTCTTGATTGTTTAACAAATTCTCCTTGTCAGCACCTTAGGAAATGTATAGAGAACAGTATGGAGAACATACAAACTGATGTTGGGGTGCAAAGGCTTACTTGTCTTCCACAGAGCAAGTAAAGTTATCCATAGGATCATCACTTAAAAACCCTTTCTATTCACTCTTATTGATATTTTAGGTTATGGTTTATCATCACAGTATATTTTGTATTTTCCTTCCTGTTGCTAGTTTTAGAATTTTGAAGTTTCCTTCATTTTAATTCATTATCCATCTTGTCGGAAACAGCTAAAATATTTTACAAAGTTCCTTTCAAACTTTTTATCGGCATGACTATTCAAGATCGGGACAAACTATGCGACAGGTCTTAGTAGCAGATCGGTTTGTGCGCATTGCTTCCACAACAAGCTGCGATTCTTTTGTTGTAGCTATAATGCGCGCTAAAACTCGTTTGAATTCGTGCCACCTGTTTTGAAGGTTTTTAATTAGCCGCCAATTGAGAAATGGAACTAAGACGAGAAATTAAGACAGCATTGACAAAGATTTACAACCTTCATACTGCGAACTGTGTCTCGACCTTAAGTATGTCCAAGAATGGGTACAACTCTGTTGCAATATGCCATATCTTTTGTTTATTACCTCTAAATCACAGAGCAAATCTTTGAAAGCCACTCGGTTGGGGATGACAGATGATTCCCTGTCACTGTCTACTGTGCCAACCAAGGCAAACGTTAAATGAAGAATGTGAGTATTTAACAAATGTTTCTTTCTCCGGAGTAGCAACGCCAGGATCTGTAAAGAGATTTGAAAGCAATTTACCTCTTGCTTAAATTAAAGACATTAAAATTCTATCTTGCAATACCAGAGAAACCTAACCGAATATAGAAGAATCCTTGAGTTCTAATTGAAAAGAAGCAAAATGATTCAAAAGGAAATTGACTCGGAAGCCCTCTTGTACTGAAGAAATGCTTCAAAAATTGATCCAGGGTATTTTTGAAAACAAAGACACAGCAACTTTCAACTGAGTGTGAAAGTAAACCCTCGCGACTGAGCTGCTTTTACGTAAGGTCTTCTGACTACTGAGGAAAACGCGTGCCACCTTCTTAACCAATCAAATACAAGCACTACAATCCCCCACGACAAAGGCGTTCGCGTTTTCCCGCGCTTCAGGCGTTTGCGTGAGTTCTGAGTTCTCATTGGATCCTGTGACTACACGTGACTAGCTCTCTTTTGATTGGTCATTGTGATTATTTTGGTCGGGTTTTGCGACAATCAATCTACATGCACTCCAATAATTTCAAGAAATTTTCTTTTCCCTTGCGTAAGAGCATGCTGTAGTCGTTTTAGGACAAGAGCATACAACTTTTCAAAGCTAGATTTTCACAAATAGCTTATCTTCTTTGCAAACCGTACCTGGTAACCTCTGGTTCTTTCCATGTCTATTCTCGCCGATGGATTACTTCTCAAAACACAACTAAGAGCCTTAACAGACGCATATAGCCCTTCAACATTGGTTGCCATAGCTACCAAACCCAGCAGAGCAGATACACCACCAATGCATTCTATCAACTTGGAGACTGGGTCTGGACAGAACGTTCGCACACCGGAGCAACCAATGATCACTGCACCAATGGTCCGCGCAGAACCTTGGAGATGGGCAGCGGTGTTGTGTATCAGTCGTACTGGTGTGGTGTTATCATGGGTTGAGAGTCCAAGCTGAGAGCCATAAAACACCATCAAAAGGGAGTTTTACTTCTAAATTTCATTTACAAAAACAAGTTTGAGCTTGTCCATTTAAGAGTGGTACAAAGAGTCGTACTTTGTCCCACCCGGCCAACCGACTTAAAATATAAATAAAATACAATGGCAAGAATTTAGGGGCAGAACCAAACCTTGCAGGGTTGAGAGGAGATAGTTTAATCCAAGAAATAATCATCAACTAAAGAGGCTCTTGATTATTAAACAAATTCTCCTTGTCAGAGCCTTAGGAAATTATAGAGAACAGTATGGAGAATATGCATTCTAATGATAGGTTATAGAGTCAGGAAGATCTTACCTCTCTCGCTACAGCCTTAGTATCGCTCCTTCTGTAATGCTTTCTGATCTTCGCCAATGTGAGAACTGATTTTGCGTGCGCATGGATACCAAACATGACTTTGTCTTCACTAACAAGTGGTTCAACACCTTCAGCACCATACTGAGGATTAAAGAAAAACAAATTCAATTGATTTGGTTAACTTTGTTTAAGGGCTTATAACACACTCCTATCATTCCTCATGGTCAAAAGTAACTCATTTCATTGATACACGTACCACCGTGAGTTGCCCTTCAGGACACGGAGCCTGGAAACTACCGACATAGTTCGGCCCCAGTCTATACATCTCCTCAGCGGTTGCACCAGAAAGAGGCTCTTCTATGAGGTGGGTAGAGCCCAGTCTCCACAACAATCGGGAACATCTGCGGTAGCCTGGGTTGGGTGGGGTACCAAGATAGGCAGAAATGTAAGGAGCCACACTGACTACTGTGCCATCTGGACTGGCCGCGGCTGCCTGGATGTACTTTAACTAAAATAAGAATATTTCAAAACAATAGTTTAAATTTGTGCCATTTCTTAGGTTCAGCGAGGGCTTTACATCTCATCCAATTGGTCTTTTCATTAAAAACTTCAAACAAAGAAGTGAAAACTTTCTCAAAAGTGTGGAATAAAGAACACAATTTGGAGAAGTTAAAAATAATTCATTTCGCGGTAATATTCTCTACGACTGAGATGTCGATATTCATGCGTATTTTTCTAAGAAGCGACACACTATTTCGCCGCTTCGAGCTTTTTCATCAAGAAATAGCAGATTGAAACAGAATATCTCCTTATCAAAATTAAAATTTCTCACATAATAAAGACATTTTCAATTGAGTTTCGAAAGTAATCCCAGATTACATCGGTTTTGCTTTCCTTTTCTCTAGGATTGATCCAAAAAAAACTCGCTTTACTCTTTAGATCAATCAGATGCAAAACTATTACCAATCACGACTTGGTCGCCCGCGTTCAGTTTTCCCGCGCTTTAGGCGGTTTCCTTGTTATGACTTTAAGTTCTCATTGGCTCTTCGGGGTATTTTCTCGTCTTCTGATTGGTCGTTGTGATTGTATTTTGGTTTTGGTCGTAAGATACTCAATCGGAAAGCGCTCTACAGTAAAATACTACACTTACGCGACACGTGCTAACATGCTTCCCATCTACAAACAGAGCACACGTGCTGTTCCTTATCAAGGCTTTGTTTAACACAACCATCACGTGGTGCCACCGGCCTTCCTCTAACAGCTGATCGCTTAGGAACCTGGCCTCTGTGCGTTCACGTTCACGATGAGCCTGCATTACTGCTGACTCGGTACCTTCTGCACAACCACCCTCATCCGTACAAACCTGTCAAGAAGTGAACAAGTTTATTGAGATCGAATTGTTAAGGAGAAACAGTTGCGTGCATAGAGGTCAGAAACACCGGGGGAACAGATAGTGGTGACAACTTTCTTAGTGAGGGGGACGTCTTAGTTAATCCCTGTCACAAAGGGTTCAAACGAATCGACTAAACTTACCACTAGCATTCTGTCTTTAGCTGAGATGCTGATGCTCAAGCAGGGAACGCTTGGGATTTTCTCGCTTCCACCACGAAACTGCCGCATAATTGTCAACAGCCTGACTGGATGCTGGTCTTCTGTGGTGTCACTGTACTGATCAATACACACCCATGATACAAATGTCAATCCTGCCTGGGGGGGGAACACTCTCTCCCCCACCCCTACCCCTGGGACACTGCTCACGACTGCGGAAGGGGCCATCACAGAGCTTACAGTTGCTAGACCTGCTAAGGAATAATATATATGTCACATGTCGAACAATGACAAACGCGGTGTCGTAACAGTTAGCGCGCTGGACCGCGGGGCGTAAGGCCTGGGTTCAAGACCTGGCCGGGTCATTGTGTTATGTTTTGGGCAAACAAACACACTATCCCCATGCCTCTCTCCACCCAGGAGTATGGAGGGGTATTGGCGCACTAACAGGGTAGCCCGAACAAATGCTAAGGGTTGGGGGGGGGGGGTGGTAACCGGGGATGGACCAGCATATCCCATCCAGGGGGGAGGGTAGAGTAGCAATACATCCAGTCGCTTATGTTACAGAAACCATGATGGTTGGGACACTCAAAGGTGGCAATGTCTGTCCTTTAAATCTTGACAACTGTGTTTTGTTCCCGGCCAAAGGAATTTATTCTCCCGACCCAGTAAAACCAGAAGCAGCTCACCTGTGTAGACTTGCGGCGCAATGGCCGGCAAGAACAGACAACCAAACCCATCCACACTCATGTCAAACTCCACAAAAGATGGGCAATCTGTGGCACCATGCGCACGTGCATCTCTTGGGGTTGTCATGGAAACTACACACTTGACACGAGTGAGTGACACAGCACCCCCACCCTGGGTTCCACAAGATACTTCGTCATCATCATCCTTCTCAATATCTTCAACATCATCAGCTTCATCATTCAAAGCATTTGTTGGCTGATTTAACCCATCGCTTTCAATCTCCGAATGCTCTGGGAGATATTCTTCCATGCGTGAAAGTCTGCCTCTTAAGTCATCAAAACTAACTTCAGCTGCTTTAGGTGGGGTGTCTGTGGCACTATCAGCTGTGTCTGTGCTTTGCATTTTCTCGTCTTCAATGTCAGACACCTCTTCGATATTAGTCTCAGAATTTTTTCCTTCAGGTGATTGCTCTGCTGAGCTCTCGCTAACAGTTTCCTTCGTCTCCCCTTTCAAATCTAAAATGACCATATCCTCTCCTTGATCAATGGATGAAACTTCCTGCGCAGTGTTACCAATCGTGTCAATATCTACTCCGTCAACCTCCGCTGTTGGTATGTCTGAGGGCTGATCGTTGGTTTCCATAGTAACACGATACTGCTGGCCATAGGGAAGGCTCGTATCTAGATCGAGAGAATTTTCAAAAGAGCGTCGCGCAGAATTTCCTTTAGATCTTCTCGGTGGAGGTTGTGGCGGGGTATCTTCACTCTCTGATTTATCATCGTCATCATCATTGTCCTCGTCAGTGCAAGGAGGGTTAGGTGAAATGTTCGATTTATGAACTATCAGATACTCGTCCTCGTCAGAATTTGATTCCACATCAGACACTGATTCTGAGCTTGGTTGTATCATACTCAGCATCACATCTCTGAACGTCAGAGTATTTGAGTGTGAATCTGCATCAGAATGTCTCCTACTAACAATGTCGGAAACCTTTCTAGGGGTTCCTTCAGAGACTTTTCTCAAAGACTCGTTTAAATCTTGGCTTTCTCCTGTTTTGTCTTCAGGAATTTCCTCCAGAACAGTTCCGTCACTTCCTTCTTTAGCATCACTTGGTGCCTCCAGAGATTGACAATAAAGAGGGGAACCCAGTCTGAGAAAATCCCTACAATAAACAAAATATCGTAATATGCTAAACTCCGGAAATAGCTCTCTGATAGAAATACCATTCGGGCATATGGCAATGAATGAACTTTATTTCACCCCAGAGTAAGAAAAGAGGTTTTTAATACGATATCAAGAGGAAAGGAGATCTAGCTACCTGAAATTACCTCGGAGTTTAAGTCTACATCCTTGATGATTTGGGGGGGAATGCTTCGGTGAGTTCCAAGAGTAAAAAAATTAGTGAAAGTAAGAGCTAGTCCCACAAAATGCCAAGGGGGGAGGAGAGGGTGACCCTTCCATTCTATCACAGAGGAGGAGTAAGACTCTTAGTCACTTTATTCTACAAAAACCAAAATGTGCCTCGCAAAGGGTGGGGGGTGGGGTGGGGTGGGGGGGGGGGGCAGTAAGGATAGAGAGCAGACTTTACCTCTTTGTTATCTAGAACCAGGGGAGTATCCAGAAAATTTTGAGGAAGGGGGGGTCTAAAATCTGATTAAGTAAACACCTATCTTTATTTCAACACTAAAGCCTAAATAAGCTGAGAAATATTTCTTTCTGAGGAAACTTTTGATACTTCAAGTTGAGTAGTAATAAGCGATCCTTTTGTTTCATACAATTAGTAAAAATACACTAGGGTTTATGGAGGGGGGGGGGGTTGGGTCTGGATCCCAGCCCCTCCCCCTGGATTCATCTTAAATGGAAAAAAAATAAGTTTCAGACAAGTAGCGAAAATACACTAAAACGGGAGGGAGGGGGGTGGGGGGTGGTGGGTGGCTCTTGACTCCTAGAACCTTTTCCTGAATTCACCCCTGAGAAAAACGCTTTGTTTAAACCTACCTCAACACTGTAGGTGTCAAGGACTGGGAGGCCAGTCTTTCAAACATTCTTTGTAACGGTGCATGTAATGGATGTTCTTCTGTGACCAAAGCAGCCTCACATCTGTCAAGGATCTGCTGTGGCAGCCCTGCTTCACACATGACTTGCAGGTTGTGCTCACACTTCAAAAGATTCTGCAGATGACAAATCCAGTACAACTGTAGCTCTAAGCATTCCTGCAAAACAAAACCAAAAGGTGTTCTCCTCATTCTTTAACCCATGTACAAAATTCCTTCAGTTGATCCGTTCAGGTAAGAGTGGTCTTGAAGAGCAGTGCTCCAAGTTGGAATCATTTTGGTCACCATGGCAAGTAGAAAAAAAATTGTAAATAGAATAAGAGAGATGGTGAGTTTTGAGCTCGGTAAAGAAATAGAGAAAGGTGTTTTTCATCTTTTCACAAGTGTGGGACAAAGAAAAAACTCTGAGTTCCCATGAGGAATCCAACCTCAGACCTTCAGATTCTGCTCTCTGATGCTCTACCACTGAGCCACAGACTCTACAGTCTGCACAACACGTGTTATATGAATTTGTCTCACACTCGTGACAAGAGGAATAACATTTGTCGATCAAATTGTAAACTGATGTTGCCAGTTAAGAAGGAGGCAATAACATTATCATTATTTAATTATTATGATCTTAAGTTAAAGACATTTGCGTAAAATATTTTTAGCACTCTGTTGATGCATTTTTCTTCTCAGTTGTCTTAGGTCTGTGTGTTTGATCTTGAGGTGTTGCACTAGCTTTAAAAAGCCATTGATGGCAATTTTAAAATGAAAATTACAAAAATTGCAACTTCTGTAAGGCAGTTGACAGTGAAAGTCCATGAGGTTTTGAAAATCTAAGCTTAGTTCATCCACAGAGTCAACCCTTACCTCTGATGTAGCAGTGCCATTCATTTTGGAAACAGCTGGAAGAAGATCAACGGCCGCTGTTACTGCACCACCATGATAAATATATGGAACACCAATACCATTTCTCCCTGTTTGTGTTCTGGATGAATCCACTGGTAAGATCCCACCACTCTTTAAACCAAATGAATCTGTAGCCATGTCAAAAAGGTTCTTGAACATCTCATTGGCTGCATACAGCACCGAAACTGGATCAAGATCCAAAGGGTCTTCAAAAACTAATGTCATTGATGATCGGACTGAGTCCGCACTCGCTCGTGGGGTCAGCGGTAGGTGTTGGAGTGATTGCGAAAATCGTCTCTCACAAAGTGTCCATTTCTTTTGTTCTTCACCCACACAATAAGGTGGAACATCAATGATGTCCATTGAAAAGCAACCCAGTAAGCGTATTGTGTCTGAAAGCCCTCGGAATCGGATCTTTACAAGTGAAAAACAACAAAAACAAATATCAAACCAACAACCTCTCCTTTTCTGGAAAATAGGCTTATATATTTGTTTCCAAATAAAAACTACTCACCGAGAAGGGAACAGTTTTCTGATAATCGACAAGCGAAATGATGCATTTTGTGTCATTCGTTCCTTCAAATACATTTCACAGCCAGCACAACAAAACATTTAAAAATAGCTTACCATCACAAACAGACCAGACTTTTCAGAGCGACTTAAACCCTTTATCTCCCATGAGTGACCAAGACAGAATTTCTCCTTACAATATTAATACAATATCAAGGAGACAAGTGATGATAATAAAGAAAAATATCAGTTAGGAGATTATAAGTTGATCCAATACCAAATTCTCCAAACTGACATCACAAGAACTGTATAGCAGACAGTAAGGAGAATTACTAGTGAGATCTTGGGAGTTAAAGGGTTAAAAACAAGCATTTTTGTTTCTTGTTCTGTCACAGCAGCAAAATGTTCTCCTAACTGGAATCAGCTATATGTTTAATGGATTATAATTGAGGATAGTCCATCCATTCCTAAAGTGGTGATCAGTATCATTAGATCCATTGAAAAAATTAGGAAATTTTACCTCATCCATGAAGTTCTTGTTGGCAGGATCATCTTGAATGGCAGCTGTCAAAACATGGAACACCGTCCGCAAGAGAACAAGAATCTGTTCCCGGTTAACTATGAGAATACATAGTAATTAACATCATGAATACAGAAGTTTTCTATTGAGTGTAAAAAACTGATATCTAATATCAGCAACCAATCAGAAAGGGATTTACATTATCATTAGCCAATGAGAACTCAAAGTGAAAACAAGCAAACTACTTGACGCACATGAAAACATGGGTGATAAAGTCAGAATTGTTTTCGGTTTTGCATCTGATTGGTTGAGGGGATAGTGAGTTTTCTAGATCGATCACCAAGTAAAGTTAAGAAACATCAAAGCAATCCTGAATCACTTTCAACATTCAATCAAAAACAAGTAAATTAAAACAAAAAACTGCTACAGGTTATGTCAAGTACCATCAGTCCATGCAGGATTTACAGGGTCAGCCAGACTTCCTTCCATGTTTATCAAGACAGACATGACGTACACAAATCCTCCAACTTCACGAAACACAGCTCTTGTTCTGGGATCAAGGTCAAACACTTTAAGCAGTGCATCTAACACATCAGTTTTAAGCTTCACCTCAGACAGCTGAGTTGAGTGCATCAAGCCAAGGAGAGTACCTAAAAGAAAAAAAATTATGTTAGTAAAGATTCCAAAGTTATTATTTTTTATGTTCTTAACAATCACAGCACTTCGCTTTTTCTAATAAATTACACAAAGGACATTGGGAAATGTGAGGACTCTCTTCTACCTCTGGAGAGAATCTTCATTCCCCTAGGAAGAATCCCTCCCACCTCTTCCCTAACAAGAACCTCCCCTACCCCCTGAGAAGAATCTCTCCCCATTGGAAAGAATCTCTCCCACCTCTCCCCTAGCCAGAATCTCTCCTACCCCCTGTGAAGAATCTCTCCCCATCGCCTGAGAAGAATCTCTCCCCATCCCCTGGAAAGAATCTCCCCCTATCCCCTTGGAAGAATCTCTCCCACCTTCCCCCTGGCAAGAATCTCCCCTACCCCCTGAGAAGAATCTCTCCTCACTCTCCTCACATTTCAAAATGCTCCACTGCTCCTGTACTTAAATAATGGCCATGATTAAAAGACTGAATTCCCCTCACCAAGATCATCATTTCCACCACTTAAAATCAACTCTCTGATAATCTTCAAAGACTCTGTCCTTGAGCTTGAGTATGGCACAATGTTGTGGACACAGCGAGCTCCTCCACATTCCCTGAACATTGTGGCATTTTTGGGGTTATTTTCCAAGAGTAGTCTTAGGCATCCCATCAACAGGAATGGAAAATCAGGAACATTTTCAGAATCATCATAACCATTCACATCTAGCTGGCTGATGGCTGTCTTGACTGTTTCTAATAGAGAACAAAATGAACTGTTTTACATGATTCTTCTCCAAATTAAAACAAATATCAACTCTTGTAATTACAAATTTTCTAATTCTTAATGAAAGAAACTCCATTTGACCTACAGATCCCAGGTGGAAATCTTATTAAGATCTTGTAGGATCTAACAAGATTCTTAATTAAGAGTCTTAATAAGAATCTTGGTCAAAAACTTGCAAGAATCTTAGGAAGATTTTAATAAGATTTTCACCTGGGTTGAAAATAATGCAGATAAATAATCCTTGTAGGTGAGCTGCAATTAAACCCTTTACACCCTAACATCAGTATGCATATTCTCCTCACTGTCCTCTGTATATTTCTTAAGGTGCTAAAAAGGAGAATTTGTTTCACAATCAAGAGCTTCTCTAGTTGGTGATCATTCCCTTTAATCTTGTGACCTTAACCTGTGATTTTGGGAAGATATTGTAATGTGAGGTTAGACGCAAGCAATTGCAGAAAACAAGCCTAAAAAAAAAAAATTCATGCTTTGACAGAATTCAATTGTATGCCTCCCAGACACTAGTTGGGCCCTGCTATCGACTGAGTGAGAAAGCCACATTTGGGGGCAGGGCGCTTTTTAGAGGGGATTTTTATGGGCATAAAAAAAAGTCATCTTGGTCAACTTCTGTAGCTCCCGCGTGCCTGCATTTTGACATCAACATCTGGGAAATATGACATGTGCTTTGTCAAAAAAGGACTAATCGCAGTGTTTGTACTGGCATATTTTGCCGACCAAAATTGTTGAGTCGGAAACTTGCCTTATTGCCTAACTGATTGTTTACTCAGCTTGATCACTGGAATATTTTTGGATTTTCATAGGAATACCTGTAAATAAATGGTTGAGTTTTTGCTTTCCAGCCTTACGATTATGTAGTTCTGCGAATTGTGTAATAACTTCCAACAATCATATTTAAATTAGCCTTACCGTCATATTTTTCCTTCAACCCATCAGCATATTGCTTAAGACAGTTTGTCAAAACTTCTAAAACTCCTACATCCCTGAACACATCTTTATACTTGGGATCAAAGCTCAAAATGCGAATAAGAAAACAAAGAGCAACTTGATGACAGCCAGAGACCCTATCAGAAAAAAAAATATTAAAGGAAATAATTGGTTGTATGTAAAATACTTATTTCTTTTCTCCTTTTTCTTCTACGATGAATTTCAGACAAAACTGAACTCAGGTGATGTCATAAACAGAGATTGTTCAAGTACAGTTGAAGCAAGAGAAATAGGTTATCTTCACATTTTTTTTTTTTAAAGAAAATATGATCTTACTTCTTGTTCTTGTAAAGAATGCTGACAGAGATCAGCTCCGGGCATGGTACCCAATTGAGATTACAAATCACCAGTTCCAGTAATTGGAAAATTCTTTCCTGTACTTCAATGTCCTTCTCCGGAGCTTTTTCAACAAATAACGACAATGTATGCTGCGGTTCCAGAATAAAAAAATTTGCGTTGTCTGAGCGATAGATGTTCTTAATGCAATCCAGGATATTTAGACAGAGGAGCTTGTCTGTTGTCTGCAAAAGAGCAAGATCTAATAAGCCTCATTCATTACATGGTGGAATGTTATCAACAAAAGGATTGCTCAATGCTAGTTTGAAACTGCACACTGAAATCTAAATCTTTACCTTAAGGAACACAGTTTGCAGAACTTGAAAAGCTTCAATGTTTCTAACGCTACTGCCTGGTAATAAAATTTACAATCATCAGTTAAAATATTTCACTCTATGTATAAACTATGGTATTTTATAAGGATTTCAAGCCCTGAGAAAAAGCAGTAACAAATACAAACAAATTGAAATTACACAACATACATAAATATGGAATAATAATAATAATAAAACTTTAATTAAACACAGCAAATATTTAAAGGCAATGTTAAATATAGCATAAATAATATTAATAAATGATAATATTAATAAATTTATCTAAAAATATAAAATATATACCTATTAAATAATAAAGCAATATATATCTCAGACATTGCTAAACAGTGACTCCAAATCCAAAAGAAACCCACAAAAACCAGTTAATTGAAATTGATTGATATTCATTGAATTCAGAACGACTGCCCAAAAGTGTCTGACGGTTAACACTTTAACTCCCATGAGTGACCAAGACAGAATTTCTCCTTACGATATCAATACAATATCAACCAGATAAGTGATGAGAATAAAGAAATACAGACTGTAGGCATAGAGTTGAACTTGAGACACCCAAGAACAAATTCAGAGAGTAACAGAGTTAAAATATTTAACCGTGGACCACCAGATCACAAGCCCAGCCCTCTGACCACTCTGCCACACTGCCTTCTTAACTTTAATCATGACTGTACAGAGGACTACAATTACCTCCACCAATTGGTTTCGGAATTTCAAATTCAGGATCCTGGAATGGGGCACCAATACTGACAAGAGGTCCCAATGTGACATGACCAATCATGACTAGTGACGAAACAAGAAGAACAACATTCCTACAGGCTTCACGAGCTTCATTCTCTGTCATCTCTCCTAGCATTAAAAGGAGTTCTGACAGGAAAAGGTAGCCATGACAACTTCGAAAATCAGCCAATAAATAATGAGAAATTGCTGATGAGTCTTTGAGACAACAAACCAGTGTTACAATCATTTCTACCAACTCCAAAGGATTTACTTCTTGGATTTTCCGCATGTTCATCAGACATTGTTTAAAGCATGACTTGCCTAAAAAAAAAAAGGACAAATGTTTACATAACTTCCTTTGACACAAATTTAACCATTAAACTCCTTTGAGCAATCAAAATAGAAATTCTTGCAACAGTTACAAAATCAATGCAATATCAAGCAGATAAGCAATGAAAATAGAGAAAAATACCAGTTAGGACATTTCAGTTGATCCAATATCAAATTCTCAGAAGTAACATCATAAGGATATATAGCAGACAGTAAGGAGAATTGCTTAATGAGATCTTGGAGTGAGAGGATTATTTCAATCCACAACATTTATTCCTACTATATGCTTCATTTTTGGATGACAATGATAAATTCCTCTGCTCCTTTAAAGAAAAAAAAATTTTTTTTTTAAATTTATTATCTTAATTTATACATGGATAATCTCATGTTATCAATGACAAAATTCTTTCTTCTCAAAAACAAAACTATGTTTCCCTTTTTAGGAGGTGCATGCATTTGTTTTGTTCATTTAGTTAAAATTTGCATTTCCTCATTCAAGGATTATTTTATGTAAAATCATCTCATGTTTTCAAAATCTCAAGAAGGTGTCTGAATGGGAGACATATTTAAAATAATTTCTGAAAATAATATTCACTGATAAGGAAGTTTTTTTGATGATAAAGAAAAACATCAGAGATGAAATACTAAGGGTATTTTCTTTAACAATTTTTCTTAAAGGAAAAAGTGATGCCACATTTTCACACTTTTTTTGTACCATCCCATTAGATATTAATTAGAAATTAATTTATTTCTGACTGTTTTGATCAGCATTTATTTGTTTATATTTTACTGAAATGACTCTGGTGAAACTTCTTGTACAAACACTCATTTTATATATAGTTTATGTAAACTGATACATCAAAAAATTTCCTCTTCTAATTTGGTCTCTTTCGTGGAAACAACAGCTTAAACAAAATGAAAGAGGATGAGAAAAATGTATTCAAATCAGATTGAAAGATTGTAACTTTCTGAGATCAAATCTTCAAATCTAAAAATTCAATAACTACATGTACAGCTAACCAAACGCTCTTGACTCGAAACCGACATGGCCACAAAAACATGTTTAATTATTTAAGAAAAAAAACATTTTGATCGTCGTCAAAACAAGTTAGAAATTGAAAGAAGTAATAAAAGAAGCTTCTAAAGAAAACAATAAACCTATTAACGACTGGCACGATTTCAAAATTATCTGCTAATCGATGTCTGCCATTAGTTTACTTACTGTGAATATAATGCACTACGTCTCGGTCCAAACCATGGCGAAATAAACTCATCAGAATTTCCGACACACAGCTTCGCCACTGCGCATTATGTTTTGGGATCGGGCACGATATTGCAGTAAAGAGCAACGCCAGATCGTCTGTGTGAACAAGTTCCCTGGAAGTCGCGTGATAATTGCATAATTTTACCAGCACTTGAGTGTACAACTTTTGAATTGTTATAGCATCATCCTCCATATCTTCACTACTCTTGTCACTAGTTTGTTCTATTGGGGGTAAATCGTAGAATAAGTAAAGACATTTGACCATGTTTGAAGGCAAACTCGCGGCCACCATGCATTCCACTACTGGGGTATCTGCCGAAGCAAGAATATTCAGCGTGTTCAACAGAGTCCATCCAGATACAGTATCCTCCGCAGAATCACGCATAAGAAATTCAATGATCATTCTACTAGCTGTTTCTTTTTGTTGATTCGCTGCTCTTCGTCGAATTTCGTTCACCATAAGCCGAGAGACGTGCGCGGCGAATTGACAAACATCTCCAAATTTCTCTGTTATACAACTGGGTTTAGCGTGGCCGAACACTTTGCAAAACAAAGGCAGCATCATATACAGCTTAGACTCTTGTTCAGGAACAGTTAGTGGCACAGGTGAATGAAGGAATTCCATGAACAGCTTTCGTAAATGTCGCAACGATAAAGCTTCATCTTCGCTCGATTGATGAATGTTCGGAACCGGTCGCCCGGATTTACCAACAAGCTTTCGAACAAATTGCATTTTTGCGATCCTTTTGGAACTAGAGCTAACACTTCAAGGTTTCTCTAGTGTTAAGGGACCCATGGTTATAAGAACTAAGCGCAAATCAAGGCCATCAGCCGAGATTTTTTATAGAAACCTCACGAGTTTGTATAACTGTCCATTTTCCAAAACTTCCCTATGTTCATAATTTCATGGGGATGCCCGCTGACTGGACCGCTGGCTGTGAATTACCTTACGACTTTTCGTGCACTGTTATACAACATAACCAAGCTCAAAATAATTGATTTTTCGGAGCAATATTGTTATGAGCGCTGATAACAAGATGCTTTCGCCTCACCGATTACTCATAGTCGGTGCAGGGCTAACAGGGTCAGTAACAGCTTCCTTGCTGCGCAGAAAGTTTCCAAAGGATGCGTTGAATATCACTTTCTGGGAGAAATCTCGCGGAGCAGGGGGGAGAATGAATACCAACAGAAGCGCAAGTGATTCACGCTGTACGGTGGATCTTGGAGCACAATATGTAACAGCGACACCGGATTATTACAGATCTCACGAGAGGTACACTGACTTTCACATCCTCTTAGGCTGAGTAAATAGTATGTCTAGCGGCAGTTAGTTCGAATGGAAGGCTGTTGCATAACCACACCAGGAAATGAATCCTTTACATCTGAGCATCGATTGGTGCGCTAATATTCTCCATACTGTTCTCGGTACATTTCTTAAGGTGCTGACAAGGAGAATTTGTTTAACAATCGAGAGCTTCTTTAGATGGTGATCATTTCCTTTATTCTCATGACCTTAATGTTAGATTCAGGGTTGAAATTGTAGGGAGAAATTAGATGCTAGTCAACCCTAGGGTCCGTTGGGTTAAAATAGGTATCCATTGGAATAGAATAGCCTGAATCCATTTTCACTTGTATATGAACCCCCTTTCTTGAACTTGCTGAGTGGTGAAATACTAATAAAGAGTATTTATAGCTTTTCAAGAGCTAATGTAGTCCACTGCCATATTTGCTGTGCAATCCTTATTTGCTGCAAGGTAGGTTGAATCAGTAATACCAAGTATGGCAGGGGGTTTAATAAAAACCAGTTACAGATAGTCTACTGCTGCTGAGAAGACCTCTCACTGTTGTCTGTTCAGCTTTCAAGCAGGCTCTCTAGTCTGAGTTTTGCCTTCCAGTCCCTTTTCCAGGCATAGCCACATTCTACACTATCAATGGCAGCATAAGGAGAAAGTTACTGAAACCCTTAAATGGTACCCCTAACTAAAGTGTACCACATCTCTGAATAATTCTTCAATCTCCAATGGTCTTTCTACCTCCACCAGGACAATCTGCACCCCTGCCACTCTGAGTGTAATTTTCAGCCTTGAGTGACAAATGCATTACCATTTGCCACTTTACCATCCTGACCCCGCCCTTAACAAATTTCATGGCATTGTTGTCCAACTTCCTTGAGCATTTTGGAGGGTGATACTCCCCTAATAGTATCCCTTTGAGCAGACTGGACTATTCCCTACCCAACCCCCCCCCCCCCCCCAGCCCTGATGGGTGATCCTCATTTTTGGCTATGGAGAAAGTCGTATTAAGAACAGTTCTCATGGGAAGAAATTATATGGAAGACAATTAGGCTTTAACTTCCTTTTTTATTTGACCTAGAATCTTAGCAGGAGATTTTCCAATACAAAGTGGCTTCAATAATCCCAGGGACTGGGAGGTTAACTTTCCCTTTTCTCTTCGATATCCCAGGGAAATTATCCTTTAGTGCACTCTGTGAGTTTTTTGTCATTGTTCAAGTCTTGGATGCATTATAGTTACCATGCTGACTGAATAACTGTATTGCATGAAATAGTTCTCTTTAAAACAAATTTTCTACACAATTTAAACAAACTGGCAGCTTGTGATACTACCTTAGCAGTATGTGCAAGAATTTAATTACTCATGACAGTTATCAAAAAATTTGTTGGATAAATGTGGAAAATTTGTCAAAAGCTTTGTCAAGTGATCAATTCTGAAACTAAAACTTTTTTGCTCTAGTTTCTATCAGGAACTGATATCAGCAAAAGTATTGGTGCCATTTAATGGAATCATAGAAGGAGAAAACAAAAAGGAAGGAATGAAAAACTTTACAGCACCGTCAGGGATGAATTCTATAGTCAAACATTTTCTGAATTCTTCAGGTTAGTTCAAATATAATTTGATTTTAAAATAGGGGGGACCTGTTGCTTTTTAAAAGTGGAAGAGTCTGATTTATTGCATCAGTACTTCATGGCTCAATTTTGTTGCCCAAATTTGTGCATCTTTTGCTAGTTTGCCTAAGGCTTTTATTTTCCTTGGGTATTCTTTAAGCATATTTCTCTGTCCCTGTATGGACCTCACCCAATTTCCAGCTACAATGGAGGCCTTCTGCCCTGTTGAACTCAAAACAGGCTGAAAATCAAGCCTGCCCCTCCCCCTGTAGTGAAAATCAGAATCAGCCTCACAACTTAAGTTGTTCAACAAACTTTCCTGAGATACTCTGTAAACACTTAAGAATGTTTAACCCTTTACACCTTAACATCAACATTCATATTCTCCATACTGTTCTCTATACATTTCCTAAGGTGCTGATAAGGAGAATTTGTCCAACAATCAAGAGTTTCTTTAGTTGGTGATCATTTCCTTTATTCTCATGACATTAATGTGTGATTCAGTGGTGATATTGTAAGGAGGAATTAGATGCAAGTCACTCTTAGAGGTTAAAAGGTTAAAGCAGATTAAGAATATTATGAAGTCAACTGTCATGGAAAAAGTTGTAGGTACATTCTTACCTTTCAACCTAGTCCAGCATATTTTGACAAATTTGCAACCAATATTGAAACACACTAAACCCTTTAACTGCCAGATGTGATTAAAATGTAACCTCTCCCCATAATCTCCTTACATTATCCAGCAGACAGGTAACGAGAATACTTATCAAGGAGAAGTTTTTATTGTGATTTAACACCAAATTCTCGTAAATAATTTCCAAGGAAATGTCCATCAGCTAGAGAGGAGAAGTAACAATAAGATCTTGGGAGCTAAAGGGTTAATGTTTATTTTTCTATACATTTTCAGAATCCAGCGTTTTCTATGAAACTCATTGCACTGCAATAAACAGATTTGAAAACCCAGAAAACATCAGTCAAAGCGCAAAACTCTGGTTAGTGACCGACCTCAAGGACAACACAAGTGAATTCGATTCCGTTATTGTAACGATTCCTACACCACAACTTTTAAATCTGAAAGGTTCCATTCAAGATTTCCTCGAGAGCCAACGCTCACTCCTGGAAGCCGTACAGTATTCTTCGCGGTATGCCGTAGCCATGTATTTTGAACAAGGAGTCAAAATTGACGTGCCGTGGTGTTCCAAGTATGTAACGGGCAGTCCGTGTGTACGGTTTTTATCGGTGGATTCGAGGAAAAGATTTGGGAAAGGTAAATGAGTTTAAACCTTAAAAAAGGTCTTGAACGATGTAATTTTTGAGAAGCCACGCTCATTACTTGAAGATGTCAAGTTTTAAAGAGAGGAGTTGGACGAAAACAGTGATACCCACACAAGCATCCAACCCCCCCCCCCCCCCCCCCACCACCACCCCCACCCACCCACTTTCACAGCCTCGGAAAGTTCAGTTCCAGCGTTCCCATTGGTTCTTTAAGTGTCGATTAACAGCTCACGTACTGGAGTTTGATCCGTTAACAGAAAACGATCCGCCAGAAAATGCGTTTCATGTGCTCATATTCACAACTAATTGATAGTTATACCTCATTTAATCTAATGCGCGAAGGAAATAATGAGTATTTATTGAATGAGAGGGAAGGCCAGACGAGAAAATATTTGGCTTGAGGTCTTGATGTACAGACCTGGTGCAGCAAGGTCCATGTGTCATGACCGAGAGCCAAATATTTTCCTGTCGGGCTGACCTTACTCAGTCAATAAGTGTTGTACAGCATATTTTTTTCTTTTGGCTGGTAGCACGTGAGTCCGTACGGCTTTTTACGGCCCCGCCTACGCTATCATATACGGCCCTTGTTAGATCTTTGATAAAGTGCGCGCGGGGCCGGATGCATCATGACGATGAAAGCCATTCGTGTACACCGAACTACAAAAATTGCCAACATTATAATCTCTCTTTCAGATCCCGAAGACATCGGCCCATCTCTCCTTGCACACACAAGCGTGCCATTTGGAATAGAACATTTAGAGATGGACATGAATGATGTTAAAGAGATTATCATATCACACGTGAAACAAATACTTCCCGACCTTCCAGAACCCGTGAACAGTCGCTGTTTAAGATGGCGGTATTCTCAAGTGTCACGCGGTGTTGATGGTTCTCCCGGATGCATTGCGTTGTGTAACTCTCCGCTTCTGGTTGCTTGCGGTGATGCGTTCTCTCATTCGAATTTCGATGGTTGTATAGACTCAGCTATGTCTGTAGTGGACACATTTTGCAAAATAACATCCGTTAGCAACCTGTAGGTTTTTGCAAGGTGGTGGATAGGTCATGCTTTGCGCGTGACGTGCAGAATTTTCGTCAAATAGTCACGTAACGTTCCTTTCTCCTTCCTCGGACATAAGCGTAACCTGAGAAATCAATGACGATTTCGAGCTGGTGCAAAGGACATGGGATATTTTTTATTACAGAACATGAAGCCACTGTCAGATAAGCAGATTGACTTAATCCTGGCGTTTAAATCTAAGAGGGCCACGACTGTTGTAAGACATCCATTTATACATTAAAGGAGTAGGAGGATTGATTGGTTCCCAGTCTTCTTTATTTCGCCGTCCGCACGATAGCGAAAAGTGTTATGGGTAAGGTTGGTTTTTCTCTCTCCTTCGTATCAACCATTTCTTTTCAATCTCTTGAACTGACGTGCCGTGTGCTACAAAAGGCAACTGGGACGAGTCCGGATGCAAAAGCGCAAAGTGTTTTGGGTAATGTTGTATACGGGAACGAGTCAGGATAGAAATTTGTTCTGCTTTTTATAAGGTGTGACTATAAAAACTAAACACTGAACAAATTTAAGATGTTGGCGCATCTTTGTTGGGCTGCAATGAATACTGAATGACAATATATTTTATAAAATCAGCCTTTTATTTCCTAAAAGTGATGCAGAGTTATTGTAGTTAAAATTGATCGCATGCAGTGACTTGCAGCATTGTATTTCATTATTAAAGATCCACTGTACTGTAAACAATATAGCAGGTTGAAATCAGACCGCATTGAAATTAACCCTACACACTAACATCAGTGTGCAAGTTCTCTATACTGTTCTCTACACATTTAGTTGGCACGAGAATTGTCTAACAATCAAGAGCTTCCTGAGAGAGCGATCATTTCCTTTATTATCATGACCCTAATGTCTGAATCAAGGGTGATAATGTTTAAAGAAATTAGCTGCTTATTAATCTTAGTGGTTACAGGATTAAATGAGATTTAGATGCTGAGTTCTACATTATTTCCTTTCCAATTCTAAATATTGCAGAGTAAGGGGTTAGTTTGAGTCGTCTAAAAAAGAACTTTCCTCAGCAAGGACTCAAACACTGGAAAATTCTTTTTCACAACTCACTAATTACTTGCATCATGTAATTCTTTATGGCTTTCCCCTGTAATTCTACTCCATAACTCTGACATGAAAACAACGTCACAAAAGATCTTGTTCCTAGGCCTTTGCTCACCATTGGAAGACAAAGTTTTGGGGAAAGAGTGTGTGCATTGGTCAGCCTAACTATCTAAAGCAAGTAACAGGGGTCGCTATTTTGGAAACTTTGCAATATCTACACTAAGGAAAGAAGTACAGACGAGAGAGAATAATTTTAAAAAATCAAGCTCATCTCCATTTCCTGGTCAATCGAAAGTTGATAAAAAGGCTTGGATCAATGTCAGTATCTGAGCGACTGCATACCTACCCCTCCCGGTATCAGTTGACTTTTGTTGGTTTAGGGGAGGGGTAGGTGCGTAGTCACTCGGATACCGTCATTAACCCTTTAACATCTAATTCTCCTTACTGTCAACCATACAATTCTTATCATGTTAGTTCAGAGAATTTAGTATTGGATCAACCAATTATCCCCAAATTTATATTTTTCTTTATTCTCATCACTTGTCTGGTTGATATTGTATTGATATTGTAAGGAGAAATTCTGTCTTGGTCACTCATGGGAATTAAAAGGGTTAATTCTAAAATGTTATAAAAAAAAACCATTGTTTTTCCTATCATACCTAATTGATAATAATACCTAAATACAAATTCCTTCTGTGTATCTAAGAAGTGTGATTAAAATAGCCTCATTTTCTATGGAATTAAGAGCAACAAAATAAAAAAAAACAGGACTTGAGTGTCGCAAACGTGCAACGTCTGACAAACTCATGTTGCGATACTTTTGGAGGTAGTTACACTTCTTGTTAATTTGGTGATAAAAGCTCTGTACAAAAGTTGTCAAATGTGGGATAGAAAACAGTTCTCATGACAAAAACGGAACTAGAAGATAAACCCATCTTGTAGCAACTTATTCTCAAAATATATATAAAATCCATATAAACTTCAAAGTACCATGATCAATAAAAGTGTCATCTTTTCAGCTCGGACGGATAGCTATAGGGCGTTGTATAGCATGGGCGTGGTCTTGATAAACAGCTCTGCCATAGCTCCCATTTGAGAGGGTAGGGCATCACTGTTTCGACGCTGATCTTCTCCCTCTAAAAACAAAACGAATAGCTTCATTTGTTTAATGCCAGGGTCGTCACCCCCAGAGGAAGGAGAGCGATCATTTAACGAAAATAAAAAGGTTGAAAAAAAAATCAAATGAGATTGGAGGGCGACAAGACGCGCTGTGGGAAAACCGTAACCAGTAGATAACGCCTTAAAAATGTAGCCCGTGTAAACATGAACCAGAGGAAAGAGCACGAAAACGAGTCAACATTGGAAACGGCGAAAAAACAGTGAACCACTAAAAGGAAACGCTAATAAGAGTGGGGAAATTACGAGCCAACGAGCGCGAAACACATAACTAGAACGGTGACAAGGAATGGTAAAGGTGACAAGATTGCGTGACAAATTGAGTCGCCATCTTGGATGCTAATTCAGTCATGTAACTGGCTCGTGCCTAATTTGCAAAGGAAATCCTACTCTCTGGTTGGCTGTGCCCAATAGATCAACCGTGTACCACTAAAATGGCCGTCGCCTGGAAGTTTAAACACAGGCAATGGTGACCGAAGCACATGAAAAATGTGAGGAAATGTAGCTACCAGAATTTTCCGAAAGTTCCATCAAACATTGGCATAACTCACCACTAATGGACTTTCTCAACGTAGTTGCCAGGAAAGGTTCCAAATGAATGCGTCCTTGAAGATGTGCCTACAAACCATCCGTCATCGCATTTTTCCAGAACGAGTACTTCGTCACCTTCTTCAAGTCGAAGCTCGTCTTCGTTTATGGGTTCGTAATTGTACAAAGCACGATACCTGAAAAACAATGAAACAGAGTAAACCGCAATAATTATCTTGGAACGCGCTCTTTCAATCACTTCACCAGCTTCAGGGCGCTGTATTACAACATACATGTGTCGAAGTCTGACCTATAGGCAGTAACAGCGGCGGTATTACCATACCTCTCTCCTTGCTCGTGCCCTATTGTGATTGGCTCATCAATTATTGCATGCGCGACCACACCACCAGAACTAAAACGAGGCTCCGCTGGCTCCTCGATGTACTTTACTTGCGTGTGTTTGGGAGGAGAAGCCTGGCTTGGATACATAGCCCCCGAGGAACTGACACCAAATAAAAAAGAAACCTCAACATGGTATTCTCCGTCACCATAAATAAGTCATGAATTGGAAGATTTCCGACCCTTACCTTCTGGACTGCTGCTGTCTGTGATCATAACTAGGTTCTGGTCTTCCAAAATCCGGTTCCTAACATTTAAAAACAATTTACTGGTGACAAACTTCCTCAGAAATCGCGTCCTCACGGACGTAAAAATTCTCACAACTAAAATTCATAGACAGCTATTGAAACCAGCAAGGAGAATTTACAAGTCGAAATGAAAAAAATTTCACTACCTGCTCCACACGGACTGACTGAACTGGTTGCACTTGTTCTTGACGAATGACTGCAGGAAAATGAAAGAAAGCAGTCGTGAATACCACAAACAAAACGTCCGGTCTGTCATGATTAAAAGATTAACTGCCAGCTCATTTTAATGATAAACAATCCCAAACGATCTTTAGGGTTGTCTTAAATTTTGACTAACTTTCCAAACACAAATACTGAAGTACGCAACGACGGCTTTACCAATCAGAGCAGACGTGATGCTTTTTCAACAAACAGGTTTAAATGGAGCGCATGTCCATTGAGTGTCGTAAAATATAAACCAAAAAAATCTGAACCACCAATCACAATAAAGAGACATCAGAAGGAGCCAATGAGAAATCAAAGTAAAAATAAGTCAACTGCCTGAAGCGCGGGAAAACATGGTCAACCAAAACGCGGCTGGTTTTAGTTTTGAATTTGATTGGTTGAGGAACCAATGAGAAATCAAAGTAAACACAAGTCAACTGTGTGAAGCGCGGGAAAACGCGTTCAACAAAAACGCGGCTGGTTTTAGTTTTGAATTTGATTGGTTGAGAAGTCAATGAGAAATCAAAGTAAAAATAAGTCAAACAGCCAGCAGCGCGGGAAAACGCGGTCAAGCAAGACGCGACTGGGTTTAGTTTTAAATTTGATTGGTTGATAAAGTGGCGTGATTTTTTTTGACCAATCATAGAACGAAGAAAAGCAAAACCAAAGCAGTTCCAGATTAAATTCAAGAGCCAACTGACTGTTGCTCCAAAAACTAATCGTATGTGGCTTGACGAATTTTGGTAAGAGCCTCTTTAACGACGATATTCACTGTTGTATCCGATTTCCACCAAACATCTTGCAGCCGTATTTTATTCAAACGAAAATGCATAGTAACCTGCCCCAACTTCTTAAAACAAAAAAATTTGACATAGTGAGCTGCCTCTTCAAGAACAAACATACCTTTAACTTCCGGTTCGCTAAAAACGTCTAAGTAACTTGATGGTACTATGCCTTTTCTATCACCAATTCTTCCTTCGTACCAGTTGGCGTCTACTTTCCTCACTAAAGCTATGACATCTCCCTGGAAGACAACATATTGTCTAGTCAGTCAACTTAGACCAAATGCGGAAAAGAAAGGAAATGATAAAACTCGTTTCGATTGGCTGCGGTCAAAGTAAAATAGAAGTACCGCTCCCCCCCCCCCACATTGGCCAATCAGATCAAACTTAAGTATTAAAAAGAGCCAATGAGAACTCACGGTTAAAACAAGCAAACTGCACAAAACGCGGGAAAATGTGAGTGACCAAGACGCGGTTGGTTTTTGAATCTCATTGGTTAAGGGGGTGGCGTGATTTTATTAGCCAATCAGGAACCGAGGTAAAGCAAAACCGAAGTAATTCAGGATTTCCCTTCGACACTCGTTTGGAAATTACTTGACCGGGAAGAAAAAATTTAATATAAAGAAATTAATTCAATACCTTACTACAAGGAAGTTCTCTCATACTCTCTGCTTTAAAGGTGTACCTCAGCCGACCCTCCCCTTCTACAGTCACAGACTGCGTCACTTGCTGATTAGGTGGCCGAGGTTGAGCCTGGGTCTGCTGTTGGGCGTGAGTTGGAGGCTGATGCTGTTGCGGCTGCGCGCGTTGTTGTACAACTTGGACGCGCGGGATTTGCTTCTGAGTGACTGGGACTGGTTGTGGTTCGGGTTCTGGTTGTGGTTCGTCTTCTTCCTCTTCGACGGGTCTGATCTAAAATCAAAAAGCAAAAAACTGCCTAACTCTCCGAAGCGACATTCATACCGAGAAAACATGATCAATCATTCAGTAAGATCACGAGAATAAAGGTACCGAAGGAAATGTATAACAGTCTCGACTCGAGTGCGTCAAGGTAACAAAAACACCTTTGAAACGTGTTTTAGCTTTGGCGAGAAAGAGACAAAAGTTATCTACCTCCACATAATTTTGAGGGAAGATTCCCCGCCTGCCATTTAATTCTCCGTCAATCCAGTTCTTGTCCACTTGTCTGCGCACGTTGATTATGTCACCTTTTCTAAACGAAAGTTCCCTAATAGATAAAAAAAAAAAACTTTCAGGGTCTCCATAAATGCACATTACTGAAAAAGCCACGGAATAAGACACATAACTTTTTTTTCAAAAACGAGAACCGTCACTATGTCTCCTACAAGAGTGCATAAAACTTTAATGCGTTTAAGGACTAAATGTGTGGGGGAGGGGTTCGAAGATTTTTTTTGTAGGGGAGGGGGTGGGGGTCACATGGTTTACAGGCAATAAATCATAACCTGTCTCCTTCAATTTTCACGTGGACTTACTTATCAGTTTGCCCCTGGAAGCTGTACAGAGCCCTCGCCAAGAACTGAGGTTTACTTGCTGCCCTCCTGGCAGCTTCCTCCTCCTCTTTTCGCTTCCTCGCCACCTCTGCCTCGTACTCCCTTCTCAGCCGTTCTTCTTCTTCCTTCCTTCTAAACCTTTCCTCTTCTTCCTGTCTCCGCCTGAATTCTTCCTCTTCTCTTCGCCTCCGTTCCTCTTCCTCCCTCCTCCTGCGCGCTGCATCTTCCTCTCTTCTTCTAAAGACTTCTTCGTCGGAAGGAGGCTGCTGCCTGACTTGCAGCTCTTCCGATGCAGTTCTTGACGGAACCTGGGCAAAACCACCACAAATAGGAATCACTATAATAAAAACTGGCTCCCAAAGTGACCAAGATTAAAAGTTGAACCCTTTAGAGTGACTAGCATCCATCTTCTCCTTTCAGTATTAACCCTAAGTCAAACTTACATTTTAATCAGAGGTGATGAGAGTAAAGAAAATGATCACAAATCTAAGAAGCTCTTAATACTTGGCTATTCCTCCTTGTCAGTACCATGGGAAATGTACAAAGAACAGTATGGAGAATATGCCACCTGATGTTAAGGTATTACGAGAATCCTGGATTGTAATTGGAAACCCAAGCGTAACTGATCTGGAGTTCAATCCTTTAACTTCCATGAGTGACCAAAACAGACCTTCTCCGTACAATATCATTACATTATCAAGCAGAAAAGTGATGAGAATAAGGAAAACTATCAATCGGGGATAAGTTAACCCAATAACAGATTCTCCGAACTAACATCATAAGAATTTTATGGCAACCGGGAAGAGACCTTGAGAGTAAAAGTAAAACTTGGGAATATCTGGTTTTATATTCCATTAAATATTTTTGCTCACGCTTGACTGCAAAGATAAAACTGTAAAACAGTCTTCCATTGAAAAGCTCAAACACTAGCCTACAAACGGGAGGAGCGTGAAAAAAATCCTGCGTGACTCAAACTTCGTGTTCGCCTCGCGCTTACGTTCGCCTGAAAACAAAACAAATCAAGTTACCGTTCTTCCCCGGAAGCGGCTCTCATACAGGCTGGATGCGCTGGGAGGTTGGTTCTTTTCTTCCATTTGAACGGTCACAGACGCTGGAGATCTCCGCTGATCAAGGTAACTTGTACGAGGAGAGGACGAGATATTCACTGAGGCGGGCGCCGCAGGCACAGGGTCTTGGAATCTTCTTTCTTCCCCGACACTCGCTGTCACCACAATGAGAGAAAACAATAATAATTTCGCATTAATTATACACCACGCACGTTAGAGTAGTATACGAGGACAGTTAGGTACACAGCCAATCAGTGAAGGGTATTGTGTACCACGTGGTGCAAATGAACCAAGCATATGGTTGGGTAGGCATTAAGATCACGCCTAAGCGTTACGCAGTCACGCGCAAAGGATCATACTGTCATATGGATGCCAATCCGGCCATATGATTGGCTCATTCGTACCACCTGGTGCAAAATACTCTTCCCTGATTGGCTGTGCGCCATACTGGTCCCGTAAACTATTTACTAAGGTAGTGTTTGCCAGAGATTTTTAAGAGCCAACCACAAAATGGCAGTTTTAAGCGGTAGACCTTTGTCAAAGCGAAGCATCAGCGTTAAAAACTTTGCACGGTGGCCAATTTTCGTCATCAACTCGATTAATAACCACCAACTTGTCTTGGTTGAAATGTGACAGGCGTACTGCAAAAGTTAAAAGTGTCTAGAGGAGACAGAAAGATGAACAGAGGATACTAACCATATGACGGCCTCTTTTGAACAATGTAAGACTCCGGTTCTTCAATCGTTTGAACTGGAACTTCGACTCCCTTCTGCATGTCTTTGTACCACGCCGGCACATGACCAGTACTTGGTCGAGAAGATCTTCGTTCTCCACCCGGCTGCCACGAAGCCCTCCTGTCAATGTCATTACTGGACCACGCTGGTTCAGGTTGTGATGAAACACTGCTGGTGTAACTATTTCTGACTGGTTCTTCGTGTACGTAATCTGATTTTCTGAGAAAAACATCATTGTCTCTATGATCCGGAGACGGAGATGCGCTCCTGGGTGGAGTCGAGGAACCAGAGCCGCCTTCGTGTTCCCTGACAGTTCCCTTGGCAACGTCACTTGCGAGTAGGCCAGATAAATTTGAAGAAGCTGGTTTAAGAGAGATAAAGATTTTAACATAAACTTACGAACAACAGTTTTTTATCCTATGGATATCGTGCAAAAGCGCTATTGATGAAGACCTGTTCTCAGACTAGAAATTAGTGAATGGAATCCCCGTATGTATTGTGCTGCAAAATTTGGTTTTAAATTCTTACTGAGAAGACAACGCTTACTTCCTGCACTTGAATGCATTTCCTTGAACATTTCCTTGTACCACTTTCCACCCCTTGTGATTGACTATGAAACAAAACAGATGATCAGCCAATAATATGTCAAAACCAATTAGTTGGTTAGGGAAGTGTGGAGAGATCGCGAAAAGGGAGTCACGTGCGAGAACCAGGACGCGAGAAACACGCACGTCTCGCGCACTTTCCTCGCACAAGCCTCGCGTTCGCCTTCGCTCGCCTGAAAAAAAAACGCAAAATAAACGAAGCCCATTAAACAAGGTTGTGGGGTGCAGCTCGTCACGGCACTTGCGGTATATTCCCTCCTCAGTGGAACATCAACTGTTCCCGATGAGCTTCATCAGTGATCAAAGCAAACGTTTTTGGAGACTTACTGGTCGATGCGGTCCTGGCGGGGGGTTACCCGTCTCTGACTGTGTGTGTTCTTCACTGTATTTTCTGGGGGGCTTCATACGGGTTGGTGGTGCTACCTTGATTGGTTTCGGGTCTCTTGAGGCTGAAATACAAAGTACATGTTCAAGCAAAACTTATATGAGCAACTTTTAAGGCCTTAAAGATAATTGCATAAATCCACAAATACACCAGCGACAGTACACTGAACAAATTTCCCGCGCGAGGCGGGCCACGCGAGTTTCGCACTCCTCCCTCATGCGCGTCCTAGCCCTCGCACGTGTCGCTCCGCTCGCTCGAAAAATGTCAAAAAAATTATGCTCTTTCTTCAGGTCAGTATTTACCTTCCACAGCTGCGTGTTCCTTTTGTTTTTTAAACTGCTGCATGGCAGGTCTTGTCATTGAGGGAGCTGAATCAGAACTACTTGCATCGCCATTAGCCATCATAAACTCGTCCTCTGAGCCAATAGACCCTGATGTTAATCTAAAATGGAGGAAGCAAAATCAAAACCATGAGAGGGACTGGCCCGTGAAGCTGATGGTTTTGGATCTATGTCTGTATCAGAGCAACTGCGTACCTACCCCTCCCTTAAACCAACATTAGCCCTGACTTGTTATCAGTTGACTGCCGTTGGGTTAGGGGAAGAGTAGGCGTGCAGTTGTTCAGCTGCTGACACTAATCCAGGGTGTTTTCCCGTGCTGGATGAAAATAATGAAGGCGACAGAGATGTAAGAAAGATGAAGATTTGCCAGACAAAATCCACACAACAAACCAGGCAATGCAAGTTAACTAGAGACCATGTGAGACAAAATAAGTGGTTAACATGTTATCTACGACACTTATGGGACACCGTGAGCTGTCTGCATGTGCTCTCAAAAATGAATTGCATCGGACTGCGAAAGGTATTTGAGGCACTTAAAAAAGCACTTCCTGAGTTAATGTGACTGATGGTTAATCAAGAATTAGTTCTAATTAATTCATTTTTTAATTTTTCCATGAACTCATTTCGGTAGCTTAATAAGTTTGAATTTAAACTACAGTTACTTTTACGCGGAAGATATGCTCCTAGTTTTTCAAAGTTCCCTTTTTACATTTTATATTACCACAATATTTTAATCAGATTGATTTACACCAGAAAAAATTTTTGTTACTGACAGTACTAAACATTGATAAGGAAGATTCTGCCCAATTCAGTGGATTTTGAAAATTTATTGTCATTTATCAGAAGTGTTATAATGATTTTACATATATTTTTAAATTCATATTGGCTCATGACATGAAGGCTAATCTGGAGAAATGGTTTAAAATTGCAGCAAAACATTTACCAGTAGTTCTAAGAACAACCTGTAACTACAAAAAGGCCAGTTTGCCTTAAACAAAAGAAGCTCTCTTCTACAAATTACAGTAAAATGATTTTAAGACAAGGCAAGTTGTTTACATATATATTCTGTGAGCTTGTTTGTTTACTTGATTTTATACCATAGTACTATACTAGAGCAATTTTTTTAATTGAGTGTCAGAATTAATCCAGAATTTGCTTTGGTTTTACTTTACTTTGCTTGGTGATAGAAAACTCGTTCCATCCACTCAACCAATCAGATACAAAATAATCATAGCTTTGCTGTTATCATTTTCCCACCCTTAAAGCAGTTTGCTTGTTTTCACTTTGAGTCCTCATTGGCTAGTGTTGATGTTGATCTATCTTCTGTTGATTGCTGCATTACCTCTGGTTTTTGTTTTCTGACACTCAGTTGAAAACTGCTCTAAAACTACTTTCACAGAGAAATTTATGATTCTGTCTATATTTTAAATGATCTTTATACAATCCACATCTATTAATAAGACAAACTATTTCTTGTTTTAATGAAAAAAGTACGAAGGACTTTGAGTGCAAAATTGAGTTAAGTAAGTTTGAAATGCATGCATAAGTTAGGGTGCAAAAAGAGAAATTTTCATTAGATACTAACTGTTGATTAGTTCCAGCTCTGTCATCAAATCTATGAAATCGTAGACAAGAAGAGGCAAATATGAAGATAAGATTTAATCAGTATATGCTGCAGAGGATTCCCTTAAATGCTAAAGAGAAATTTTAATTTTTTTAACGCAAATCAGATCTAAAATGGAAGAGTAACATTAATTATTTTTCTTTTTATAATAGACACCATATTTTGAAGCTGATGATGATGATAATGATAACAATGACCACAATGATGATGTTGCAAAAGCTATACATAAATATAATTAACCCTTTAACTCCCATAAGTGACCAAGACTGAATTTCTCCTTACAATATCGATACAATATCAACCAGATAAGTGACAAGAATAGAGAAAAATATCAATTTGGGGATAATTAGTTGATCCAATACTAAATTCTCTGAACAATATATGAATTGTATGGTTGACAGTAAGGAGAATTACAAATTTGATCTGGGAGTTAGACAAATAGATTCCATGCTGCTGTATGTCTGTTCACTAATAGATCTCAGATGAGGTCAAAATGTGGTAAGAACAAAAAAGTGGCTGCCATGAAGAGTAGCCATGTAAGTGTGTGATTAACATTTTTATCACATTTTGACATCTTGTGTGACCTATTTCTATTCTTACCCAGCATAGCATGGAATTTATTTAATTTGTATGATAAGCAAAATGTTTATGGTGATATCATCTAAGCATCTGTCAAAATTGTTTAAACAATGTGTTATGTACATATAAATAATGGAAGTTTAATTTTGGACCACAAGGAGAGGATATACTTCAAACTTTGTGTCAAAGAAGATTAAAAATTGGTCATGAAGTTAATCCTCTGTACATAATCCAACTGACTTGAAATGAGAAAAACAAACTTATTAGTAAGATGGTGTTATTTTTGACATAGAAAAAAATTATATCAGCTTGCTTGTAACAAATGCATTATAGCTGTTGAGGGGAATTACACAATGTTAACAGAAGGACTTTGAAAGATTCAATAAATTTATTTTTTATCCTAAGATAACAATTTAAGCCAAATACTTGCCTTCTTCCCCCTCGACCAATAGGGCGTGGTTTATCAGTGAATCCACGAGAGTCTACTGGTGCTCTCATCTGTGCACTGGGTTCTGCCAAAAAGAAGAAAGAGGAAAGTGAAATTAGGAAAAATAAAACGTCAGGGCTTGAGTGCAGACTTTACCTTCACCTGTGACAGGAAATTGGCTTTCTTAAGCATTTAACTCTCAAGATCTGAATGGCAATTCTCCCCTCTAGCTGTAACACATTTCCTTGTAAATTAGTTATGAGAATTTGGTGTTGGATCAAAATAACGTCTACCTGATAACTTTGAATATTCTCATTAGCTGTTTGCTGGATAATATAAGGATATTATGGGGAGAAGTTTCATGTTGATCACTTCTGGGAGATAAAGGGTTAAGGACATGGCTCTTGGCTGCCATAAATCTCACAAGAGAGGGGTGTATAAGCAAACTACAACCATGTATTCAGACAACTAGTTAGCGCACTGTGAAAACACTGTACCTGAGGATGTTGAGGAGCTGGATGCAGATCGTATTCCCTCCATACCATGAACTAACTTAATTTGCTCCGGAGGTCTCACCACTTCTGATATAATGTTAGGATTCCATTCATTTGCATTGGATGAATCATCTGCAGTAGAAACCAAGAAAAGCTAAAATTATGTGCACACTAAAGATCAAGATGAAAATTTCTACCTGATACATGTGTGTATTCTCATTACCAGTTTGCTGGATAGTGGGTGGATATTGTAGGGAGAAGTTATATGAGAATCAGCTGTGGGTGTTACAGGGTTAACAGGTTGAAACATGACCCTATTGTGAGTCCAACCAAAACTTTTGCATTCTTGACGTAACCACATCTAACACTTGGCTGATGCAAACCTTCCACTCATTAAAGCTTTTAACTATTTCCATAGAAGCACATTTTGTGATCCATAACTATCAGCTGAATTTTTTTTATGTTCCCCTTTACAAAGATAGCTAGTGCCATTCTATGTTGTGATGATTTTTTTTAATAAACAAACCTTTGTATGAAGAAAATGCATTTTCATTATTATTTTCTTCAACATTTCGCCATCTCTGAAAGTCTAAATCCTTTTTATCCCCTCCTCGTGGCATTGTTGCATAAGATAACACTTCATTTGAAGATGATGGCTTGAAGTTTGCTTTGCTAGTGTGAGCTGTTCGGCCAGTTTCCATGTCATCTTTAGATTTTGATGAAGATGATGAAAAGAAACTATTGTTTGTTGCAGTAGAGTCTGGAGATGGCATAGGTCTTCTGAAAAATAGAAAAAAAGATAAAAAAAAAAATTTATCAAATGGATTGAGTAAACCATCTGCAATAAAGGGAACTTGAGATGGTGCAGTCTGACTTACAAGTATCTATGGTGTTCTTACAAGAGTAAGAGGGTCTTAAAACATAGACACACCACTGATTCACCACTGAGAAATGGTTTCATTTTACAGTTTTAAAAAAAACATTTAATTTTCAGATTTTTCATCGATATGTTTTCCTCCAAATACTAAACCCAAGATCAAACTGCATCCAACACAATATGCAGTCTTCAAATTTGCAAGAACCTGAGCTTTGAAACAAAACTATCCTTGCCTACATCTTTCAAATACATTACACTTGAGATTTTAAACTTAAAAAGTCTTAGTCTGAAAATGTACCACCTGAACTTCCAGAGGTGCAGGTATCTAACACACAGCCTCTTCTCACAATTTCAGTTCACAACCAAGTTAACCCAGCAAGGAGAACAAACAAAGGTATTGACCACAGGATGCAAAAATGATGACAAAAAAATATTTTAATGAAACCTAATTAACCAATTTTAATTAGAAATTATTGTATTACTGTGAAATGAAATCTTATTACTGACACAAGATAAAAAAAAACTGTGTAAATAACACTCACTCTTCATTCTTCAAAACCTAAATAACTTTGTGTAAGGTTTGTATTATCTAAATTTTGTTTAAGAATCAGCGGCCTGTGAAAATGATAATCAAGAAAGAAAGAGATATGCTAACCTATAAATTGCCACCCAGGTAGAAGACAATGAAAGCAGTTTGAATCAGGAAGTGGTGTTCTTCTACTCACATGAGTGACTGGAGGAGTGTATTGAATGAAAACAGAGCTACACAAAAACACTTTTGAAAGTGCACAGGGTGATACACGAGTTGTTTTATTTTACCTCAGCTTCACTGAAAATTGTAAACTAAAGTTGATGCAAATTCAAAGCCTACACAAATTGGAACAAATAACCACTGATGAAGTCTGGAAGCAGAATTTTTGGGTATAAAACTCTAATATAGCAACTTCCTAGTGATACTGGACATTTTCAAACAAAGCAAAATCTGTAGCCACTGGCAAATCTAAAGGCCACCTACCAAGCCACCAAAAGAGCCACTACATCTCTACATGAAAATTTAAATTCTCATAACTGTCTTCTATAAATTGCTTATAATTTAACTCTGAGAATTTTAAGTTACATTGAAAAATATACCTTAGCTGATAGTTTTCTCATTTTCTCATTACTCTCCTGCTTTAACCCTTTAACTCCCAAGATCTCATTAGTAATTCTCCTTACCATCTCCTATACAGTTCTTGTGATGTTAGTTTGGAGGATTTAGTATTGGATCATCTTATAATCCCCTAACTGATATTTTTCCTATTCTCATCTCTTGTCTGCTTGATATTGTTTTGATATTGTAAGGAGAAATTCTTTCTTGGTCACTTATGGGAGTTAAAGGGTTAAAATGTTGATAAGGTATTCCTCTTTGGCCTTCAATACCAGAATAACAACCAAACAATTTTTTGTTTTATTTTTTTCTGTTATATTTTGTTCTTGTTATCCAAATGAGCTTTCAGTCTTATGAAGTCTTCTCAAAAACTTAACCAAACATAAAGAATAACTCCGTCAGTTGTTATTGAGCTGATTTCTTTTCAACCCAGAGGCAATTGCTCACTCAAAGCAATAGAAAAGAAGTAAAACAAACCCTAGTCAATGGCATCCTGGTATCAATAATAAGAGGCTTCTCAAATCCAATGTGCACTTGCAAAGTAAAGTTAAATATTCTCCAAGTAATATGTCCAATTTTCAGAATATATATTGCACCATAAGGCTTCCTTCAAAAGTTGATTCAAAATGGGAAAATATTTTGCTGCCATTACAGAAAAAAGGGCAGAATTGTTTGTTCATTATAATATCACTCTAAAAAAGAGTCAGTTTTTAACAACTATTTATAGTTCCCCACACATTGCAAAAAATATCTCACAGCATGATAAAAAAAAAGCCTCCAATTTGCTTGAAAATATTTTCTTGGACATCATCTGTTCCTTGAAGCTCAAAGGTTTCCTCTTGTCTGGCTTTAAAAACCCTGTTCCCTTCTTGGAACAGAAAATGTCACTGGTAAAACACCCAAAGGCATGCACATTTCCTAACTATCTGGAGACTACTGTTTACTATTTTTGCAAAATCATGCTAAATATCCTTTGATGATAAATTCAGGAGATATTCTAAATTCTCTACAGGATTGGGCTGGATATTTCACTTTTAATTGACACATTGATTATAAAAACACCCTCAAACATTCATATCATAAACAGTTATTAAGAAAGAAAACGGATGTAATTAGGTTAAATTGATAACAGTAACTGATAAAAAAAGAAAATGATACTTGTTTGTTTCATTTCTCAGTACATTTACAAGCCTACTTTTATGTTCCAAAGTAATCTTTAAAGAGCCATGCTTGATTTCAATCTGTAAGCCTCCCACTTTTTCCACATTTGTAACAGAAAAATTCCAAAAGCTGATCATTTCAGGCAATATAACAAAACATGTGTTTTTAACATCAAATACAAGAAATTCACATTGAAAATATGAACACACGCAGATAACCAAAGTGTCAAGCTTCAAACAATTTTCAAATTATGACAAACCTGCTCCCTACTGTGCACAGAGGCCTTGTATTTGGTGCAGTGACATACATGAACATTCATGTAAAAAACACAAAGTACAAGTTTATTACAGACTTTTTTAAAAAAGTAAGTCTGCTTGCTGCTTAAAAAATGCACTATACCATTGTGATAACTTTTATAAGAGCAACATTGCCTAAAACCAAATCTGATCACTAAATATGTATTTCAATAAATTTTGAGGCATCTTGATTAAATTATATTGTTTGCACCAATATTTTGAGCTAATGAGACTTTATACCTAAAAAAAATTTATAGCACAGCTCTTAGGTTACAAAGATGTTCAGTGTTCACTGTCTGACAAGCCACAAAGTTGTGAATCCATACGAATGAAATATGAAATTCCCAAACATGAAATTTGAAAATTACATCATGTGAACCTCATATATCTTAAACAATCTGATAACCAGATTTTAACTGTAATGGATCACATATACAATTTGTCTAGATTAAAGATCAGTCTAAAAATAATTTGCTAGTTATGTGATCACAACAAATGGTAAAGGTTGTACAAATAGAAATTTTCTTAGTGAACAATAACAATGTCATTGGGAGGCAATGAATGTATTCTGATGAAGATTAAATATATTATGCAAATTTCACATTTTGTAAACAATGTCCTTGAATGGAAAAACAAATGAAAGATTGCCTCTAAATGCATAATTCTTATACAAGATAACTTGAAAATGTAAAATATCAATGAAAAACAGAAAGCTTTCTAGTAAACAGATCTCACAAAGCACAAAGACATGACAAAATTTAGGAATAGAGGATAAACATTTTATGTAAATTATCTATAGAAGGTAAGGTTAATTTCCAATGTACACTTCAAGTATAAATGATTACACACTGAAATCTATCTTGCAAAACAACTCTTTTGAATGGGAGTCAATCTAGAGTTTTATCCAACATGGGTGAGCAAGCAGTGTTTTAAAGACACAAACATACAGCTGAACTGCCATGTTTTAAACAAAAACACAGGAAATGGATGTTCATTTGTATGCTGTGAACTTAAAATATTCCAAAATGTAGTTTATTATTGGCAAACATTCTCTCTATTAAGAGCCATCCACATGTACCTGTATATCATAAAATCTTAAGGATGAATAAAAAACAATGTATTAACTAAACTATACTGGAGGCATGTAGTGTATCATGACAGTTATTTCATCCTTCATGAAAACACAATTCACTGTTACCTGCTAAAACTGAATGATGCTCTTGTCACAACTCTTGATTCACTAGCCATGATGTATGAGAAATTATTCACTCTGGCTGTTTGATTTAAACAGCAAAAAGACAGAGAAAACAGGCAGATAGCTGGATTCTATATTTACCCCTTATCCACCCCTACTTGTAACATAATAACTTTGTTTCTCGAATAACATACTAAAACAACACATGCCATATATGGAAAACCCTCATCAGCAATCAATTAGGCATCAATTTCACAGAGACTTGCAAAAGGTCAAATATTCTGCTCTTAACAAGCAAAAATTAATTTCCATGACCTACAGTTGAGAGATTGGTTTCAACACCAGGAAAAAAATAAAAATGCATTCTAGCAGATGTAAATGATAAAACATACAATATATATCAAATTAAAACAGTAGATTACAGACGAGAGACAGAAGGTTGTCAAAATCTGTTTAACTTATCCCAGAATCATTCGATCCAATTTAAAAATTATATCAGAAACAACTTTAGTGTGCCTCCAGATCATCTCTTTTTAAATGCAGACACAATTTAACATCATCTGTTTAAAAATTTATCATGTAATCTCACTTTTGAGTCAAAAATATACTTGTCTAGCAATTTCCAGAGTGCTTTCAGCTTACCAAAAAAAAACAGTGACTAATAATAATCATCTCCAAATGGTTTTTTAAGATCATTAAAATTTTCAAATATCTTCAGCTACTTTCTTCAAGACTCTAGACTACATAAAATATTGCTTCATTTGTAAGAGAAGATTAAAGTTATCCAAGGAAGAAAGGCAGAGGTCCCCTAATAAATTATTTGTAATCTCTTCAATGATAAGAAAAGTAAGAAAACACAATATTATTGTAACATAAATCACCCATATATCATTCACACATCTTCACTTTGAATTGAAAATTAGGCTTACAATTAAAAAAGGATTAAACTTAGATGCTGAAAAGCAGATTATGTAAATTAAGTTTCATTTTGATTTTTGAGTCACTAAAATATATAGCTTACCCATTTGATTTCAAAAATACGAGTTTTAAAACCAATTTCTTCCAACCAAGCAATATTAATTGAGCAATAATTTTTATCTTGCTAATGATCAAAATGGAAACAAAGGGAAAAATTAACTGAAAATTTTTGTCTGTAATTAAAAGCCAAAAATACATTGGAAAGAGAAAATATCATATTGAAAGACAAGACTGAATAAATAAAACCTCTATTGTATCTTTTTCTCTTGCAAAAGAAGAATTTTTGTTTTCTTTGACCCTAAAAACCTCTAAAAGCACCTAACATTTAATTTCTTTTTACAATATCACCTCTGAATAACACATCAAGGTCATGAGAACCAACTACAGAAGCTTGTGATTGTTAAACAAATTCTCCTTATCTGCACCATGGGAAATGTTTTGAGAACAGTATAAAGAATCTGCATGCTGATGTTATGAAATGTGTTATTGAATTAGAGGAACTTTGGAAAAATTCAAACCATGACAAATCTATTCATCTTCCCTGTTTCAACTGATAAGTTTACACAAATAAGAAAAAATAAATTTTAATTACAAAAATAGTCAAGGTGCAATATGTAGTTCTGCGTCATAACTTACCTACAAAGGATCATTTTCAACATAGATCCAGTCTTTTTAATACTATTCAGAGCATCACTGTGTGTCCACTCTTCACAGTTTGCATTATTGATAGAGCGCACTAATAGTCCCTCTACAATTCCAGCTGTGTCAGCTTTACTGTTTGGTGTCACCTGTAAATGGATTAATTAACACATATCATTTCTGCCCCATATCTTCTCTGTGTCCGAGATCTGATTTTAATTCTCGCCTCCAGTTTCTATACATTTCCTTGTGATTTGATGATGAGAATTAAAAAGGATATCAAATATAAACCCTTGTCTAATATGTTTGTCTATTCTCACAGCTAAATACAGGAAATTGAATAAAAGTTAAGAAGATAATTTAAATATTCATCACTTTTGAGATTGAAAAAAAATCCTAAAATCTTAAAAAAGCATTCATAAAATAAATTTGAATTTCCATAACTTGATATCTAAATAAAATTCTGCATGGTTGAATCTGAAGGAAAATTTACCAAGCAGTAAAAAACTAAAGCATTTTAAATAATCTTCTCATAAATATTAAAATACTCTTAAAACATGTCTACAGTTGTAACTTGACATCTAAATAAAATTCAATGTGGTTCCATCTGTGAGAAAATAAACTTTAATATGCAACTGCTGATGAGCAATAAAAGGCTGAATCTTTTATTTTGCTTATTATTTTCTTCTAAATATTTCAACATTCTTGAAGCATAAGTCTGCTGCCACATGCAACTTCCAAATAGTGGGAAAAAAGGAAAAAAATTAATTTCGGATTTGATTAACTAAGTGAATTTTTTTCTCTGAGCAATAGATGAATTTTAATTAGTGAACTGGGTAATTGATGTTTGAAATGAAATCCATCACATACAAATTTATCAACAAATATATTTGGGAACCAAATCATTGCTTAAGTGTAAACATATCTTGAATGATTGAGGCCGGATAAGCTGTCTCGGATTTTATATTATGTGTGGGATGATCCCGTTTGCCACAATAATAAAACATGCCACAACAAAGTTATTCATCGGTTCAAAAAAACACTAAGATTTGCGCGGGCACTAGCTTGCGAATAAAATTGTCATAAACTTTTCCAATAAGACTGCCGTTGACGGATGCCCCTTTGAGCATGCCATAATTTAATTATCTTAGTATTACTAAATTATCTGCAACAAAAATGGAGTTCTAGCGTTAAACTTCCAATCAAAGTTGTCGCTCCACCATCAAACCGCAGATTAAACTGTGTTGATAGTAGATTACTGCCTGAGGCATCATTTCAGATGCGTTTCGAAATCGTTGGAAACCGGGCTGTTTATTGTATATTGTTCCTCCCATAAAAATTAATCTAAGTCTTTCTAGCAAAAAGCTTATTGAAATTCCTATGCGTAACATGAATTGTGCTTTTGAAACAAACTCTGTTCCACGCGCAACAATTCGAGTTAAGCATAATTCGATTTGTTCTTTGCGGCAAGAGCTTAAAATAGAATTCTCGTTTAAAACAACATTTAAAAAATATTACGATAATTTACGGCGTTCAGATTGTTGTATACTTCAGAGAAAAATTTCTTGAATAAATAATAGAACTTGATATTACGAAGATTATTGATCACCGACGCAAAACCCACGCAAACCATAACGCTATTCATGAAACCAGCACGAAATCAACAAATAAAAAAAATTATTAATTCCACAAGGAATAATTCAAATCAATTTATAAAAACCATAGATTTTGAAAGGTATACGTTGCTTGTTTGGTTGTAACACTTCTCTCATCACCAGAAGACGATGACATATCTGTGCAGTTATGCACCAAATGTAATAACGCTGAAAACGTTTCAAGTCCTTTAAAATGTAGCGGTCAAACGCGAATCAGATAAAACCGAATTGCTGCTCTAAGCAACGGCAATTGAGACTACTAAACTTGAGGAGAAGAAGTATACAAGGCGCTTTTATCCGGAATATATGATTACAGTGTTGATAAAATTTCAGCGAAGGCTGTGATCATATCTGTCAAATCCCAGTCAAGGTGTATCGAATATCTCTTACAACTTTGAAATTTGCGAATTACCAAACATAGCTAGCGCGCTGTTTGCGAGATTCTTATGAATAACTACGCAAAGGTCTTTAATTCTGGAGATGTAGTTGAACGATTTATCTGGCATTTCAAAGAAAATATTGCGCCACGAATAAGTAGCCAACTTGAGTTAATACGTCTAGTTTATGTCTCAACTCCGATATAAACGGACGCAGTTTTGTGTTAAACCACTTGAGGTTGCAGCCAAACTCACTTAAATGCCCGTTTAATTAAAATGACATGCAAAACTTGCAGGCATTTCATAACAACTAACCTTTGCTATTCTTAAAGGTGCTCGAAATTCCTTGCCTCCTTGCAATCGAAAACCCCAAGGAGCTCCGCCGCTTAGCACAACTTCGTAAACTTCAGAGGACGCCATTATCAAGCGAATAGCAACAACGATTACCCATGAATCCCTCCGCCTATACCAGCTTGACTAGTGAAGGTCAGAAGACCCTTACCATATATGGAAAGTTCGCGCTTGTTCTCAAGTCCACTAAATGATAGTTTCCAGAAAACTTGTGTTAAAAAGTTCCCCAATTTGATTACCTAATGTGATAAGACCAAGGAACATTGATAACTCATTTATCATAGACTCATTTATCAAACTGTAAGTCCAATATTGCTCTAACACATCTGATTTACGCAATCGCGCCCTAACCCATTCAATTGCATGGTGCACATTGCGTAAACCAGAAACCCATAAATATATATATTGAAGCTGTCTTAGCTGTCTTGAAAAAGGCCACCAATGATCGATGGGACAAATATAGTCTTAATCGGGTAAATTACATCCCGGAAAAAATGAGATTTGATGTGATGAAAAATATCCCCAACATTATGTAAGTCTTCTTAAATTTGCAACGCACGTGTCAAAGTTGTCAATACCTTTTGGAAATTTTTTTGTTAAATCCTCTTAAATGAATCAGAGATAAAGTAGGTTGTTGAGACGAGATTTGCATACACTACACTTGTCATATCTTACGCAAAATATTAAGCTCCACAATGAAGATAAATTGACATTCCTAAAGAAACTGGTTTATTACGCTTGAGTACCCATGACCGACTTTTAGAAGTTTTCTTTCATCGCGAGATTTCTCTCTCAGATGATGATAACCCGCATCAAAACCATGCAACTGGGAAATATAAAAAGGCTGGAAGGATTACATGCCCGAAACACAATACTAAAATAACTTAAAGCCGATTTAAACACAATTTTGTTTTATCTTTTTAACCCTGGAAATATTAAAACTTGATGTGAGAAGTCTTTGACAGAAGGTAAATAGGGAATGCGCAAAACTGAATTTAAAGAAAACTGTAAGAAGAAACCGCTCTACGTTTTTTGTTTTTTTTTTGTTTTTTTTTCATTATTCCTGACTATTTTCTTCAGTATTTTTTTCTGCGCGAGAAAAGAGATAAACTGGTCGCGTGATGAGCCGCTTGTCTCGCGTGAGGGCCTCGTGCTCCCTGGTCCTCTCTTCGCGTGCGAGTTAATGCGTGCGAGACAATGAACGAAAAGAGCATTGCTGCTTTTTAGAATTAGCCCATATGAGAAACGATTCTCCACACTCGTGTGCATTGATTTTATTTTTTAACCTAATCGAAGGTGAACAAGAGTAAACTGCTCTATTTTGTGTAGTTTAAAATTAAGGGATTGAAAGTGCGAATGCACAAGATGCACTAGCCTACGAGCAACACAGCGGTCAAAAGTAAGGCATGCGCAAGAGGACCAATTTCAGCTGTCCGCGCTTCAATTTCCCACCCAAAATTCCAACTGAGAATTTAAGAAACAATTGTTCTCACAGAGTAATCAAAGAAAATTGAAATGTGTAACAGAAAAGAAATATGCCAAACCGAAGGAAGATTTAATTATTCAAAACGAAGATTCTCAATGTTATTACATTCCAACCATTGTTTCTACGCATCGACGACCATCAAAGAAAATTTACTCAAGAAACATCAACAATATCATCTCTATCACACGCGTTGGCCATCTACCGAGAACCATTGCTTCTAACCCTGGTCCTGAAATGGGTTTCTTATTGTCACAATTTGACTTCGGAGCAATTTCTCAACCGATGGAAGATTTAATTATTCAAAACGAAGATTCTCAATGTTATTACATTCCAACCATTGTTTCTACGCATCGACGACCATCAAAGAAAATTTACTCAAGAAACATCAACAATGTCATCTCTATCACACGCGTTGGCCATCTACCGAGAACCAAATCCACCAGTAATTTTGCTCTCCTCAATGTGCGTTCGATTGTTAAAAAATCAACTCATTTATGCGATTTGGTCATCTCCCACCATTTAGACATCCTGGCCATAACAGAGACTTGGCTTAAAGGAACCGAGGATGACAACCATGTTATTACTGACATCAACAACATTCTTCCGCATTTTAAACTCCACCACATACCAAGAAGGAATCGTAAGGGCGGCGGAGTCGCTTTGTTGATACGAGATGGTTATACCGTACTGCAAAATTCCATCATGATCACAAGCTCATTTGAGTACTTAGATGTGAGCATATCCAACAAAAGTGAGACATTCCGTTTAATTGTTCTCTATCGCCCTCCTCTGTGCAAAAAGAACAACACTAGAAATAGCTTTTTGCAAGAATTCTCATCTTTTCTTGAAGAACTTACATTATCAAGGCAGCCCATTATAATTGCCGGTGATTTTAACTACCATGTTGATGATCTATCAAATCCTGAAGCTGCCTCCTTTCTAAATCTCCTTGAGTCCACTGATCTAACTCAAAATGTATCTGGATCCACTCATCGCCTGGGCCACACATTGGACTTGATATTATCTCGTGAAGAGAATAATGTTATAACGGATGTTCGCATTCTATCAGCCGACAATATTTCAGATCATAATTTGGTTACTTGTAAGGTGAAATGTACAAAACCGAAACCTTCTACACTACATGTTAAACACAGAAACACCAAAAGGCTCGATTTAGCTAGTATGATCAAAGACATCGAAGAATCTAATCTCATTACTAATCCACAGTCTTGTGTAACTGAGCTGACTACACAATATAATACTAATCTCTCGTCTATCTTTGATCAACATGCTCCTGTGAGCGAGAGATGGGTCACTCTGCGACCGCATTCTCCTTGGTATACTGATGAACTTCGTAAGGCTAAACAAGACAAACGTCGTCATGAAAGAAGATATATTTCATCTGGTCTTCAAATTCACCAAGAAATATTTATTGATTCCTGCAAACACTACAATGATCTTCTAACAGCGACAAAGACAAACTATTATCGGACTCTGATCAGCTCCTCTGACCAATCACAACTATTCAAGATGGTATCTCGCCTATTCTTATCGAAGAACATTGCTGCACTCCCTAATAATGATTCATTGGATACATTGACCGAAACGTTCAACGATTTTTTTATCAAAAAAATTGAGAAAATAAGATCGGATTTGGACTCCCATACTGCCCAAGCACCCGACATCAACGTCAATTATCCAGTCACCTCGTCGTTCCAAACTTTTCAACCTGTATCTGCTGATATTGTTCACAAACTTATTGTTCAATCTCCAACTAAGTCTTGTCAACTGGATCCCATTCCAACACGAATTCTAAAGTCAATTCCACACTTGACGCCAATTATAACCAAGATTATCAACGCCTCCATGGCTAACGGAGAATTTCCTGATCAGTTAAAACAATCCCTGGTATGTCCATCTTTAAAGAAGCCTTCATTGGACCCGAACTGTCTCTCAAATTACAGACCGATTGCAAATCTATCTTTTCTCTCAAAAACAATCGAAAGGGTGGTCGCAAATCAAATATACAGATTTATGGCCGAGAACCAGTTATTTCCAGCGATGCAGTCAGCATACCGCAAATACTACTCCACTGAAACTGCTTTAATAAAAGTCTCAAATGACATCCTAAGAGCTGTAGATCAAAAAGAAGAAGTAGTACTTGTTTTGCTAGACCTTTCCGCTGCGTTCGACACGATCGACCATAACATATTACTTGAAAGAATGGAGAAACGTTTCGGATTTAGAGGTATCGCACTAAAATGGTTCAAATCATACCTAGAACATCGTGTTCAGTCAGTGAAGATCAAACACTCCATCTCTAAGCCTCGACATATCTCCTACGGCGTACCCCAGGGATCAGTACTTGGTCCACTACTCTTTCTAATGTATACCTCGCCTACAGAAGACATTGTTGCTGAACATGGCCTAAACTGTATGATATATGCCGATGATTCGCAACTTTACATAAAGATAAACTCCTCTGACAGAATGCTAGGCATGGAAAGATTGAAATCATGTGTTAATGCAATCATGGAGTGGGCCAAGAAAAACAGATTGCAGTGCAACCCTTCAAAAACAGAAATCATTCATTTCCTCTCACGCTTCTCAAAAAATCCTCCTTTCTGTAATATCAATATTGGAGATGATATCATTAATTTATCTAATACTGTCCGAGACCTAGGCGTCATGCTTGATTCTGTGATGAACTTACGCTCGCATATAAATTCCATCTGTAAATCGTCGTCTCTAGCAATCAGAAATATTGGTCGCGTTCGTAAATACCTCTCGACGCAGCAAAATGAAAGATTGATACACGCCTTTATCTCATCGAGACTTGATTATTGTAATAGCCTATTGTACGGTCTACCGATTTGTGACATCGAAAAATTCCAACGGATCCAAAACACAGCTGCCCGCTTGTTAGTCGGTGCCAAATCAAGAGACAGTATAACACCTATACTTAGGAAACTTCATTGGCTCCCGGTCACAAAACGAATTCAATTCAAGACACTGTTGATAACATACAAAGCACTAAATGACATGGCTCCAACCTATCTTGTTGAACTTCTTAGTCGATATATTCCAGCACGAAACCTCCGTTCATCAAATATGAATCTACTTGAGGTCCCAACAATTCGAACTAAAACGTATGGGCAAAGAGCATTCTCCTACGCAGCACCGTATTTGTGGAACCAACTACCTGAATGCATAAAAAACGCCGAATCTGTTGACTCCTTTAAACGCTTATTGAAAACTTATCTTTTCAAAAATTAAGCCACCAGATTATTTGATATCGTACGTTGTCAAACATACGCATAACACGTAATAATTCATTAGTTTAGATAGAGTAGCGAATTGCATGTATAGGATTTTTATCGAAATTTTGTTAATTTGTAATTGTAAAGCGCATAGAGTTCAATTTTAATGCGCTATATAAGAACTTATTATTAAATTAAATTAAGAGAAAAACTCCAGACTTTTCGAACACAAAAACTTTTCCGAGTACGGGTATCAAGTTCATTTACCAGTCTCTACTATGCTTTAGTAAAGACGGTATACGTTTATGAACCACAATGACTTCTGGCTTGTGTGGTTATTAAAAGCACGTTACTTAGACACTACAACGTTGGCACATGCGCAGACGTTTGACCGCTGTGTCCTCTTAGCTCTTATTCATGCCAGCTACGCTGCTCATAGGGCTGTTCTTCAGAGAGCTTGCTCGCAGGCTTAAGATGTACCCAAAATGTTAACCCAGTCACTTTGCTACAAGTTACAGTAAGATTTATTTCAATCTATCTTAAATTAGTGGCTGAGTACTCTCTACCCCGTCGTACAAATAAACAATTAAAATTACTCTTACAAAAATACGAATAATTTTCAACTGACCATGAAAATAATTATTATTGATTATCTTAGCAAAGAATTAGTTTCAATCTATTTTGACACAATTTAAAACACAAGGCATTTAGCTCAACAAAAGCCAAACCTGCGTGACGAACTCTCGAAAAGGCGGGCACGCGTATTTCGCAACGGCTCCCCCACGCGAGGAGCCACACCCATATGACATGATATGAGGGCCTCGTTTCTTGAAAGACTCAATAACTTGACGGGTCCGAAAAGCTGATTAATTCGTTAAATATCGATGAATTAATAGTCTTGAAATTCAAACAGCCATAAGAAATGTCTAGATACTAAACAGAATGACGTGGTTTTCGAGTTAAGACTTGCACTTCTTTTCCTTCAAATTTAAATCAAGAAGATGGCTTCAGGCTCGTTAAGTTACTGAAACTTTCAAGTAAGAGATGCCGACCCTGTCGCTGCGCTCAAATGAAGAGTTACGCCCCAACATCTGAACGCCCGTTACGCAGGCCAATAAACACTCGAGATAAAACGTTACTTAAAATTGAACCTAAATCATGTGTGCTTCATTCTAGTTTCTTGACAACGGCCCTTTCTTTGAGATACGCTTGGTAATAAAAATTAGAAAACAGCCATATCATGGTCAGCTCATAGGCAATTCCGTACCAGCACCAGCCGTGTTGTAGATATCCCACGATCATGTGACACAGTCCAATCATGAACTGAATCAGTTGAAGTTGGGTCAGGTTCTTCTTCCAAGCGGGCCTTTGACCAGGATTGAGTGCAGATTGGCCGTAGTAGAAATACAGAAACACGTGAATGATGGCGTTCAATCCCAATGGTACAGAGATGGCCGGCCAATTGCCGTTAATGGAAGCGTATTCACTCAGCATCAAAATGGAAGAATGGTGGTAAATCTAAGAGGAAATAAATTCAAAAAGATTATTTTTCACTTTACTACGTTCGAAAACCAAGCATCCGCTAACGAAAGGCTTCTATTTGCCCAATTCAATCATAAAAAAATACAATGAAAGATATTTACTTATCGAATTATTATTTTTTCCTCCTAAGTCAAAAAAAAAGGTGGTTCCTGTATATGCTTTAGCTGACCATTGCCTCCTTCTAGGCACCCGCCCTTCCCTCCACCATACCCCCGCCAATTTCAGCCTGCAGTTGTCTCTGAGGGGGGGCGCGGAAGCAGATGGGAAGACAGGAAAAGATGCCATCCTCCCGTCGTTCCCTTGGTAACTTTCAGTCATCACCCGTCCCCATTTCTCACGCTTTCAAAGACCGATTTAGAAGAGGAAAGAAAACGAGTCAGCCCCAGACCTCTGTAATACCGATCCACCTCACCGGTCTGTCGATCTCGCGTTGGGCAGTAAGGAGCTCGTGGGCGCGTGATGTAATAAGCCCACCATGTTCTACTAGATTCACATTTTCAATGGTCTTTGAAACTTTTCCTAGAATCGTGTCATTTGCAGTCAAGAATTTACCGTTTCAGGTTACTTACATGAAGTAAAGAAACTTGACGCAGCCTGTGTCTAAGAATCATGAAGACTGTGTCCATGAGCTCGATGTACTTGGTCATGTAGTATACCCAAAAAGCGTGCTTTACGAGGGAATCTTCCTCACATGAAAACAAAGAACGTGGCCAATTCCTTGCCAGGGCTGCAAGGATGATGACGACTGAATAAAGGCTGAATATACTACATGCAAAATTGTAAACCACCAGAACCTGGGAGATTAAGAAAGAGAAGATAAAACATAGCGATATAGCGTTTTTCACATCAATCTTGATCTTAGAAATGTCACACTACGTGCTGTTTATATGCTCCTTGGTACATCTCCGTCACAAATAAACTCGACTAGCCTACCCCTCCCTTGCTAGTGAGGTCTCTCTCCAGGCCTACGCCTCATATATATTCATCTAAAATATGGCAAATGCGGGCTGATGTGGATCCACTAAAGGAATCTGTTAACATTATCCATACCTTACGGAGACCAAAAGGGCGAACATATCGAGTCCAAAGCGGCGAGAAAGCCACAAAAGACAGGTATACAATAACCACGGGTAGAGACTTCAGTTTCACAACACCGTTTAAGAAGTAAAGCGCGAATTCTGTAACAAACAAAAATACACATCGTTAATGTAAACAGACGAGTATAGCTTTCTTTACCTAGAGTCCTTGATCCTGTAAATAATAAAAAAGAAAAGCGACTGATCTGGCTCGCTAAATATATCTTATAAGACGTTTTAGCGTGTGGTTTTTGCTTGGTACTTTTGCGTGCTGTGCCGTATGTTGACAAGCTTTTAGGTGAGTCAAAATACAAAAGAAAAGAGTACAAATACTCAGCGATACCACACACCAAAACGTCTAAAAAGTTATTAATTATCCAACTGCTCTATTTTATGCGCATTTCTTATAAAGCGGGAGAGGCGAAGTGGCTAGAGAAGCGTAACACACGCAACCGATCGGTAAAACAGTTTTTTTTTTTTTTTATAGTACAATGTAACCAACTTTCCAACATCGCAGTATATCTATTTGTAATTTGTTTGCGTTTCTAAGGCGAACGGAGGCAAGCTTGTATCTATCCACTAAATTCGTTTCGTTTGAAGTCCACACCACACGTTTAAGGACTTCCTTTGCGCGCCGTAATTTGTTCCATCATTATAAATGCTAAAATGCCTGCATCCTGCGTGTGACAAACCGCTGCACAAAAATAGTGCGTGTGTATAACAAGTTCAAGCTACTTGTGTTTGCGCAAAATCCATTCAGAAACTACTATCAGACTTCAAATGAAAAAAAACAAAGGGGGGGGGGGTGTACGGTGGCCGAGATCTGCCACTCAAAATTTTACAAAATTTTTACTGCCCGCACAGTATCATGGTAGTGGCAGCCCTCGGCCACAGCGATACTCACTTTGACTATTGTTTTGATTTGATGTTCCATTTATTTTTTATTTCGCCTTGAACTGTCCTAGGATTTCAGTTTAATTTTGAAATGATTTTACTTCGATATTGCAATTACTTCGGCTTTCAAATTGGATTGCTACTTCATTTTACTTTCAATCGTTCTTTTTCCTTTGTTTTGCAGTCACGTTCCATTTTACTTCCAGTTTTGATTTATTTTTTCTTTTATTTTTTATTAAATCTTTGAAAAATTGTAAAATTTTGAGAGGCAGCGCTCGGCCACCATAGGGGTGTCAGAGTATTACAAAATCATTTCAACTGAGTTGACGTTGTAAAATCTTTACGGTGACAAATTTGCATCAGTAATTTTCTCAGTTGGAATTATCGAAGAATAGCTAGGCCCTCTGATAAGCGCTGCAGGACGCGTGTTCCTCCACACGCGGGAAGATTCGAGACAAGTCGCGGAAAGGTTTGCTGGAGGTCTGACACTAATAGGAAGGCCCTCACTTGACCCTTTGTATACAATCACGCCAGCTTGCGTTGCTTAATGTTAAGACCTCAATTTTTTTTTCTCTGCTGACCGAGAAACGCACGTGTTGGAAAAGGTTATTATAAGGGCCTACTCGCCGGCTACCCTCCATTTATTTATCTATCAATTTACCGTTGACCATATACCCATTTAAGCCAACAATAAATTTTAATTCCGACATTCAATCAGTTCCTTGACCTCTCGGAGGTGACCGATACTCGGCCCCTTCCCACCCCACCCCTCGCAAACTTTGTCGCCATGTTTATTTCCATCGGTCAAGCGGAGTTCTCAGCCGGTTACTGCGACACGCAATCGCACATCTTTTACAAAGAAACAGTACACTTGGGAAATTAATCACATTCTGTGTTGCGTATCAGCACTTTCTGGATTAATTTTGCAGATATTCTCCGAACCGGCTGTTGTGAGCGTCTGTTTCAAATGATCGTAAACAATAAAACAAAACGAAACGAACATTAACACAATTTCCTACATGTAAACACAACCCGGACATACCATTAATTATAAGTCATAAAAAACTAAAATTCAATGAAATTCAGTCTCTTTTCTGAGGAACTACGACGAGTCCAAAGACCAATTTTAGGTCAACCATATCACTCATAATTGTCGGAAAACCTCACATGGAGGAACCCGTGCAACAACTACTTCACTTGCAGTCTGATATAATATTTTGGGGCAAAGACGGTACAAAATATTAAGTAAACGTTACCTGCTAATGTCATACCCATGGTCCGAACCTATCCCGTGCTAAAACAGCTGATAGGTACAGCAGGAAAGATCGAAGAGATTCACGCTAAATGAGGTGATCTGAGATGGGTGGTATGATCCACAGCCCGTGACTAGGGTGAAAATGCAAATTTTGACCTAAATCTTCAATCCAGTTGCCCCCTGGGTACAGCGGGAGAGAATGACCTGATTTGCATATGATCAACTCTGAGCGCGTGAATCAAAGATTACGAAATATTGTATTTGGGGATCAAATTCGAAGCCATCGTGTTCTCTGATGTTGAGCTGATGTCTCTGCTGTTTCCTTCACTCCACTTTTCGTCTAAAGTTCCTTCGGCTGTAGCTAACAATTATTATTCTCAGAGAATGTAAACGCACGCTTCGCTTCCTTAAAAAGCTTTATTGTATTACACTTGTAAACTATTAGACAAAACGAATGACTAGAGGCGTTAATTGGGAGAACTGTAGGTGAGCAAATCTTTCAACATTCTTCGTGGCCGCGCGGGTACGCTTGAAAATTTTGGTAACCAAATAAAGTATAATGCTCTGTTGCTAGATAAAGGAAAGTCTCGATAAATATAAAAAAATTTTTGAAATTTTGAAGATCGCATATTTTATTTGAGACGTTCTTATCTTTGTTGTAATCTCTAAGTTGTTTTTTGGGAATTTTTCCCGAGTGTGAGCTTTGAGTCTCATCAGTGTTTTAACCCGAAGACAACGCAAAAAAATACCTTCTGCAAATGCAACAAAACAAACCAAAGTCCAGTTGAAACCACATCCCCTCTCATTGCTAAGGGCACTAATTCAGGTATCAAAAAAAAAAAAGAAAAGAAAAAAAAAAGAAAGAAGAAAGACTTATGTTGTCCCACTATACCCCTCCAGAAAACGCTACTCATGCGATGTTGCGTGACGCTAGGCGTGACGGCCTGTCAGGCCTTGTCTCCAACGGACAAGCGGTAAATGTAACACACTATTTTTACCGCTCGAGGCGAAGAAGGTCGAAGTTCCACAGTTTGAGATGGAGTCACGGGCTGGTAGGTAACTGTTGTATTCAGCCCCTTCCATTCGCAAATACAAAATAAGCCGAGATATATGTGTCTAGCCGCTTTTTTTTTTCTTCTACATCGAAAGATCTAAATAAAAAATTAGATTTACATATAGGATTTGCACATTTCGTAAGGTCGAAGGTCTATGTTCGGTCATGTAATTTAGTAACTGGCTGTGTCAGATTAAAGATTTCCAAAGCTAAACGAGAAGATCTGACAGTGTTTCTATAAGATCAATTTAAAATTGATTCTTCTCTCTCTTTATGAGATCAGTTAGTTGTCCATTAGCCTTACAATGCCCTACTCAATGTGAAATTACTTAACCCTCTAGGATCTGATTGTTAATTCTCCTCTCTGGCTGCTACACAATTACTTGTAGGATAGTTACAAGAATTTGGTGTTAGATCAAGTTAAAAACTTCTACTTGATAAGTTTGAGTATTCTTATTTCCTGTTTGCTGGGTAATGTATTGATATTTTGGGGAGAAGTTGCATGCTAATCACCTATGAAAGTTTTAAGGGTTAATTAGTTACCAAATGATGATAAATCCTTTGAAATGAGTGACCAAGACTGAATTTATCCTCACAAAATCAGGCAGAAAGTGATGAGAATAAAGAAAAATATCAATGAGGGGATCAGTAGTTGATCCAAAGCCAAGTTTGGAGTACAGACATCCTAAGAATTGTATGTGCTGTGCTCATAAAGAATTCAACCATTATTTTCTTGCTTTGCAGAGAAGTATCTAAATTTCTTCAAGGCTGTTGTGGGATTGCGGTCATTTCCTGTGGCAATTATTTACCTGATACTTATACCATCATCTTTACTGTGGAAGAAGTACACCTCCCCTTTAGGACTACATAAGGTAAAACTATTTATGAGATGAACAAATGCCTTCTGTAATATATCATATGTAAGACCAAAGTTGTGTGCAAGATTTGGTACTTAATGTACCATTTTTAGTCCTCTCTTCAGTTTTGGCTGATTCATTTGTCAAATCAAGATGTGGCTTTTAGAAAAGTATAGAAATAAATTATTTACTAAAGGTAAGTGAAATGAGTGGAAGCAATTTAGTCTGAACTCATATGAGTGATTTTGAAATCAAACAAGTGCACAGCTCAAGTTGGATTTGAAATTGCAAATATGATTTCTAACCAAAATTTGAACAACACAAAGTTCAATCACCACTTTATTACATGTGTTTTGAAATTGCAAAATTCAGTTGCTTAGAATTTTTTAGTGTCTACAAATAGTCTACTGATTCAGGGCTGAGCTGGTTTGTAAAAAGTTGTAAAAGTTGTCTTTGTCAGACTGATATTATTGGATTGGTGCCATTTGTGAATAAATTGCACCAAAGAGAACTAATCAGACTAATAGGATAACCAGTGATTTCAAAATGTATGTAATAAATAATTAAAAGGAATTTATACAACTTCATGAAATCAATTGAAAACTTAGGGTCCATTCATATTATGCTTCATTTCAATGCAGTCTGATTAGTTCTCCCTCCCCCCCCCATATTGTAATTTATGTGAGAGTTGTATTGGGAAGTACATGAACCAGAATAACAACACTTGACCAACAAACAATTCTTTACTTGACTCTGACAATGACTTCCACTGAGGTTTTCAAATGATCAGTCACAACCATAGACAACAATCTTTCCTAGGACTTCTCCCACAATGCATTTGATTCACCTCTCTCATGATACATTTGATCATGTATTCTTGCAAAGTACATGATCAAATGTTACTCCTGTGTTCAAACCCTTTACTGTATCTTCTAATAAATTATGACATGTTTTCTTGTTAGGTTTTAGTGGCATACAACTTCTTGTGCAGTGCTCTCAGCCTGTATTCTTTGGCTGTTATAGTCAAGGCATACTATCAGGGTGGTTTGCTATATGTTTTTGCTATGGAGCATGATGCAGATGTCAAACATGCCTTTACCATTTACTTATTCACCAAACACTTGGAGCTGTTGGACACAGTGTTCATGATTCTTAGGCATCGCCAAAGACAAATCACCTTTTTACATGTAAGTCTGTTTAATTAAATCCTTTAAGGATTGGAAATTTGTAGAGAACAGTACAAAGAATATGCTTACTGGTGTTAGGGTGATAGGCAGATTTATGGAGAGGGTTGGGGCATCCAACCCCCTTCCCATCAGACATTGGTGTGTCCTCTGAATCAAAGATTAGACCTCACCCCCTCTTCATTAAAAATTTGTGGTACCAGCTCTGTATAGGTTTACATGTGCCTGGTGTAATCTAATATTTTTTTTTTCACATAAGATATAATATTTAATATACAGGTTCAACAGTGTGGAAGGGCGAGGAGACGTCCAAGAAACCACCAGGTTTATAGGGGATGTGGATATGTGGCTTGGCCAATTGGGACTCATTTCATTGAAAAATAAATCATCTTTCTTTTAAAAGTGAAAAAACTAGTCAAACCAGTCATCAATATTGGGAGAGAATTCCAAATTTTAGGACCTTGGTATAGTACTGCAAATTGTTTAAGATTAGTACAAACAGTTATATGGTTGATAGCAATTGGTTATTCTTGTATCATAACTGTGTACTTGCCCATCTGCAGGGAACAAGCTGAGAAACATCAGTGGCAATGGTTGATTATGATAATAAAACATAAATTTAGCTATTTGCAATGCGCTGACTCGGAAAATATCTAAGTTGCCCAATTTAGCAAATATTACATCTGCATACTTTTTATTTCCTTCATGTTAGGTGTACCATCATGCATCAATCTTGCTCCTGAGTGACTATGCCTGCCATTTCACCCCCTGGCCAGCAATTGGGGTTATGTTAGGGATGAACTCTTTTGTACATGTATTTCTTTATCTTTACTACGGCCAAGCAGCACTGAACCCCACCCAGAGGCCGCAGTGGAAGAAGACAATGACACAACTTCAAATGGTTCAATTTGTCGTTGGTATTGTACACTCTTCTTTTGGCTATGCTCATCATGGTTTCTGTGTTTATAGTATTTTCTATGGCCTCAGCATGCTGGGTTTGTTTGGTAATTTTTATTATCAAGCTTTTATACGAGTCAGACTTGAGAAAAAATCTGAATGATTTAATTTACAGCCCTGACTTTTTACAGTTCTCGTGAGTGATTAAGACAGAATTTCTCCTAATAATATCACTACAATATCAAGCCAACAAGACAAGAGAATAAAGAAAAATATCAATCCAATATCAAATCAATTAGGGGATTATTACTTAATCCAATACCAAATTTTCCAAACTTACATTATAACAATTGTATAACAAACAGAAAGGATAATTACTTATGAAATCTTGGGAGTGAAAGGGTTAACCATTGAACCCAATCAATCACTTCTATAAAATAACCCTAAAACAAAACGCAGTATGTTTTAATTTTTTATGGGTTTACCAGTGCAATAAACGGTAAGCTTTTGATCAACAGGGTGTTCATAATATGTTACTTATTTTCTAATGTATAACAGTTGAGAAACAGTCTCTTGTATTTTTTAAGTTTACCTCTCTCTAAAAAGTTTTCCTTTTAATAAAGGTCATTTTACATATTACACACATGCCACCATAAATAACTGAGCCATGGTATACTCAATAAATATATCTTATTGTGTTCTATGTCTTGAAGATCACTTCTTAAGCTTTTTTTTAAAGAAAGACTGATTGAAATAATCCAAACTATGGCAAGCAAGCAAAACAAAATTCTGTTCTGGATGAACACTCTGAATTTTATAATCCAATTCCACTTTACTGGCCAGGTTGGCATTATTGAACTATGTTTGCATAGCAAGCATGGCATTTTGCTTTGCAACATGCCATTCAAAGGGGTCTAGATGCATACCCCCCAGAAAAATATAAAATTTCGAAACTCTCTGAGATGCAATTTCCAGCATTCTGGGACATATTTGAGTAACCTAATTTTAGCCAGACATCAGTGTTAGTATCAGTTCAAAAATACTTCTTTTCTGTCGTTGATCACAACTCTAAGAGGAACCAGTGTAAAATGGTCTGACAGCTGGGCATTTCTGCCGCTAACCAGCTTCTAATTACAACGCTGACTCATGTCATGTTTGCATTCCAGAATTACTCAATGACTGTTCCAGAGCAGCAACAGTTGCCTCTCTGCCCAGCTTTCGTCTCCAAAGAATTAAAACCTGATAAATCTGTTCTCTTGAACGATGTGGATTTTGTCTTTTCACTTCTCGTATTTCCTGCTTGGTGAAACCAAGCTCACGAGCCAGTGGAGTCCAGTCTTGTTCACCGATTTTACCAGCAATGTCTATCAATAGTTCATCTGAGATGGCTGACACATGCTCTGTCTCAGGCCTATAAAATTGTTCCAATTGGCACCAATTTATTATTAAAATATGTCAGGCCACTAATTATATACCCCTCCTTCCAATCCTCCTAATACATAATTTATATAAAAAAACAACACACATTTAACAAAAAAAGAAGCCCCCTTTTTGAAGTACAAAGCAAGTTCATTATTACCGGTATGTGGAAATATTAAGTATTCAAGAGTCTATGCTAACCTACTGTGTGGTGCCGGTGTATCTAATTCCTCAGGAATGATGGAGAATTTTGTGAGTTTAGTCACCTCATCTTCTGGGAATTGTAAAATCCAGTTCACCCACTGATCAGCATCAATATATCCTAAACAAAGCAGGTCAATAATAAATTCACATTAAATAATCACAATCAAAATTAAAAATACTAAATGGTCCATTAAACCTTTAACCCCTGAGAGTGACCAGCATCTAATTTCTCCTTACAATATCACCCCTGAATCACACATTAAGGTCATGAGAATAAAGAAAATGATCACCAACTAAAGAGGCTCTTGATTATTAACCAAATTCTCCTTGTCAGCAACTTAGGAAATGTATAGAGAACAGTATGGAGAATATGCACATATCTTAGAGTAAAAAAGGGTTAGGTCTCTCCATAAATTAACATCACAGGCATCTTACCCTGATCTTTGTCATCTAGTGTCTTAACAAGAAGCTCTGCTCTTGACTTGGCAGTTTCCTGAACAAACAACATTTTTAAATTTACTTTGATGTATGAGATGCTTTATGCAAAGACTTCGACCCCTCATAAATAAAGTAAAATTATTATTTATTGTTGGCTGATTCGCAAGCAGGTAAGACATGACAAATTCTGTGTTCTATCAGGCAAGCTCTGGAGTGCTTTCTTTGATCTCATAGATAACAATTGTTTCGCTCCTAGAGGTGAGTACCTGTCTTGTCTTACAAACAGATTATAAAAACATGCCACTCTATCAGCTCAGGGGGGTTATCATGATGGAACACTTAATTCTCTTGTCTAATTTGTAAGGGCATTTATGGCAGTCAGTTAGGAGAATTACATTTTGGATCTTGGGGGCGAAGAGGTTATTGAATAACTGCTAGCCTCTGCCTCTTTCTTATCAAATAATATATTAATTTGATTCTGTTTTCTTTGCAAATTCCTAGATCTTACCTTTATCTTGATCCATGAAAAACACAAAAATAACTTGATCTAGCCTGTAGTGCAGGCATCTCATTGGGGCCAGTAATGTACAAAAATCGTATTCATTTATTCCACTGGTCATGTTTGATTTAGAGTTAGAGTGGAAGATGAGGGGAGGGAGTGCAGGAAGACAAAAAGACCCCACCCTTTCCCCTCCCATTTTTGACTGTCGCTCACCCTCTTAGTACCAATTCCTTTCTCTTCCCAGTCTTTTGCTGTTGTATAAATCAAAGATGGCAGCTGTAATTTTCACCAAGATTATACTGAGCACTCGTCTGCCAAAATTACACCTGCACTACCGGTTTAATTTTATTATTAACAATCACAAATTGTAAACATATTTGTTCTTACTTCATCAATGCTGCTATCAAGTGACATCAAGATCTGTTGTAACACAGGGACATCCAAAGGTTGTGATTTGTTCAGCAATTCAAAAATTCCTAAACCAGCGATACAGAAACAAGTGAATTCTTAATTTCAGCATTCATAAGGATTAAATAGTAAATACAAAGGATGCTTGAATAGAGGAGATGTTGGGGGCCAAATTCACTGTTAATTTTCCTTAAAATTATCCAAAAATATGTTGTATAATATTCAACTTTTTCTTCTTAGTTCTTAACGTCACAACAATAAAATTTAAAACGTCTCTCTCGGAATATTTATTGAAATACAGCCTGCCTTAAGCTTCACCCAACCCCTAAGGCAAGACATTTTTATTTCAGGATACAGCAAGACAAAAACTACCAAAGATAACTTGTTGTTGATCCTTTAACTTTCAGAATTGATTAAAATGTAACTTCTCCCTTTGATATCAATTCATAATGCATCAAACAGGTAATGAGAATCCTCAAAGTTATCAGTTTAAGTTGTTATCCAGATCTTACAACAAATTCTTGTAACTAATTTACAAGAATATGTCCAGCAGCTGGAGGGGAGAATTAACAATCAGGATTAACCCTTTAACTCCCAGAAGTTATTACCATAAAACTGCAGCAAACAGGTAATGAAAATATTCAAGCTTAACAAGTTGAAGCTGCTATCTTGATCCAGCACCAAATTCTCATAACTAATTTACAAGGAAATGTGTAGCAGCTACAGGAGAGAATTAATAATCAGATCTTGGGGGTTAAAGGGTTAATGCCTGTTTTTGCTAACATTCTTCAGTTATAACTTGTCCAGTCTTATAAATACCTGCTAGTTTCTTGTCCAATGGAGCAGTTTTCCACCACTTGAACACACCAACAAATGCATGGAAGTTCACATTTCCATTCTCATCTCTTGGAAAAGTTGTCAAAATCTAAGATGCAGATTGTCAAGAAAATATCTCAGAATTTTCCACCACCTACTAGCTTCAAAAAGCAACCCTTCTACAAACCCTTTAACTCCCAAGATCTCATTATTAATTCTCCCCTCTAGCTGCTACACATTTCCTTGTAAATTAATTACGAGAATTAGAAGTTAGATCAGGATAAAAATCTCTACCTGATATGTTTGAGTACTCTCTATACCTGTTTGCTGGTGAATGTATAAATATTATAAGGAGAAGTTTCATGCTGATCACTTTGTCTAACTTATTTGTTTATCTCTATTGTTCCATTTAGTTCAGAAATGCTACAGTTTTCAACGGTTAAATGTAGCTATCAGTCATAATCAAACAATCATAAAGTATGTTATGAAAATTGTCACCTGTCTTGCTAATGGATCTGATGTAAAAAGATGCTGTTGAAACGCCTCATTTGGTAAAGTTTGTTCATCATTGGGTCCAAGCTGCTGAAATCTGGCCCAAAGTCGCTCAGCTTCTGCCACAACCACTTTGAAATTTAAGAAAGTTGGTAAACTTAGTGATATTAAATGATTCCTTTTCTAGTTTCAAGTTCAGTTTTAAGGTAATGAGACATGTGCAGGAGCTAGAAGGGAGAATTAATAATCAGATCTTGGCACCAGTTGATCACCGCTGAAAGATACATAACAGCTACATATTAAGACTCCTGACAATATAGCGAAGTGTTGCAGCGATCTACCTGTCCCGATCTCACTTCCAAAGCAAGAAGTCATTCGTGGCACAGCGTCATTAGAGCTTTCTTCGTCATCTACTCTCGCTGTATATATAGAATCCTCTTCATTTGATCCGATATCACGCTTTTCTTCTTCAATCGGACTTGTAGTTTTCGGTGGAGGCGTAGAATTAATTGTTTTGAAGTTTGATCTAGAATCTCTCTTTGATAGATTTGACAGTCGTCGGAAAAAGCTCATTTTAGGAGCTGGTAAATGAAATTAGATAAGAATGTCTCTCCGCGCAATTTTTAGCGCCCGCAAAAAGGCAAAAGAATCAGTTCAACTATATTGCACTTACTTGCAAACTCCTCTGGGGATATCGGCTCTTCGCGTAGAAATAAAGGCTTTAACACCTCCTCAAGACCAGACTCTGCGTTCTCATAATTTATCGTGTCTGGCGCGGGTGGATCAGGGATGCCTGCATTCTCAGTGTTTTGTTGCTTTTTCTGCCCCCGCAGAAACTTGAACATTTGAAGAAGGTATTTTTGAAAGCTGTTGAAAATTATTTCTGGTATTGTTTCACAAAAGGTGGCGTTCCATTACACATCATTCCCAGCTGATTTGAGTTTCATGCAAATTTTATAGAAGTCCAGTCGCCATGTTTGTTTTGAAATTTCTTACAATGCACTGTGGGAACGTGCTTACATTGGAGGCCGAGAGCGGAAGTTGCGACCGCGGTTTGAGCGATCAGTGATTTGTTTTCAGGGAAGATTTCTAACCTATTGGGCTGAAATTTGATGAATTAGCTCACAGGAAACTCAGTTTATCTATTTATACATCATTCATGTCGTCTTCTCCACTAAACCAACTGCAGAAACCTGCCATTTTGCTTGGCGGTGCGATCGTAGCATTTGTACTGTTAGTAACTCGACAACCAGTGGAATTTGAGATTAATACCATCTGGGTCACTGTAGTGTTAATTTTGGTATTTTCATCTGTGGTCGCCATCATTAAGTCACTGACCTTTGTTCTTTGTACACATGTTCTTTTTATTGATATGCCTGACCCTGATAACTATGCAGCGGCTTTGCTGAGAAGCTATCAATCTAAAATGAACGATAATTTACTTGCAAGAGTTGGAAGAAAGGTATTGAAAAGTTTTGGACTTTCCTTGTGTCCGTTGTATATCGTTTGTGCTGGGCGTCGTGTTAACCTCGGGTTAGCGCACAAGAACGCGCATGGAAGATTCTTTGATGAGTCTGCAAAATGCTGGTTGAATTGGGATCCTAGTCAGCACATTGGGCAACTTGCATCAGATAAAGATATAATGTGTGACTCAAAGACAATTGAAGATTCTTTCTTGGTTCTTAAGAAGAATATGTTTGACTTGGACTGCATCCTACATTCTGCAGGATTTGCAGATTACGTCCTAGTTAGAGGACATATTGCCAAGGAGATTCCATTGTCGTACTCGCATCATGCAGATGAATGGCGTTTTTACAACAATGTAAAAAAAAGCTGGGTTTCATCAGCTGAGTATGACCAGTTATCTGACAGACGCTGTGATGAGTCCGACGATTCTCAGGATTTCGAACAAAGGAGGAAACTAGCACATCACATCATAAACAAACTTACAGGTGCCTCAGATTTTGCATCAAGCTGCTTTGGTTCGCACTGGTTGAGTTTGGACCAGTTTCACACTCTGCTGTCTAAATATTCAAAGATTGGTTTGACTGTGGCTGGTCCAGCAACAGATATGGCATACTTGGTTAAAAAGGTATCCAGTTGGACAGGTAATGTGAGAGAAATAAGTGCAATGTGGGCAGTTTGTGAACTTGGTTTGAACACAGGCAAGATGAATGTATGTGAGATGAATTTTAATGAAGCTGCAGATCTGGAAAGTGCAGAGTGTTTGTCACCCAAATACTTTTCAAATGCAACTTTTTCTTTCCTACCCACTGAAACATGCAAGTTGACACCACAATTCAAAGTGACGCAGGAGATGGCTGAGGAAACGAGAGTGCTGCAATGCATCAAGGATAAGATAGCACTGTGGACTCATGTTAAAGGTGGAAAAACAGAACCTTTGTTTGATTATTTCATCTGCGAGTCCCCAGATATGATGGAAACATTGCTTAAAATGGGCCTCATAAGAGTGTTTGTGATCCCAAAAATGCACGAAGGATACATGATATTGTCACCAAGTGAATGTGAAACCAAATTCACTGCCTGGGTGAATCCAAGTGAAATGTTCAGAGTTTTTATACAGGGAAAAAGCAAAATTTATTTTGATGGCAATCACTGGTCCTCTGCCAAGGTCGTTGCATGACTCTTTTATGTTGACTTGAGACTTCGTGTCACTGACTATTTCAAGAAATACAATAAATTGTTTGAGGTAAAAGGTTAAGTCTGTACTTGAGGCAAGTGGCCAATTCAGCTGGCAGGTTTTTATGACGTGAAGCCACCAGGAGTATTTGTACTTCCCCCTCCCTTTCCTGGATGGGATGCCAGTCCATCCCAAGGTTAACCCCCAAGCATTTCTTTATTTCTTCCCTGGCAATTTGCCGGTACCTGTTTATACTCCCGACACGACAACACGACACAATGACACGGCCAGGACCCAGCATCTAGCTCACTACGCACTAGGCCAGTGTGTCCCCCACAAAATGTTTGAACCTGGGAGCCTGGGAGTAAAATCTGATTGTGTAGTCTGATCATCCAGGTGAGAGTAATCCTAAGAGGGACTGTTGTTGGTAGTGGTGATTAGTGTTTCAACAACCACTCAACTCGACAACGACTTCTGTCAAGGTTGAGTAAATGTCAGTCACTACTTGCAAAAACAGGCCTTCTCAGGACTGCACACACCAGGAAGATCTGACCACATAGTGAAATTTTTGAAGAAATGTCAGTATTGCAGGAGAGTGACCCAGAATAATTGATCCCTTCTCTCTGAACTCCTACAATTCACTTGGGTCATGGACTGCGGCCTAACAGATTGTTCCAAGAGCTGATGAAAGCCCCTGTAACAGACTTTGTCTTGTTTCAAAGAGTTTTCTTGTCTTTCACTGCCTCTTTGCTTCTTGAATCATTATTGCGAAGCTGTTTTGGCAATATTCCTTGCTTCAATCTTCACCAACTGATACAGGTGCGCAACTTTTCCCTTAGATCCTGGGCTGCTTGGGCAGTTTTGGCGGCTCATTTGTAATATTAACGTTGTGTAAACATCCTCTTGGCGTCCACTTACGATCTTGGGTTTGGTAGAATTCCAAGATGGCGTCGCCTTTCGAAGGTGACGGCGTACGGGTCTTGTTGACTTGTTCATGTTCTGCCTTATCTCCGGCGGCTCGTCTGTACTTCTGCCGACACTGTATTAAGCTGAGATGTCCTCTATGTGTCTCTCATGAGGTAGCTTCCAACGAAAACCCAATCTTGGATTATATATTAGAACTCACGTAAAAAAACAGCTGAATAGTAAACGTGGCTGATCCTCTTCATTTTTTAGGTGGATTCGTATTATTGTCCGAACTGTCTGGAAAATATGCCTTCAGCAGAAGCGAAAGTTAAGAAGAACAGGTAAATTGTACGGTAATTAAAGGGGGAAGCGTCTTTTAAATGTGAAAAGTTCGTTCTGTTGATGTATACGTAGCTGTTGATAGAACTTATGGTACAATACGATATTATTGAAGGGATGTCGCAAATTTTGTGATCATCATGGAATATTGGACCAAGTATTTTATCGCGATGTGCTTCTAGATTAGTGATCAGAAGCAAGTATTTCAAGTAACGAATGGAATGATAACTCAACCAAATCAGATCACCTTGAAGTCGAGATGAAGAACTTTGAAACCAGTGTAGTGGCCAACTTTCCCACACCGAATAATCTAACAGTTTAAAGCTAAGATTTCCGCACAGCCCCATGCTTCATCATGCATGCAGTTCATGTACGGCGTTGTGCCGAAATCTTGGTATGTCCAGAAATGCACGCAGTAACGAAAATGGCGAAAATTCATCAAAATTGTCAAATCTGCCAAGCTCATTTGGCTTTGACAAATTTGACTAAAATTCGCCAAAATCATCAAATCCATGAACATTCACTTGGTTTGACAAAAATTTGTCAAATCTGCCATTTTCATTGCTGCATGAAAAAAGTAGGAAATCATATCACTTTGATTATTATTTCCTTCTGTAAATTACAGATGTGCCAATTGTTTTGACTGCCCAAGCTGTGGTAACACACTTTCAACACGAGCGACAGCAGTGGCCATACAGGCTGAGAAGGGAGGTGATGATGCCAAAGCCATGCAAGCCAAGAAGGTGTATTACTTAGCCTGTGGCTTCTGTCGCTGGTCATCCAGAGATGTCGGCATTGAAGATAAAAGTGTTGGTGAGTTAAAGTTACCATTAATTGAACAGATCATGGCATCATGCATGTATAGCAACCATTTTTTTTTTTTGGGGGGGGGGGAGGAGGGAGGAGGGAGGAGGGAGGGGTTATTTGTAGTCTGTTTCAAACTCATTTCAGTCAAAGCCCTCTTAACACTTTCAACCCTAAGAGTGACTAGCATCTAATTTCTCCCTACAATATCACCCCTGAATCACTTCTTAAGGTCCTGAGAATAAGAGAAATGATCACCAGCTAAAAAAGCTCTTGGTTTTTTAAACAAATTCTCCTTACCAGCACCTTAGGAAATATATGATGAGCTGTATGGAGAATATACATAGTGATGTCAAGTTTATTAACTGAAATTCTAACCATTGAAAGTTAAGCTCTATAATATTCCCTGGGGCAGTAAATCTGTATTGTTTACTGAACACTGAGGATTAAATAAGTTTTTTCACTTATCTGTTGCTACAGCATTACAGTTTCTGTTGAATAATTTGCTAAGTTCTTTCTTCTGATGCCAAATTTACTTTCCCTTTTTCATTTTCCAGCAAGTGGTGCATGGCAAGAACAGGAGAGTCCTGCTACTAAAAGGGTACTTATTCAAATTACTAATTCAAATAAATATTGGTTGACTTTGACTGTTATTAATCATGATATAGTAAGCGACACCTCTCGCTAATGGCTATAGTTTGCAAGGTGAAGTGGTTTTAATCAGATTTTAGCAGTAACCAGTCACTAGTCTTGGACAAAACAGAAGCTCTGTTTGTAAACTCTATCCTAATCCTCTTACTCTTAATATCGCATTAGTAATTCTCCTTACTGTCTGCCATATAATTCTCATGTTGCTGGTCTTGAGAATTTGCTATTGGATCAACAAATAATCCCTTAATTGATATTTATCTTTATTCTCACCACTTGCCTCCCTGATATTGTATTCTCAATGATAAAACGAAGAGAATTGTGTGACAGACAGTAAGGAGAATTACTAACGATATCTTGGAAGTGTAAGAGTGTTGTTCACTTAACAGGGTAGCATGTTGTTCTGTTTTCATTTTTCTCTCTCATATTTTTTTGGCTGACTTTCAGGTTAATGTCCTTGTGGAATATTATAGACAACTTGCACAGAAAGAGAAAGTGGAACGGGAGAAAAAGAAATTGACCAAACGACGTAATTTCATGCATTTATCGGTGAGTAACCAGCTTGTACATGAACAGATAGATTTATTTTGCTGAAGACAAGTAGCAGCAGTAATTTTGTGGGATTTTGCATTGTATGATTGCAATCAAGATTAACCTGATATAATTATATTTTCCAAAGTAAAATTTGATCATAAAGAAAAACTCAATAATCTAGAAAGTCGATATATTTTGTATTCAGCTAAATTCAAGTATATTATAAACTGTTAAGTCTTTTAAAAAAGTTAAGGCGTAATAATACATGTGCATTTAGGGGTTACTTTTTAAGAGTATAAATTTATTACAATAACTTTGCCTTGAATTTAATCAACATAATGTTATTGATTATCATTTTTGTACAATCATCTAATCCTGCATGGCAAAAATTAACTACACTGGACACAGTTTACTCCACGAAAGGTGAGGTTCTGTGACATTTGAGTTTTTACCAAATAACAAGTATGAAATAGTGATAAAAACTAATACTAAATCTTTTGGGGGGTAAAAAGTTATAGATCTTAGTTTATAATTGAAATGTTCAACATTGTAATTCTAAAACCAAAAATCAGGGGACTTGTGTAAATAAATTCCTAAGACAAGATTATTTTATTAAGCATAATTTTTACCAGTCATTTCTCAAAGTGTATACTCTATTTAAACCTGCAAAATTTAACTGCCTATTTTTCCTGTTTATTGTTCAATAATAAAGTGCTCCCTATACTTCTAATTGCAATTTAAATTTTCACGATCTTCGGCAATTTAGTTTAGCATAACATTGCTAAGAGACCAGACTATCCTCACCCAAGGGCTTTAGGCAATGAACATTTGGTTTGGTTTTTTTTTTTGGTAGTATCACTGTTAATTTTTCCAAGACATTACTAATTAAAGAGAACTTATCAGCCATTACAATACCAACCTTGGTTTTGTAATTTGGAGGTAAGTCATTCAGTCCAAGTGGCAATGTTCTTTTAACCTTTTTTTTTTTTAAGGATAAGTTTGGCTTGTCATCACTAACAAGACGCAAAAGCAGCCTTTCCTATCTTACTGCTAGTTTCAGTCCAAAAGGGTAAGTTTTTTGTCTGTTCTTGAGTGAATATTTTGCTATCCTGGAGGGTAACTCCAGTCAATTGTTGGAGTGTATCGACTGGGGATCAGTCTTCTGGGTCACCCTCCAGGATAACAAAATATTTACTATCTTGGAGGGTGACCCAGAAGACTGATCCCCAGTCCATAGACTCCAACAATTGACAGGAGTTGTAGGACACCCCACAGATAGCTCCCTGAGCTAATGCAACCCTCTCTTCCCCCTCTGATAAATTGGTCCATGGGCAAATATGACCCCTCTCCCCTTTGGATAGATTGCTCTATGAGTCAATGCAACCCCTCTCCTCCCCCCCAAAAAAATTGATCCATTAACTAATGCAACCCTCTCCTCCACTCAGATACATTGGTTCATGAGCTAATACAACCCCTCACCCCTCCTTAGAAAGATTGGTCCATGAGCTAATGCAACCCCTGTCCTCGCCACCTTGGATAGATGACCCATGAAATCATGCAACCCATCCCTCTCCTCCCCCCCCCCCCCCTTGGATAGACTGGTCCATGGGCTGATGCAAGCCCTCTCCCTTCCCTTCTTAAGGATATTTTGTACAGCCCTTATGCCTTTTCCTTGCAATCAAAACAATAGCATTAAGTAAAGTGACTGCACACTATTTTGCTTATAGGAAAGATATCATGGATGAAGAAGTTAATTTAAAAAATCCAAGTGAAGCTGTAGAAGAAGTAGAAACATTACCAGAGGAATTTTACAACAAGCCCTTGATCCTTGAAAAAGGTAGCTGGAAATACATTTTAACATCACAGTTTAAATTGCAAATGTTAATAGATCAGTTTCAGTGTCTGAGGAACTGCACACCTACCCCTCCCCTGGCCCAACAACAACCACCTGATAACAAGTCAGGGTTAATGTTAGGTGAGGGGTAGGTACACAGTTTCTTGGTTACTGACATTGATCTGCCAAAGTTTAGTTCCATATTCTTTTCTATGTCAGGGAAGTCTCCTTATTAGAAAGCTCACAGTATTTTGTTGAACAATATATTTTCTAGTTCCAAATCTGTCACAAAGACTTTGTCAGCCTGATTTCCAGCCAGGAGCCATTGGGTGAGATTAGAATGTTTCTTCATAACTTGTTACAAACTGCAGAGAGCTTTTATGCTTGCACAGCCATTAACTGCATTGTTCCATTTTCATTATTCATAACGTTATTGTCATTTCTGTTTATATTATAGTGATCTTCACCCCAGACACAAACACCTCCTGGCAAAGAGATCACAACGCTGCAGGGTGAGGAAAAGAAACCTGTTAAATAATTGTGATGTTTTGGCTCATGACTGAGACAGCTCTGTTTATTTTTTCATTGCACAGGAATGTGAACATAACCTCAGCAAACCAGAGTTCAACCCATCATCAATAAAATTCAAGATTCAGTTAGGAGCAGTGTAAGTACACGGCTCTGTTCTGTGTCCAGGGGTGTCTTTTGGGAGAGTTCAAGTGCCACAGGTTACCAACTTTGACGTTTTATCTTTGGGAGACATTGATGATTCTGCTTTTAGTTCATGAAAGATTTTACCCCTGTAGACCCTAACATCAGCATGTATATTCTCCTTTTTGTTCCCTACACATTTCCTATGGCACTGACAAGGAGAATTATGCTAAAAAATCAAAAGCTTTTCAAGTTTGCAGTCATTTCTATAATTCTCATGAGCCTGATGTTTGATTCAGTAGTGACATCTTGGTAAGAAATCAATGCTAAGTGCCCTCCCAGGGGTTAAAGTGTTGAGGTCTGCGATTTCTGAGTTAATTTCCCACAGACATGAGTTGATTCTTCTAGTAGCAAATCTTCTGTGCCCCTTGTCACTTGTATTTGTGTTAGTAAGTCTGCGGTAAGAAGTTTTTCTTGCAATGTACAAAATAACTTTCAGCTTGGACTATTTTTGTTAACCAGTTTCTTTGTTTATCTTGTTCAGGCATTATGTACCACTGTTGAAAATTTCAAATGTCCCAGTTCTGAAGTTTGGCAAGGTGAGTGTCAATTGTGAGCTAAAATTCCTCACTTGCTTCCCAGCAGAATTTTTTTTACCAATCTGGAAACTTGACAGGCAGAGACAGGGTATCAAATTCTCAAAGCATAGGTACCGAATACTTATAATTGAGAAGAACCACAGTACCATTGAGAGTGTGCCATAATGTAAAGCACAGGAGAACCAATGAGATTGCACCAAAATGCATCATTAGTAGCTGGCCATAATGCAACAGAAAAAGGGACTCATAACGATTAAACCCTATTACCTACCAAAGACCAGACGAAAAGCATTCAAAACATCACAATCCTTGATTGATAGGATGAATCTAACATCAATAGTAACTCTGTATCATTTATCATTGTCAATCATGGGAGACGCGGTGGCCAATGGTTAGTTCATAAGACTGCAAATTGAGAGGTCTGGGTTCAAGACCTGGCCAGGTCATTGTATTATGGTCTTTGCAAAACACTTTACATTCACAGTGCCATTCTCCACCAAAGAGTGTTAATGGGTTGCAGTGAATTGTCAGGGAGGCCCTCTGAGGGGAGAGGTAATACTCCTAGTCCCTGAGATTATGCAATAAGCTCCAGCTGGATGGGCCTCTTGGCTCAAGAACAGACTTTACATTATCATTGCCAAACAATGAACAAACATTGTGTTATCCTTGTGATTGCAGGAGTCTCAAGTGACCCTCTCACTGACAAATCCAGTGGAAAATTTATTAAAAGTCACCCTGTTACAATTTGAGGAAGAGGCAAAAGACACAGCCAAAGAAAATGACACACAGGACCAAGAGGATAAGTCAGATCAGAATGCTGACAAGAAAGAAGACAGGAATGAAAATGAAGAGAAGAAAGAAGATGAAAAGAAAGATGAGGGTGAAGCTCAAGACAAGACTGATGTAGAGAAAGATACAGAGAAAGAGAAGAAGAAGGATGGCTCGCTTGGAGTGACTGCTGTCATTCACAAGCCAGACCGCAACATGAATAACAGTTGTGAAAGTAGATGTTTTGTATCCACTGCTGAGGTAAATCTAAATATTTCTCTACCCTTTGAGAAAGAGTGATTAGCATCTAACTTCTCCTTAAAATGTCACCCCTGAATCAAACATTAAGGTTATGGGAATAAAGGAAATGATCACCAACTAAAGAAGCTTTTGATCGTTAAACAAATTCTCCTAATCAGCTTCTTAGGAAATGTACAGAGAACAGTATGGAGAATATGCATACTGATCTTAGGGTGTAAAGAGTTATAATGTATTGTAAGGAGAAATTCTATCTTGGTCACTCATGGAGATTAAAGGGTTTAGGGTCCATGGTCCCTGAGAGAAGGCAACTCACGTATAGCAATCGATATTTTTAATCACTGTTGTTCGTTGTTTGTTTGGGTTTTTGTTTGTTTTCTTAGGTTGTCTTGCCAACGTTCCCGCTGATGTTAGGAGCACGTGACGAGGCTGCTGAGTTTGATGAAATAGACTCTGGTACTTCTGCAGAAATGTTTAATGATGATCCAAGGTTAGTTGTGAAATGTTTAATGATGATCCAAGGTTAGTTGTGAAATGTTTAATGATGATCCAAGGTTAGTTGTGAAATGTTTAATGATGATCCAAGGTTAGTTGTGAAATGTTTAATGATGATCCAAGGTTAGTTGTGAAATGTTTAATGATGATCCAAGGTTAGTTGTGAAATGTTTAATGATGATCCAAGGTTAGTTGTGAAATGAAATAATTTAATACACATATATACGAAACATCGGATAGCGTTGAAGGCGCGCTCTGATTGGCTGCTCAAATTCCAATTATCCTTCGTTATTCACGGCCTCCGCTCGATAAAAATTGTAATTGTTGCAGGAATAAATGTTGAAACTGTTAAGCGTATACTGACACAACTATTGATCTCTGTTTCGGTGGCTAGTGGTGACTATTCGCTGAGCCGCAAAGCGGTTCAGTAAATATCCACCAAATATTAGGTGAATCTTTGTGAAATATTATATAGTTCTCATTGGCCGCTGAGATTATTCAGCTGAAATCAGTTTTAGTACTTAGGTTACACGTTGTCTCAATTGACACATTCAAATACTTCATATAAAGTACTTCTCTACTACTACTAAAAAAAATTGTATGAAGGATTAGAAGATTTACTACAACCTCAATGTTTTTGATTGCCATAGTGTATCAAACTGTAGGTTGTAACGTTATAGCTGCTTTTGTTGTCTTATCAGAGTTGTCGTCAACCGACAAGCCAACAAGTTGTGGTTTCTTGTAAAAGTTTTGCCACAAAAGCCACTTGGGGATGTCAAGGTGTGTAGGAGTTCTTGTCTTATTCAAAGCAGCGTTTTTCTATTTCAGTTAAGTGTTGAAAATAATCCGGGGTAGTCCTAGCTTTGCTTTACCGCTTCCTGTTGCTCAAGGTCGCGAACTTTACCGCGGGTGAAGAAACACTCGTTCCGAACCTCTCTCTGTTAGAAGAACTGTGGTATGCATGAGGTCTTCTTTAAAAAAGACGATAATTGGTCATTTACTGTCATTATTTTTCAGTTTTCCATGATCATGCAGTATGAATACAAACACATAACAACAGCCCTGGTGCGAGGCGGTCAGGAGTCGGAAGAACAAGTGGTTACATTGAAACACAAGCTACATATCAACCTCGGCCCAGTTCTGACCGAGTCATAAACTTAATATTATTGATATTTATAGAACGGTAGAGAGGGAAATATGAAATTTTGTGGTCCAGGATAGGGATAAACTATTGTGCATTTTCATATGTTCTGTGGGGTATGTTGGTGCGTCGTCTTTGTTATCGTGGTTGTTGGCTTCGTCGTCGCTTCCTGTAAACTTTTTTTTCGTAACTATTGACTTCGCCGTAATTTTGAAACATCGTCATCGCTAGCTTTTATTTTCGTCTTCGTGACTGTTAATGCGCCAATCAATTCAAAGCTTCAACATCCTTTCCCCCCGGGAAACCCACGACCATCTTCCTTGCTCGGGGGTAGGGAATTTTAGCCTGGTCTTGCTGGGGTTGGGAATTTGAACCAGAAGTGTCAAGTCTTTCCAGTGGAAAGTGGAGGTGGTAATTTGAACAAACCAAACTTCAAAAGTTCAAATTCCGGGGGGCGGGGGAATGGTGAAGTTTTCGAATCTCGTAGTTCTTCCAGAATCTAACGCAGGACTTCGACGTCTTCTGTAGCATGATACTAAAGAATTTCAAAACTTGTATTTTTTCTATTTTTACGCACATCTTTCGTTGAAAAGAGCGAGACAAGGCAGATTAGCAAAAAACATTAATGCGATATAAAAGGAGAGGGATCAATGCTAGTGTCTGGGTAATTGCGCACCTACTCCTCCCCTAACGCATCAATAACCCTAGCTTGTCATCAGTTGCCTGTGCTTGGGTTAGGGGAGAGGTAGGTGCGAAGTTGCTCAGGTCCAAGGAGAGTCTTAAGATTGTCAACGAAGGAAATAAAATAAGCCAACGCCTCAGGGAAGGAGATGAATAAATAAATGACAGGTTTGCAATGAAGGAAGGCCCGATTTAGGTTAACCCTTTACACTCTAACATCGGTATACAAATTCTCCATACTGTTCTCTATACATTTCCTATGGTACTTACAGGGAGAATTTGTCTAACAATCACGAGCTTTTAATCATTTCCGTCATTCTCGTGACCTTCATGTTTGATTTAGGGGTGATATTGTAAGGAGAAATTAGATGCTGGTCACTGGTCACTGGTTATTGGTTACATCTTGATGATGAGGGGATCCAATTAGCAGCCCGTAATACAGTGGAACCTGTATTAAGGGCCGCCGTATTTAGCGGTCACCCTTTGTTAACCAGTCGCTTGTCAAAGACCCAAATTTTTTCGCCTTACTGTAATTTTCACTTCTATCAAGCGGCCGTGGTCAATCTTTACTGATACCTCCAACTGTGCCACTAAAGCGGAAGCACTTAAAACTAAGAAAAATCCTTCAAGTATATCAATCTATTTTTCTCTCCCGAAATCAATGTATTTGGTACTTTGAAGGGAGTTTTTGTGTACCGAGAGGTCAATTATGGGTCTAAGAGACACTTTTTTTTATAACACCACTATACTGCGGAACCTATTTTGATCAGTCAACCCGCCTGTCCCCGTGTGTGACCGCCTTAATACAGGTTCGAATGTATGTATAAGAGAAAACTGGACGCTAGTTGTAGAGAGATGCGCGAAAGGGTGGCCGGGAAGGGTGAGTGTTCTGCGTTGTGCGTTCTCGAGCTTTGAAGTGAAGAGCAACATGGATAACTCAGAGGCACTACATTTGAATTTAGTGCTGGATCTGGTATCCTTTTTCAATATTTTCAGAGGAGACATGGAGAGAATCATCGATGAACATGCCCAAAACTTGGCACAAGCTTGTCGCGATTATCCCGATGTAGAGGTTATTCATTCCGGAAGCGGATTCGAAGGGCTTTCTCTTCCTCAACTGGTTCACGGTCAAACATGGAATACTGATGCCGACCACATGATCATCAAAACCAGCCCTAAATTACAAGAAGGTGTGAAGCGAAAGGAGACCGAAGGAGAGAAAAGCATTGAAGAAGACGAACACGTTGCGCATGAGAAAGGGTCTCTTTCTGACAAGGGATCAAATATCGCGGAAAATGACCTGTTCATTTATGACGCTTCGCATGCAGGATATTTACACTTGTCGAATAAGAGGCTCATTTTTCCAACTGATTCAGATTCTGTTCGGGAGCACTGCCTTCAGAATTCGAAATTCATCGAGAGTAGTCGGGAGCTCATTCCGTTGAGTCTTCCATGGATGACATCGAAGGAAGGCTCCATTGTAGGTCCTTCGTATTCCTTGCAGTATGCCACTGGCTCATATAACGTCGATCATGACTTTGTATATGGGCTGAAATGTGAAAAGTGGCCATTGCAAGCGACGGAGTGGATTCTTAGGGACAGGCCGCAATCATGGCCAAGTTTCGAGCAGGTTTCCGCGATATCATCTCAGGGTTGTCATGTCGTTCCGGTTGGTTCCCACATGAGCCACCTCAAGGAGTTCGAGTGGCGATTTTCTTTCTCTGTTGCTGAGCTGATGCTTGCTCGTTCCCTGACAGACGAACAAAAGTTAGCATACTCCGTGCTTAAGGTACTGATCAAAAGTGAGATGAAATTGCGTGACGCAGATGCTTTCGCCTCGTATTATCTCAAAACGTGTTTATTTTGGTTGCTTGAGAAGAAGGGAGTCAAGGTTTGGAATGAACAGAGCTTGGCCACAAATGTTCTTGAACTGCTCGATTTCCTTATTGCATTCTATGCCAAAGGCTCGGTGCCAAATTATTTTATTGCTAAGAACAACATGGTGGATCACCGCTCTCCTGAAGACATTTTGAAAACGTGTCACGCTCTGAGGGAAATCCGCGACTCTGTAACGCAATCTTTTTGTCATTACATACAAAGCAATCAAGTACTGCCCGTTTTGTTTGATACATCGCTCACTCAGCAGCTCAAAGAAAACCCTACAAAGTTTCTCCAGAATTGTAAATACAATTTTCTAGTAATGGCTTTGGCTTATATTCTAAGACCCGTGAAGAAAGTTCAAATTAACATTTCGAATCGGTGTCTCGAATCTGCTGCTTGTCTGGTGAAGAAGGCCGAAATTCTACACAGAGCTACTCGCGAAGCTGGGTCTCAAGGGTACACAAGGTTGCTTTCAGCTCTTTCTGACACTTTCACACCCGTTGAAAATCCAACAACAAACATGGTGCTTTCAATGCTCGAGGAATACTTAGCCACAGATGAGATGAAAGTAACGGAGGCGAGTGCTGTAGCCTTGGCGGTGTTTAACGTTTTTTTAGCTCTTCATCCATCGCCTCTCCACAAGGAAAGTTGGGACAATTCTCTAGAATTTCATGAGTACCTGGTAAACCCCATCTTCAAAGATTGCCTCTTCTGGGCAGCTCAAGTTCACGAAAGATATTGCGACGCCATCTATAACTTTGTCGTAAAGAAATGGGTTGGTGGACCCAACTTTTTTACAACGGATCACGAGGCCACCAAGTTTATGAAGCTTCTGATGGTAATTCTTGGAAAACCTACAAAGCAGGCAAGCGCTGTGACTGGATCTTTGTTTCATTCAAGCAATGAAGGACAAATGTTTTTCCTGACTCGTCTCCTCGCAGATTATTTGATGCACGTTCATTTGGAGTGCGCCTACGTCACATTTCAAGCAAGCGCGTTCCTCATGAACAAGAGTGTCCTATCCGAAATTTACTTGAATATTAACTGGGGAACCTACAAGCCAAGCCAACTGCTCGCTATTGAACTAGTCTTGTCTAAACAAGAATTACAAGCTGAACTGTCCGAGGAAGACTTCACTAAGTTGATTGAAAAGCAACACGAGTTGAAAACAGAACTTAGCATTGGATAGGGCGCAAACGGCGGGAAGAGGCGTGTAGAGTTGGGACTCGCGCTTTCAGCGCTTCACGCCTTGCTAGTAGTGACTGAGAGAAATAATAAAGAAATGCTGGAAGACTTACAGGTCTCAAGGAGATCTTGTTTGTGTGCAGAGAGCTTGTTCTTGACATGCTCAATTTTGTTTACCGTTTTTTATCACTTTCCAACGCCTGTAAATTACGTAAATCTGATCAAAAAATAAAACTTGCTTACCATCAGTCTCAATCATAGCTGCGAGAATAAAAAAAGACAATTTTCTCTCCCTTCCATAAAAAAACCAATGTCAGGGCTTCTGCAAATAAAGATCCTTTATCAGTAAGTTAAAAAAGGGTCAGTTGCGAGATCTAACAAAATTAGTTTTGACTGAAGTGATTCTTCGTACACTCTAGCTGACTACTGCAAAATGCGCTACTTTTTTGAGTTCCCAGTCCTCAGACCAAAGTGCAAAATAGTGTTAAAATTATTTCCGTTTCTTCTGATTCTGAAACACTTTGAAGAGCTCAACTCGAAAACGCCGCGATTTACATGAGATCACCGCACTTAACCACCCAATTATCACCTCGAAATTAAACCTCGAGTGTTATGAAAGGATCTTTTCTCAAACTTCAGAGATACTTTCAACAGAACAAGACTCTTCCCTCTGTGAGTCAGAGCGCGCCACGTAAGTTTGTTCCCAATCTCTCTCGGTTATTGGTCACACAACACCTAATAAAGAAAATATGGCGTTAGTAACGAGGTTATTTTCAGTGAAATTGTTATACCTTTTAATCATTTCACTCATGGCTGGTATAAATTTAGCAGACTTAGAAGGTCTGAATGAATATTCTCTCGCAAATATCACCGCAGCAGTGAAGAGCGGTTGCGTTTTGGCGGCATTGAAGCCGGCGTTGAAGGATACTACTCTTCATTCAATTTTTCAAAAACTTTCTATGGCTTTTAAAAATGAAAGCCGAGTTAATGTGGGAGTTTTAAGTCTTGGTGATGCAAGTAAGATCTCGTGGGAACGTAGTACAGGTCGAGATTTGGCTGATTATAGCGATCTGGCGTTCTTTCCAAGAAAAAAGTCGGACAGGGCATGCCTTATACGACCAGCTTGGAAACATTTACCTAAAGCCCAGATATTTCGGGGCTCCAGAACAGTTCAAGAATTACTTGCATTTCTCAATGAAAACTGTGAGACTTTCAGGCAACAGGATGGTAGTTTATCTCCAGCCGGTCTATTAAGGAGGAGAATTTTAAAAAATTTGTACCGGGTTCCAAAACGTGAGGACCTAAGACATGATCATAATTCAGGCCCTGTCAACATTGGTGGGACATGTGAACGGATTCCTCTTCCTTCCAAAGAGAAATTTTTTAATGAATACTATTTTCGATCAAAGCCGGTTGTCATCACAGGTGAGAAAAATTGTACAAACTTGGTAATATGTTTAGAGTCATTTCCAATAACCTTTGTGAACAGCAGCTAGATTATTTTTCCCCACAAACCCCTCCCTGAAGAACTTCAGACTGGACAATTTTATTGGAAGTAATTAAAAATTAAATTTAACTTATCTTCTTTCTTAAGCTTAGTGGCTTATCTGACTTAAGCTTACCTCAGCCTCCACAGCATGAATCTAATAGCCTTTTTCTAGCTCTATCAGTCTTGCCATCTTCCTAAAGGGGGGATGTCAGTCTATAACAAGGGGTTACTCACCACCCCCCAGGTTTCTCTGGCAACCTAGACACTTCACTGTAGCCTAAGGCACCAACCAACTATAGGTCATTCAATTTTCCACATCACGTAACAGTTTTTTGTAAATTACCCTTGCTTTGACTTTTCATAGATGCTGTAAAAAACTGGCCTGCGATAAAAAAATGGACAAGTGATTTCCTCACAAAAAAGTTTGGACACAAGATGGTGCGGATTGCATTTGCACCTTATGGAGAATATGAAGGTTGTGAGAAAGCCAACAATTTTGAGGATTTCAAACATTTCAATTTTCCAGATGTGGTGAAATCTCAGCTTCCTTTTCCAGACTTGGTGGTTGTTCGTCCTGCATTTTTAGAAATGAAATTCTCATCTTTCATGGAAATACTTCAGGCATCAAATAATAGTCATATTTCAGCTTATTTAGAGTACTCTTCAATACCAAGTTTACTTCCAGAGCTCGAACAAGACATCAGAGAAATGCCTTTTGTTGCTGGAGAATTAAAGAGAAGACATTTGAATATTTGGCTAAGTAATGGTAATACGTTAGGCAAGCTGCATTTTGACCCATTTGATAACTTTCTGTGTCAGGTAAGTTGATCTAAACAGAAGGTGTTCAAGTGGAGTATATTTTGAATTAGTTTTGTAAATTGAAACAAAAAAATCACAATGGCATTAAAAAAAAAAAGTGGGAGATGCGCTGTCCTTATGGTCAATGTGGTGGACTTTGGGTTGAAAGGTCCAGGTTCAAGACATAGCTGGGTCATCATGTTGGGTGTAAGACACTTTACTCGCACAATGCATCTCTTCATCCTGGAGTATAAATGGGTACTACAAACTGGATTAAGATTTTGCTGAACACTTAAACTCCCATGAGTGACCAAGACAGAATTTCTCCTTACAATATCAATACAAAATCAAGAAGTCAAGTGATGAGAACTTAGAAGAGTATCGATTAGGGGATCATTAGTTGATCCAATGCCAAATTCTCAGAAGTAACATTAGAAGAATTGTATATTGGACAGTAAGGAGAATTACTAATGAGATCTTGGGAATTAAAGGGTTCACCATTTACACCCTAACATCAGTTTACAAGTTCTCCCTACTTGAACTCGCAATCATTTCCTTTATTTTCATAACCTAAATGTTTGATTCAGGATTAATAGTGTGGGTAGAAATTAGATGTTTATCACTCCTAGTGTTTTAAGGATTAACTATTTATTTATACATCTCTATAAAAGTGTACAGCTTTATAACTGCAGTCAAACCAAGTGAATATCATTATCAATATCTCTTTTCCCTTTCAGATCAGTGGGACAAAACAATTGTTCTTATATGAACCACATGATAACGCAAAACTGTATGAAGCTCATATTCAAGAGGCTACACTCAGCTACAATCCCACAAACAAGAAGTTCCGTCGTAAAAAGCTTCTAGAAAGTACCTCAATGGTGATGTCTCCAGTTGATATCCTTAAACCGGATTATCAAAGATTTCCAAAATTTAAGGAGGCACTGGCTTTGAATTGTACAATAAATGAAGGTGATGTTCTGTTTATGCCATCATTTTGGTGGCATGAGGTCCAGTCATCTCCAAGTAAGGAAGAGCAAAGAAATGTAGCAGTGAATTTTTGGTAGGTCTCTTAACCCTTAACACCCTGATATTAGTATGCAAATTCTCTATACTGTTCTCTGTACATTTCCTAAGGTGCTGATGAGGAGAATTTGGTTAACAATCGAGAACTTCTTTAGTTGGTGATCATTTCCTTATTCTCATGACCATGATGTTTGATTCAGGGCTAATGTTGTAGAGAGAAATGAGATGCTAGTCGCTCAAACAAACTTAAGATATGTATAGAACCTTAAGATATGTATAGAACCTTAAGATATGTATAGAACCTTAAGATATGTATAGAACCTTAAGATGTGTATAGAACCTTAAGCTGTGTATAGAACCTTAAGATGTGTATAGAACCTTAAGATGTGTATAGAACCTTAAGATGTGTATAGAACCTTAAGATGTGTATAGATCACAGTATGGAGAGTATGCTTACTGATGTTAGAGTTTGGATTACAATTGAGGAGGTTCTTGCTTATCAGGGCCACATAGATCTGCAGGGCACAAAATGGTTTAATATTTTAGGCAGAGAAAATATTTTATTATGTTTTCAATTTAATTTACTAGTTTTTATTTTCCTTTTCTTATAGGTATGAGCCTTTTTTAACCAAAGAGTTTCCTTGTTCCACATGCAAAATGGACATCAATTCCTTTTATCGTCACATGCTGTACTCGTAATATTTACAGTTTACAAAAACATTGTACATGTCGTGAAGATTATCTTACATCGGTTCAATTCTATTAAAAAGATTATTTACAAACTTCTTGCGTTAAACAATGACCACTATCGACACAATTCAAATCGAGTCTGAAATTATTTGTTTGAAAAAACTTCGTTATTTTCCGTCACTGTAACTAAGACAACAGTGTTTGATTTTAAGTCCTTGGGTATTAAATTATACGCTTCAGCAATTAGGACAGAGACTGCCACAGAGGTTGCCCAGACGTGCAAAATCTGTTTGCTCCATTTTTCCATGGTGTTTTTAGTGGACCTTAGGACTCCACTAAGCTTTTTGTTGAGCAGTCTCTGAGCATCTTCTACCGTGAAATCTCCTTGATATTTCATGGCCCTTGTCACAGAAACACCTACTTTAGTGCTAAACATCATACACGTATAATCGGTTATGGAGCCACCTTCGGGAAAATACTGCACTTCCATTTCGGTTTTCTGCAGATCGGCTCCAAAACAGCGCCGAAGGAGCTCAAAACTTAGAATTTCACTCTTTTCTGAGCTACCCCCGGCGTTGGGACATGTTGACATTCGTTTAGCTCCTTTTGACAAGGACATTTGCGAAACCGGTTTCAGTTGTCTGAGTTCGGTAAATACCACACCAGAGTGTGTTTCCGTGCAAACTTTACGGCGAAGATTAAAAAGATTTCCATGTTTGACAGTGAAGTTTTCTCCAATATACATTTGTGCATCTTCAAGGAGAGGATCTTCGATCATGCTGTAACTCTCCTGTCGAAAAACATGGCTTTGACTACGAGTTCGCGGTTTCAGTACAATTTGGCCGTTCCATCCCGCTATGCCCATGCCGAGAACAATTTCGTTTCTTTTGTCGATGGAAAAGTGATTTTATGATGGTCATGTTTTTCTGGCTTGGTGTAGTTAAAAAGAATGATGAAAATTGTAACACGGGTTGTTAAGTATTCTTCCAATGTCTAATTTTGGTATGTTTACATGACTTTCATCATCCTTGCATCATGTTTTAACTGAGCTATAAATAGATGTGTTATGACATGACGTCATACTTGAACGTACCTTACAGGATTATAAATTTGCAACGGAAAAAACTGCTAAGAAATAATTTTTTCTTCAATAAGAAGAAATAGGGAAAGTCAGTTTTGAAACCAAAAACTGTAAGTATCTTATTTTTGTTTCTACATCATCCAATTGGAGATTTAGTCAGTCTATTAGTCAATACGGATTGTTCTTCGATTTTCAATGCAGTTTGTTAGGAACCTTCAGCGACATAGAAATTCATTATGCTGTTGCGTTTCTTTGAAGTCATGAGATGATTTAAGATATAAAACAGTTCAGAAGCTCCATAACCTGCATATTCTTGTACTGATGACCGGAAGTCTGAAAGTGCCGTAGACGGTCAAGGGGAATTTTAGTAAGGAATAGGGGAATCGATGGGAAGTGTAACTGTCATCGGAGGTCTCGTCCCAAGTTCCCTTGGGGTATCTCAAAAGCCATTCGATCCGACTTTTCAGGAAGAGAACTATGGGACAAATTTTCGAATTTGAAAACCTTGTGAACGAAACGAAAAAAAATTATTTTCAAGTTTTTCATGATTCATTAAGCACCACACTGTTTAAAGCAAAATTGCACTTTATTTTATCATCTAAGTCGTCAATCTTAGCTGGATTAACATTAAATTTCATCTTGTCCATAGTAGGCGGACATCGCATGCACGGGCATTTGACCGTTATCCATACCTCAGGGATAGTGAGCTTCAACTTTGCCTGGCTGGGGTGGGAAATTTGAACCGGAAGTGTCTAATATTTCCAGCGGAATACAAGAGTTGTATGTAATTATGGAGGCATTTAAAGGTAAATAGTTTACTTTCGCGAGCGAATGGCTCAGAAGAAAAGGTCTAGGTTTCTACGCGCTCTAGGTTTTAAAGTTTGGTCAATGTGTGGAAAGTCACGGGCGTTGATTTGCCTTTTACCAAAATATTGTGTGGGGCCGGCGGCTGGGGGAAGTGGAAGCTTTGGATTGATCGACGCATTACCAGGGGCAAGCTTTGTGGATTACCACGTGATGTCTCGAGATAATCATTCCGTGCTTAAAGAAGACCACTGCCAAAAACTCCGTAGTCTTTTACATCTATTTTTTATAATTTTTAACGTTTGATAAAATTCGGCTTCGGAGCTTCTCAGCGGTTAAAAAAAGACACTTCAGTGCAGCTCTTTCGTAGGAGAGTCATCCCACTGATCGCAATAAAATGTTCTATACCCAAAATAATTCTTTAACCATGGTCTCAGCGAAAGACTAATTGATTGCAAAAGTTGTTTTCGTTTTTTTGTCATTTGATTGTTTATTTCAGACAAGCCTTGAAATTTGATTGGTTACTGTGTTTTTGTTTTAGCCTCCTTACTGGCTGGGAAAAAGTGTAATTTGTGAGTAAATCGCACAGACGAGAGCCAATCAGATCGTAAAGATCACCACTAATTTCAAAGTAGAAACATAAGTAACCAACAAGTGAACCACATTCATATCAATCTACGCCACACTGTTTTTTTAGCTTAATTCAAGATGGCAGCGGAGAACGTTTTCCTCTGATTTCCTGCACCACCATCTTTGGACAACCGGGAATAAAAATTGCTGATAAATTGCAAATTATGCGGCAAACATTTAAATTAAAAACCTAGTGGATGAAAGGGGAACCTGGTTAAAAATAAATAAACAAATAAATAAATAACAAGTCAAAATCGTTTTTATTTTATCTTGTCAAACTGTCAAAAACACATTCCTGTTCCCATTCTTTCATACTACAGATTTAGTTTCAAATTTTTTATGATTCATAAAAGGTCTTGTTAATTTTTTGAAGAGCTGCACTTTATTGTTTCCTAGGAAAGTCTCCATTTTCAGCTATAAATTAAGGAAGAACATAATCATTCAATTGACTTTGCACATAAAAATTTAACTTGATCATATTGCAATCATGTCACAATTTTTTTAACAGCTTTGGTTATCCCATCAGGCGTATGGCGCACCATCATTCTATTCTTTCACCAGATCCCTGGTAGCTCGCTCCATAGAAACATCCCAAAGAGAGCTTGGCCCGGCTCACGTCCAATTCCAAGCATGCACCTGTGTGACCGGGTTTCAGCGAAACTTGTGTAATTTTAAGGCACGCCTTCACTGAAAAGGTGAATAAGCGGAAAGTGTGGCAAATTTCTGGTGGGTCTCGAACTGAAAAAAAAATCAAAACCGATTAAATATCAAACCACACTGCTGAGAACGAATCAGATTGTTGTACTGTTCCATTACGATTGGCTGAAAGATAAAGGTGATTTAGAGTATTAAGTGGTGCGATTTGTGATGAAATACAATGCTAAGAACCAATCAGATCGCAAGGACTAACAGCAATAAAAAATAAAACAAAGTTTACTTTCCTTGTTGGAAAATACAGGGAGAAGTCAGCTTTTAAAGTAACAGAAGTTTTCACGACGTTGATTGGGAATTTTAAAGTTCCCTGTAAGGTAAAAATTGTCATCAACAGCGGAACCGTATTTTCACAGTCGTTCGCTTTCAGTCTTTGTATTGAAATGTGAAAAAAATCTCAGTATGTATGAAATGAGAAACATCATACCATATGGAAAGCGTTTGAACGATTTTTATTTACTGGTTGCGATGCGACAAAATTTTCTACACTTCGCTTCGCTCACTTGTTCGTTTTTTTTTTGACGCATCGCAACTCGTGAATAAAAATCGTTTGTGTGCACTTTCCGTGGAATAATCTCCATTTAAGGCATGAACCATGCAGGAGAAGAAACTTATTTTTGAGATCTTTCTATTAGCTTTTACTCACTCGATATATGCTTCTTGAAAATGGCGTGACCGTTGATAGTCAACGCTAAATCAAATCCCTGGCAGATGAAAAAAAAAGAAAGAAAAGGCATTGACAATTTTGAATATAAGAAAATAAGGGGACCTTCAATTTCCATTTGGTCTGAGTAATTAATTGCAACAAAACCTCTCTTTTGAGGGACATCTCACGGTCAGAGAACACCTTTATTCAGGAGACAAAAACTTTGGTCCTGTTTCAGAAAGGAAGAAAAAGACCTTGGCCGTCATTAAAGGGACACTTTTCTTACTTCCAGGGGAGTGCCCAGAATGGAGGTTCCAATGTATAACCTTTGCATCTAGTACGTTAGTTTAAGGGACACCTCTACTCAGGATACACTTTTTATAGTCATTAGGGCATTCCCTGAATGGAGGTTCCGCACCAAAGAGACGAGATTCCACGAGAAGAGATGGAAATGAATAAGAATGAAAGGGTTGTGAAGGAAGAAATGGAAAGAAATGAGATCGAGGATAAAGAAAATAAATGAATAGAAGGAAATTAGGTGTAAAATGGATGGAAAGAAGAAAAAGGATGATGTAAACAGAGCAAGAAAATGTTTTAAGAAAGAAGATAAGGAAAAAAAGGAGGAAATGTGAGGAAAAATAGTTGACAGAAAAAGATGGAGCGGACGTGAATAAAATTTCTGTGTGCCTCACCTGTCCTGTTATATCGATGTCTGCATGAGCACAGGCTGGAAAAAAAAAAAAAAAAAGAAAGAAAAACGATGGTAACATATTTTCAGAGCAAAGACCTGAAGACACAGTTTTTTGGGATTGGTAATTATTTAGACTTTAAAGAACGGGCCTCGGTATCAGGAAGAGGTGGACCGTGGATGCCTTATGCTTCATATAGGTGTAAAGGAATTATACACTGAGTTCATTCAACGCATGCTTTCCAATTAAGCAGCGGTAATCTGACCAGCAACACACCCTCTCAGTAACCATACATTTCGTTGTCAACTATTAAAAAAAATTTGGTGTTGTAGAGACAAACTTCGTACTTTCTCCAAAACAACTAATGCCGTTCGGCTTAAGGCTTACATAGTTTCTAGTTTAATCCAGCCTGATCTTCAGGACGAAGGAAAAACTCTCGTAACAAGGTTGCGATATGTCTCCTCTCCCTCCCTTCCCCCCTTCTCATCAATCACTTTCTTCCCCCCCCCCCACCCACTTAGTTTCCTGTGCGAGTGTAACCGTTACCTAAGCCAAGATTAAACAATATTACCTTTCACAGAGTGACCAAATATTTTAAACTCTGCACAGCAGTCACATTGGGCTGGAGCCTTTGAACACTGGCAGCTGGCCTTGTCAACCGCCATCACTTCTGTGACGTCACCATCTAGTGTCTCCTTAGGTGGATTTGCCAGCAAACTAATGCTATCGATCTGGTTTTCCTGAAAAAAAAAAGTGAAATAAAAAAATTGAAACATGATTCAAAATGAAGGAAGAAAAATAGAAACTCATAGAAATCCATTTGGCTTAAAATTTGGAACACTGGAGTCAAGCCGACTGAAAATGAAATTAATTCTATTACTTGCCAGCTTTAAGATCTATATACCCCCCCCCCCCCCCCCACAAACATCGTAACGTGCTAATCAAAACTTGAGACGCCTCGCACCCAACCTTGTTCCCAGGCTCTATCTCTTTTGCATAGGAAAAGGAGAAGAGAGATAAAGGGGAGAGAAGCTGGGTACCAGTTGCCCAAAACTCTTCGAGAGAAGTTGTGGTATGAGATTCATAGACCAGGAAGTGGTGTGCTAATTAAGAGCTACACGGTAAGTCAAATGAATCAAAGATGAAGTAATACTAACCTTTGACGCTTGAAAGACATTTTTCAGTAAGGACATGAACGACGCAGGATCTAGAAAGGTCTCCATGTCCACTCCATGCCCGTCCCTATCGTGGAAGAAGAAGCAGCCGAGAGGAATGTCTCTTCCGCTGTGCCTCGATTTTAATTCCAGAGCTGCACATCCTCCAGTGTGATCTCTCTTGATCGTAATCTTGGTGAATTTCACGCAGGCCTTTCCATAATTCAGACGAGGAATGTCAAAACATGCAGGCCGTGGACGGGAATCTGTCGTTAGGAAAAAAGAAAATTTGTGCGGTCAATAACAGAAGCGCAGTCTACGCTGACGATATCTGATCTGCGTCACCTCTGTTGTCGCGTAATGTATCTTCCAGTGGAGAGCTAGTGGCGTGACGGTAGCGTGACGGCAAAAATAAACTGTTTAAGGCATGGACCATCGGAGAAGTTATGGTGGATGGGTGTAAATGGAATAATTTTCCTTGTAAATTGTCAAGAAAAAAAAAAACATGCCTACGAAATTACGCAAGAAAAGCTGCCTTAGGACTAAAACAAAATTCCCAGACAGGGTACCATCCCTCAAACATTCCTGCCTTAATCACTTTTCTGAGGCTGCGTCCCGTTTGTGGTGCAATGCTTTTCTCAGAATGAGGTGACGACATCGTTACAGCTCAAAGAAGAAGAAGATGAAGGAACGCAATGAAAATGAAAAAGTTAAATTTGCCGAAGGAAAAGTCATGAATATCAATTGGATAACACTGATATTCTTAGTCCATTTGCAAACGAAGGAAAATGTTCCTACCTGATACGGTGCGGTTGAAAACTTTACGTTTGTTCCACATCATAAAAAAGTCCACCGCCTGTAACGGAATGCAATGTGTTAAGGCTAGACTGCTACATGCATCAAATGCTAAATTTTCCCTTTCAGCTAATTTATAACGCATTGTTAAGTTGCAATTTTCCGAAAAAAAAAAGGCAAGTGTCAAGTCAAAGTCAAAATCATCAAAATTAGCAATAATAGAAGTAAAGATAGATAGATAGATAGATAGATAGATAGATAGTTTATTATCAAGAACCTTGCAGCCACAGGCTGAATTACGTTTGATTTACAATAAAATATATACTACAAAAAATACATGGCTAAGAAGAACTAATTAAAAAGACAAAAATATATAATTAAAGAAAAACAATATTACATCATTGCTTTATGGACATAGTGATGGATAAAACTATTTCGAGTACGAATGGTGTGGAGGCGCCGTGTAGTAAAAGAGTGCTGACTCTTAAAAAAGAAGTGAAGAAAAAAAAGAAGTAAAAGAAGTGAAGCTCACCAATGGCGACGGGACGAAAGACGAGTTCATACACACTGTAAAAAGTCAAATAAACAATCATTTTGATTGGTTCTTGCCTATGATCCATTGGAGGACATACGCATAAATGACGTCATAACAGACGTCACCGTATGGCGTCACCACTTAAACGCATGACGTCACCAAATACGCATAAATGGCGTCACCACTGGCACTGTCACTTGATGTTTTTCATCATAAAAACAAATAGATTCCATGTCCCCATTGGTCCGTTCAGTAAAAGATCACAAAAATGTCAAAATGCGGTAGGAACATCAGTAACACTCGGCTGCGCCTCGTATGCCAATTTTTTCGTTCTTACCACATTTATGATCTAGTACTAAACAGAAGCACAGCAACATGGCATCTATGTGTTGAATATATACAAACATCACTCGTTTCGTCAGAAAGTTCATCATTGTGGCAATTATAGCCACATTCGTTGAAGAGAAAATGAAAATGTCAGTTGCTTTTTCATGATCTCTTCTACGAATATACGAGACCTACACCCAATCTTTGGTAACTAGATTTAAACACCAAACTACGTGTGCTATTTGCAAAATCGTTCAACTCTTAAAAAACGAGTCCTTTATGTTGATACCACGTTACGCCTGTCACTAGTTTCCAGGTTTTTCCGAGCTAAGAATTTCTAAAGAGTCTTTAGCATCTGAAATAATTATTTTAAAATTTATACTTACCATCCGCTTCGTCATAATTTTGGAATGCAGGTGCCCTGATTTGAAGGCAGCAGCCGCATTTGTGATGTTCATCAGAACAGCTGCAGCGACGGCGAGTAATCTGTAGGGAAGACGAACTGAAATCCGCTTCGTCTTCTGCAATAAAAATTTCAGTGTCAGATTAAACGGCTTAGAATCTGTAGGGCGTGTTCTTTAGGCGGAGAAAATCTTTATCACGAACTTAGAGCTAAGTGTATGTTAAGGCGCCTGTTTTGATTAATTAGGGGCAAGATTAATGTGTCGTAACAACCATCCATGGTTCAAAGAAGATATCGGTTAAGAAATAGAGAAAGATGTTTTCGTCTTAGCACGAGTGTGGGTCAAGGAAAAAATTCTGAGTCCCCATTGCTGATCCTAACACGTATACAGGACGCGTGTCATATGAACTTCGTAAGTGGTTCAGTGGCTCAGTGGTAGAGCATCGGCATCATTATTATATATATACCGTGGGATGTATTTCGAAACCTTGGAGCCAAAATACTCGAAAATGAAATATTAGTGGAATGAAAAATCCATTTTTCGATGGTTTTAAATATGTTTGGAGCGGACATAATGCTCATTGCTTCGTCCTACGGGGCTCGAAAATGCAAGATATTTGCACTGTCTTTTTGTTAAACCACATCGAACGGGATGTATAGGCAAGGCGTTCTACAGACTGCTAGGATCAGTAATGTTGATCGAAAGTATCCGATGTCGAGAAAGAGCAAAAAAAGGGGTAACATTTGACACGTATTGCGAGCAAGCAACACTATTTTACATGAAAATTGTTACATACCATTCTCCCATGTCGGCAGTGCGTAGACGATGTTGCAGAAAGCCAAGAATGCGATGACCACTATAAAGCGAGCCATTGTGTTGTAAAGTATGCGGACGAGCTGACAGAATGAATAAAACAATTTGAAGGGACGTGTTTTAAATCATGAAAACCGAGAGGAATTGGTGACGACAATTCCGATCTTTTCAACCAATCAGGAAATATCATGGCCAAATATGACAACAAGAAAACGAAATACCTCTTAACTGCTTCGCTATATTTATCAAATTATTGCTGTAACGCATCTGTACCATCAAATGTTTTTTTTATATGCAATTTCCAATTTTCCAAGTACTAATAAATTCGGTTGAAGTGCAGTCACAGAATGAAGAACAAAACGCAATAGGCTGCTAAATCTCCTACTAAAAAGACAAGAACAGTTTAGATATTTTTGTACGGCGATTAGTTGGGTGAAATTGGTTGCAAACCTCGTGGAAAAAAATCCACTTGAAGCAACAAGACTATTTCATTTTCGCGTCATTTTAATCCGTTATTTTAATAGATCTTACAAGAATTAAAATCTACGGGAGATCAAAACTTCCTGACTTATAAAACTGAAAGTTTGGCTATGTCCCAAGTTGCTAGATGAGTTGTTGAACCAAAACAGAAGATCACGGAAACAGTCATCATGTGATTGAAATGTGATCGTTTCTCCACTTGTGGGTAGAAACAAACACTTAACGTTTTTGTCAAAACAAAATACACGTGGGCTATAGAGTTTTTGTTAATACACTGAGGAGTCCTCCTAATTGCCATTAATTATTTTTTCCTTTGTGACTGATAACTTGGTTTTTTTTATTTAAATTTCTCATTATGGTGAGTGTTCAAGCAAAACGAGATCTTGCACTTTCGTCGAGTATCATTAATAATTTTCCGCGACGTCAGCAATCGTTTTTCAGTAATGAATTCATGTCAGTTTTGCCCAATTTATAATTTCTAAATGCTGCAATGTCTAAGCTTGTTCCTAAATTATTTTTATAAAACCCTGAGGAAAGACGATTCCTTTGAAATACGTAATTTATTTCAATTACCCAGAACAAAAGAGATTTGTTGGTCAGAAATTGTTTATAGACTGAGATATCTACCCAATTAAAGACAGGATTTCTTGGAAAACGAACGCAGTTCCATTTGTTACCGGTAGTGGCTGTCTACTGAAATTAATCACGATACTCACATCCTTGGTAAATAAAAAAATTAAGTTGGCCCTCTTACTACTTGAACTAACCTTTGACTCTCCATGTTTATCAGAAATTATAAATCCACTATAAGGCCGATTTATCATACAAGGGCAACAGAACGGGCAAAGTACGTGACGGTATCACATTATAGAACAGGGAAAAAAATACGGACGGAAAGCGGAGTAACAAAATAGCCGTTCTGAACGATCTAACCTTTCATTTTCCCCATTTTAAGCTTAACTTTCAAAACAATGTATAATACTAGTTAAGGGCATTACATATTTTTGTTTTTGGTCATGAGCGAACACTGATGGTTTCCTTTTGTGTTACTTTCGTCTTTCGCGCACGCCTGGTGCGATCGGTATGATGCTCAATAAGGCTGTGGGATGTTTTTCGAAAACTAAATGCCAAAATACTAGAAAATGAAATAATTGTGGAAAAATAAATCTCTTATTTGATGACTTAGCATATCCGGCATACGGGGGAACATTTAGCGCATTTCTCTTATTTCCCTCCCCATTACGGCACTCGGAAAAATTTAACAGAACTCGGAAAATATTCGCGCGAGTTGAAATATCGAAGAAAGTATAAATTCTTAATTCACAGTTTTAGAACCGATAGAAGTTCAAAAATGTTTCAGGTCTGTCCAATATTTTCAATTAGTACACGGCGTGAATTTGCAGCGCGAAAAGTATTCATGTTTGGGAACAGCTGTTTTTTTTTCTTTAACACAATGGAGGTATCACTATAAAATGTGCTTAAAACTTGAAATCTGCTCAACCGTTTTCATTACCGAGTTCTTGTCAGACATTATGTCAGCTGTTCCTTAAAGACTGCGGTGCGATTTCAATGGAATACATTAGTAAATTATGACTAGAAATGAAGCCAATGAGCACACCTCTTGTTAAGATAATCTGTCAAAGTAATACGCACTCTTTGGGTCTAATTTATTTCAGCGGAGTTTAAATTTTTCTGATACAACTTCCTCGCCATAGAAACGGCTTTCACATGAATTGAATCCGTAAAACGCTTTCAGGCAGAGATCCGAAATTGTACAGATGGTTTCCTGAAATCAATAACTTCCGAATTTTCTTTTAATCAGCTTTATCTGATACAGAGTTTCACACGACCACAGGCCAACCCAGCGATCCACAATTGGTTAGGATTTGCATAAATATTAAAAAAGTCGAATCCACATTGTTTTGTTTCGCGGTGTGACGTCGCTGTTTTACACATCTTACAACACATCGATCAAGAAATTTCTCAGACAGATTCACTTCTTTGGTAATATTCCACAAAGCTTAATTGCCAAAGTATTCGGAGTACGTTTGTTACTCAACGCTAAAAATGTTACTTTCCGATGGTTCCCAATTGCGGACATGACTATCTTTGTTCAATATCAAACAGATTACATCTATCTAGAAAATCATTCTGCACTGAACAATTCTTTGGGTCCAGTATTTTCAGTGTTACTTTCATGAGTTTCCAATATTGCAGTTTTTTCTTCATCAGTGCCTCCTTCCTTTTTCTCGCCGTTTTCGGGACCAATCTTCTCGTAAAGCAGTGGACGACCAGCATCGGGTGACTCGCGGCTACAGCAGTAATTCCCCATCGCATTCAACACACAGTTCTCAAAACGTAAATATCAGATGAAGAGTCCTTCGCTATCTTTCAGAGCTCTTGAGCATCAATGATTCAGAATACCAGTTTCCTCAGAAACTTAATCCATGATATGTATTTCCACGTTTTATCTGGCGGACAACAAAACATATAAATTGACTCTTCTGCCACGTATCCTGTGACCTCTTTAGACTCCGATAGCGATATCTCGTCAGATTTGTTTCCAGTCTATCCTCCTCAAGAGGACTCCAATCGAGTTTGGTCTTGTTATTCTGTATTAGTGAAATTGAACTGACGAACGCGAGAACGAGGCTCTCCTAGTGCCCAGGGTCAATAAAGAGAATTAAATGTTTGAGATTGGTACGAGAGATTAACAGATAGGAAAGCAGAAATTACACCCTACAAGAATGCTTCGCATGAAATTTTGCAAGAGTCAGATTCTACTTTACCAAAGGTATAGAGGAAATTTAAATGTAAATCCACTGAAAAAAGTAATTTTCAGTTAATAATTCTGTTTTGAGGTGAAGTTGTAATTTCTGAAACTGCGTTCGTCATCAGAAAGTTTTAATGGGAATTGACGACCTATGATGCTGCAAGCGTCTCCACTTGACTTCCATTGCATCGAGGACTCTACACGAAAGTGGGTTTTCAAATCGAATTACGGGTTGTAGTGTTTTCAGTGCGCCTCCTATTGGAGGTATTAGGTAGAACTCATTACCACTTCCAAGCTTAACAACAGCAGTAATAACAGTTTATATAAGAAATAACAGTTTATATCCTTTTAATTCTTTTCCTTCATGGATCTTTCGCTCTTTTTGTAACATATGACACTAAAGTGGAATATTTCCACACAAACTTCGTTCTCATACTGAGTTTATAACCTTTCCGTAAGTAACTAATAAAAATATTTAAATTCACTTCTTTCAAGGTCGGTCAAAGTATCTTTTAACAATAACATATTGTATTTTAAATAGCTTCATTAATAATTAGAAGCAATAAATATTTCTATAACTTGTTTGTGAACCACGATCTCTTTGTTGATTCCTCTTTCAAAAATGTGTGCAGTTTCTCACCCTCGTCGAAGCTGAGTTTTTATCCCAGCGTTCGGTTTTGGATTAATCACAACTTGTATGAAAGGCGGAGCAGTTGTAAAGGATGACTGTTCCTCTCTCATGACAAGAGGGAACAGAGGGATGCTTTAAGTTTTTTAACGATCTTGAAAGCATCAAAAGTTTTATCAATTTGACCTCGCACGCGGTATGTGAGTCATAAGGTCAACACACCTGGTGACCATCTCTGCTGGCGTCACATTAGCGAGCAAAATATTCGACACGAAGGTGGTGAATGGATTATATAGGAAGTTTTAGGGTGAGAGCTGTTTTAAACCTAAACGTTTCTTTTTTCCCATAACAGCGCAAAGATATTTTTAAGAGGAACACCTTTCAACTACAATCCTAGGGATCTAATGTGCACATTTTTCACAGCGGGAATACTCCCGTGTTGAATTAACAATGTCAGCTACCTAAAAAACGCGAAAGGAAGTAACAAAACGCAAGAAGAACGTAAATCTTTCTCCTTTCCCCTCCGAAATTAAAAAAGCCTAAAGTGGTAGCACGGGGGGAAAGGGATTTCATCTCTGCGGGGGTCGGGGAGGTCTCTTGAGGTTGGAGGATGTCTTAGATTGTACAACAGGTTTACTGGTATTCCAACAAGATTTCTGGATCGCGAAGCCGTCTACAGAAATTGATAAAGTCTTGGACGGAATCTTCGTAAATTCTTTGCCTCCACTGTTATACCTTAGATAAAAACAAAAAACAAAATGATTAAGCTACGTTTTCGTGGTAACATGGTAAAATAGGATTCGATTTAGAGATTGATACGTAGTGCTGCCGTAACCGACTCGGTTTCAGTAGCGTGAACGAATAGGAGAATTACAACCCCTCTACACCATCCAAGGCAACACCAGAGCATTTTTTCAGGTTTAACTGACAATTTTTCAGTAGCTTTTCATACAACTCAGTGAGAAAGGCACCGCGAGAAGGCGTCTTACCCAGAGGCAAAATACAATAATTCGGCCTGGTTTCGAACCCGGATCTCTCGCGTCCAAGTCCAGCACGCTACCCATTAGGCCACCAGTACAAAGAGACGCAAATGTATGTCTTACTTACTTGTAAAGACTTTCAATCATTTTGTTTGTGATAACACGAGGTCCTATTCCAAAGATTTTGAACAGCTGTGAACAGAACGTCATTAAGGTAAGATTTCACCTCGAAACTACAACAATCCCCGAAAAATTAGTTCTTTACTTAGAGCGCTTTTACCTCCATTATGTATTTAGGAAGTTCCTTCTACTTTAAGATGCTTGTTACTCAAGAAAACAAAAAAAAGTCTCCTCTAAAGGCTTTAAAAGGATCAAACAAAGAACTAAGAGGACAAGACGTTACTTCGTTCTACACAACTTTCCCCCTCCGGAAATCAAAAAGCCTTTAGTAATACAAAAGGGGGGATATTTCATCTTTGCAGGAGTCGGGGAGGTCTGTTGAGGCTCGAGGACATCTTACAATGAAGCACAGGTTAACCAGGATCAACAAAGGAACGACTATTAACCTGATCGTTTTCAAGGTTGTGCACATACATCCCTCGGAACTTCAGACCGTCTTTGAATAAAATCATGAAGTGATGGCCATCAGATTCTGAAATAGCCTAAAAAAAAAAGACGCAAAAGGTATTAATTACTCCATCCATTACAAGGACCACAGTTTCTGGCAGTTTATCTGTCTATTTGAAAGAGTATTGAACTCGTAAAGAGAATTCAGCTTCTGAATATTTCTGGAGGTGAAAGGCATAATCCTTTGACACGTTAAAGTGACTAGCGTCTAATTCTTCTTACAATATCACCACTGAATCATACATTAAGGTCATGAGAATTAAGGAAATGATCACCAAGTAAGGAAACCCTTGATTGTTAAACAAATTCTCCTTGTCAGCACCTTAGGAAATGCATGGAGAACAGAATGGAGAATCTGCATACTGATGCTAGGGTGCAAAGGATTTAACAAACCCACAGAAGACAATAGTGTCACTTTATCGTCAAAAGGATAACATCTCTACAAACCTGTAAACATTTTTCCTTCTGATCTTGGTTCACTGTGCCTGACAAACACACGTGGGAGATGGCATTAACGATTATTTTTCTGTTCGACTTCCCGCTCGGTTTTACATAACACTGTGGACCTGACAAAAGACAAATTAACCACTATGTTCAGTCTGTATTCTCTAACAACTCCCAACACAATCAACAAGTTTAAAACGTACCACTAAATTCCGCAAAACCAGAAAGTTGCGACGGAGCTGGCGCTAAGTAAGTGGAGGTGTCATCATTGACATCATATACATGTTGGGGGCCTGGACGACGAAAAGTGGCGTACGAGTCTGGGATTCGAGCGGGCTGAGCCTGGGCCTCTCTAAGTCTCAGTTCCTGCTCGGCTTTTCGTCGTTCTGTTTCCTCTTGACGTAACCTCTCCTCTTCCATTCTCTGAAGCATTTCTTTCTCACGTTGTTTCTCTTCTCTCCTTTAAAATGGAAAAAAAGTATTAAGGCAATACCATCAGCCAATCAGATCAGAGTAAAATATCAGAATAGACAACCAAGACTCGACAGCCTAAAGCGCGGGAAAACAGGGGCGACCAAGTGACGGTTAATTTCAGCTTGGCATCTGATTGGTTCAGTAAAACCAGAGCAATCCCGGAATCCTTTTGGCACACAGTTGAATTTTGCTCCATTTGCTATTTGCTATTTGCCCTATTTTTTGAGTCATACTTGTTTGAAAGCCAAATAGACCAAGAGAGAGGTTGACATTTAAAATTCAGCGTGGAAATCATAAAAATTGAGTTAAAATTCATTTCTGATTTTTTTCTTGGTCTTTAAGAATTTTGTAACTCCATTTACCGCCTCTTTTTCTCTAATTCTGCCTCCTTTCGTGATTTCTCCTCTGCTTGCTTCTTTTGCCGAGCCTTCATGAACCTCTCTCGCTTCCGTTGTTGTTCTGGAGTCAATCCCTGTATTGATGAAGAAAACAAAGATATACAGATTGAAAAGGTCAAGTTTTCATGAGAGGATTGGTTCTTCTGCAATTTCCCGCCTAAGCTAACCTTCCTGTCCCAAATACTTTACCTGAGGCGCAAGATTGTCGTCATCGCTGATAAACATCGCCATTCCTTTCTTCTGCGGGGTGTGAATCTCAACCTCAATCTCTCCTGTACCTCCAAAGTTGTTCGATTCTTCTTTAGCGTCATTACTCTCGGATTCTGCGTCAGGATGCACCAATGGGGGCGGTGTAAGTACTGGCCCAACGTTCACATCCCAGCACTTTCGCGTAGGACTGGGGCGGGAAGCCGCTGGTTCGTGTGAAGCTGGACGTGTTGGTCCCGGCGTGGGCCTGAAACCGACTTCAACCGCTGGCTGGGATGACGGACGCGCTGTTCCCTGATTATCAACAGGTGGATAATCAGACAGACGAAATTCACGAGTCTCAAGCCCTGCATTGTTTGGAGGACTGGACTCCAGTGCAGTAGCAGGCAATGGAGAGTTTGCTGGGGACGACCAAGCGACGGGAGGCGAGGGTTGATTGGGAAACTCGGGCACAGACTTTCTCGGTGTTTCGTGGGAATGAGGCGTCGTGACCGGAACCATCTCCGGACGCTTTACCTAAAAGTTTAAAAAGCATTTACGATGAAGAGAATTCTCCTGATCTAGGAATCTAAAGGAGCGTAAGCTTGGTTTGTGCGCTTGTATTCTTCATTACTATTCAAACAATCAAATCTAACCAAATTAACGGTTGTAAAACTTTACCAAATGTCGGCTGCGCAGAACACGATGATTTCCAAATTACTCACTCACCTCAGTCCCTTCTCCGACGCCCGGACCTCCTTGTGCCTTTCCAATAACATACCAAAAGGCAGTCTGTCCCAGTCTTCGTCGCTGGTCTTCCCACTCGGCCTGGGCTCGATGTTTCTCTGCCTCGATGTGACGCCGTTTTTCCTCCAATTGCATGCGCAGATAGGCGATCTGTGATGTAACAGCTTGTTCATTTTCGGCTTCGTCCTGTTCCGGCTCTTCAATCTCACCTAAGAGCAAAACATTGATTAAAATCATCTTTGAGTGCTTAGCACTCCTTCAAGAGGTGATGAGGGGAGACAATCACCCATTGCAGGAAACCCCCATCCCCACCACTAGGATTTCATTAAATTTCCTACTGGGGGGGGGGGGGAAGATTTACTATAACAGTAATGCATCTTGCCCAAGAACACAACACAATGACCTAGCCATGTATTGAACCCAGACCTCTTCGTCTGGAGTTCAGCACGCTAGACATCAGGCCAGCGCCTCCCGTGACGAAGAGTGACCCTGGTGAATATTCCAAGGAGCGCCACACGGCTGAGAGACTTCTTCATGTAACTCGAGCATCATTTTCACGCCAAAAAGTCAAAACGTTATATTAAACTGTTAAGTTACGCGACTCTTACTGGCTGGTTCTGAACAGAAAACAAGAAGAAAATAACATGACTTTTTACCATTACATTTGCAAACAGCCCTGAGTCTGCAAAATCATGACTACAAGAGACTCCTTTCGCTAACAACAATTTGCTGTAGTCATTAAAAAACAAAGCCTTTGGTTTAACCTTTAATGAGTTATCAAAGGTTTGAACCTGATCACTAATGGAACTATCAGGTTCTACTTTCCATTTCAAACAAACCTTGAAAATCATCAGGTAAGTCAGTTACTTGATCAAGAACATCCGCAGGTGACATCCCACAATCCCCTTCAGCATCCATTAGACTCTCAATCTTGTCCAGAACGCTTCCACTTGCGCGCCAAGTGGCACGTTCTCGTGAGGGTGTGCTTGTAGATACAGGTTTAAGCCCCTTTGCAGTAACCTCATCTGACGACGACGAAGTATCGTTAGATTTATCTTCAATCCCTTGCGCTTTCCCGTCAGAGTTTTTCACGTTAGATTCATCATTACTGACATTCACTTCTTCAACTTCATTGTCCACAATCTGAAATTTGGACGTATTTTGACCCTGCTGACCGCTTGAGGAGTAAAACTCAACCACAAACGCGTCAGAATTAGTTCGCAGTGACGCAGTTTTCTTTGATATTTGTCGTTTAGGCTTCGGAGGCGACTTCTTTTTCACAGAGTTGTTAATCACCGTTTCTTCTGAAATTTCTCTCGATTTATTCTCATTGTTATCTATACTTTCGATCTTTTCACTTATTTGCATTTTCATCTCACAGTTGTTTGAGACTTTTTTCAAAGCCTCGATTATAGGTACACCCCGTGAAACTTCACGTTCTACCGAGCCGCTCACGTGATCAAGTGTGAACGTTCGACGGTTTTCGTTGATCGTCGTGTCTTCGGTGAGAACAATTTTGTCGCTTGGTGCAGGACCCACGAGTTTTGCCAAATCTAGTTCTTCGTTCGAGCTATCAAGAATGAGCGTGTTGCTTCGGTTACGCGGCGAATCCACACTTTGTGACGAAATATCGTAGTCGGAAAGTGACGAGATAAATCCGGAATCGACCGATCGCGGTCGGACGTCACTCGAAGATGAAAGCTGTTCGACAGGTTTTTCAGATGCAATACTGTCTAAAAGGTCCGCTAAAGAAGTACCAGTTTGAAATGCCAGTTGCACAGCAGAAGCTATATCATTTAACGAATGAGCTTTTCGCATGGGTGAGGAGTTAGGTGGTCCTTGAGTGGAAGGGTGTGATGACTGCTGACCAGCTGTTTTATTACCGCGATCAATAACTTCCGAATGGCGTTTTCTCTTTCGGTTTTCTTTCCCAAGAGAGAAAACCTTCACATCCTCGCCCAGCGCAGTTCTTGAAAATTCCACCAAATCCTTGGCAAGTTGATCCAGGGCTTGTATGACAGGAATCCCAGCTTTCGTCTTGTCTGAAAGCGTCTTTGACACGTCCCCAAGGGAATGAGTGTTCCTCTCCGACGACTTTTTCTCGGTCTCATCGTGAATGAGTTCCGAATCGGATTTGGAATTCAGTCGCATTAGATTAGTTCTGTAAGTTGTATTTGCTTTGGCCACAGGTGTCACACTTTTTAGAGCTTCTACAACTGGGATCCCTGCCGCTGTGGCGTCGTCAACAGTCCGCGAGACGATGTCTAACGAATACGTACGGCGATCAGATTCTTTACCTTCATTAGGAGTCTTCGGCAAGGTTCGAGAGGATTCGTCAATAGTTGGGGTTTCCCGAGAACTCTCTGAACTTGTTTGCCCACGATCTCGAGCCATTTCTTTGGCATTCGCCTCCAACAAAAGCTCGCAAGCTGAAGTCAAGAAATCTAACTTCTGCACAACACCTAAGCCCTTTGCTTTACTGTCGCTGCTGTTTACTTTCTCAGGGGTGGCTTCATTTGTTTTCATATGTAAAGTCAGTGGCGATAACATCTGCCGCTGGCTGCCATCATACAAGCGTAACTTAGTTCCTTCACCAATTGTCTCAAGCGGACTGGCCAGCGCGTAGGTTTTTCTGTTAACTAGTTTTTCTTGCCTTCGATGGACGGCATCAGGCGTTCCTCGGAGAGAGACGCCATCTTTAGCATGTGTAAGCTGCCCTAAAGCGTCCACAACAGGGAGACCTCTCTGTTTTGCCTTCTCCAGTGAATGACTCACTTCATCCAAAGTGTAAGTCCCTCTGTTTTCACCGCCTCTCTCTGGGATCTTAAGTCTTAGTGGACTCGATGACTTTTCTTTTGACAAAGACTCTAGCGCTTCAATAACAGGCATCCCAGTGCTCTTAGCGCGCTCCAGCGACTTCGATACATCATCAAGGGTGTATGTGCCTCGCTTCTGAGCCCTATCCCCAGTCTCTTGAACTAGCTTGGCACTTTTAGTTATGTTTTGGAGAGCTTCAACCACAGGGATACCATTCTCAGAGGCATTCTGAAGTGAAAAGGAAATTTCATCCAGCGTATAAGTTCTTCTGTTTTGCTCAAACTGGCGAGTCTCTTGAAAAGATTGCCCTTGACGGCTCTTTGTTTTTGACAAGTGTTCCAGCGTTTCAACAACAGGGATCCCCACTTTGGTACCAACTTCGACAGAATTGGATACATCGTCGAGATCGTACGTGCCACGCTTTCCAGGTGTCTCGGAAGAACGTTCTTGATCAGATGACAACTGTCCCCCATCATTAGACGATTCATTCCGGTCAGTAAACGATCGCCTCCTGTCAGAATACGATCTTCTACGATCAGAAGCCGATGGGAAGGTCACAAAAGTCAAGCAATCCTCCAGTTGTTCCAGAGCATCCTCAAAACAGGCTTCGATCTCGTCCCGATCGTCATGTGGCTGTGCTTCCACATCGGGGTGTGCACTGAGACGGCAAAAATTGTCGCCCGCAGAAGCGTCACCATGAGCACGCGCAGGGGTCTTCCCCTCCTGGGTTAAGTTATTCAACGTGACGGAAACTGGAATTCCTTTCTCTACGGCCTCCTCGATCGCGTGAGATACTGAGTCTAATGAGTAAGTGCCTCGGTTTTGGGGTGGTTCAGTTTTCACTTTGTCTTCACATGAAGCATCAAGGTCAGAAGCAAGCCGATCTAACGCCTCAACTGCCGGAAGACCATTACGCTCGGCATCTTCTAGAGTCTGCGACACGCTGTCCAAAGTGAAGGTGCCACGATTTTGGTGAGTCACAGTATTGAGTTTTTCTTCCGAGTTTGCCTCAGTCGATGAAGTGGACTCGTCTTTAGACGCAAGCTGATCTAACACTTTCACTGTAGACACGCCCTTCTTCTCCTCGTCGTCTATGGTCTGTGACACAGTGTCAAGAGTGAACGTACCACGTTTTTGAACGGAATCGGCCAAAGCTGGTGAACTGTCAGCATCACTCCCGACAGGCGATTGCAATTCTTCGCGTTTAGCGAGCTGATTTAAAACTTCAATGACAGGTACACCTTGGTCAGTTCCCCTTTGTAACGACGATGAAACTGCGTCTAAACTGTATGTTGAACGTTTCTCGGAGGCTACAAGTTCCTCTTCTGACGTCAAAGTCTGCTTTGCGAGCGCATCGGTAGTACTGGGGCCTGGATGATATTCTTCATATTGGGTTGCCCGTCTCTCTTCTTGTTCTGTCGCACAATCTAATTCTTTCGCTACAGTTTCCAGAGTGAAAGTGCTTCTTTTTTGAGAAATTTCGTTTGACAAAGATGTCGTAGCAATGTCTAATTCCACTTGACTTAGTTCAGATTCCTTCTTAATCAAAGAGTCGTTGAGTACATTGACCACAGGTAGCCCACTCTCAGTGACATTAGCTTTAGATAAGGATACAGACTCTAGAGTGAAGGTACTGCGTTTTGTGCCACGCTCGCCTGACTCCACATTTCCTTTTTGTCTCGCTTCTTCCTTACTAGCAAGTTCGTCTAAAACCTTAACGATCGGTGTTCCCTGATCTGAGACTGAATCTAGAGTGAATGTGTTTCGTTTAAGCAGCTTCGGTAATTCAGAGCTATTGTTATCTTCCGAATCCTCTAGCGCACTAATTGGCTTGCACGGCTTCGAGTTCTGTTGACGTCTGAGGTTAGAACGCGTTCTCAGGGCCTTGAATGGTGATTGCATCAGAAAAGGTTCATCCTTAGCGCGTTTTGAACGCGGTTCATCTTCAAAGCTGACTTCAAAGGCTAAAGCTTTGTCCGTAACTGCCCCAATTTCTTTATTACCAGCAACCGGTGATTCTAAAACAATTTCCTCGTTTTTCGATTCGAAATTATCAGTTTTAAATCTCGACAACACACGAGGAGGCGGGCGACTTTTTGTCGCATTTTGGAATCCCACATCGAACGCGATGCTATTTTTTGGAGAGATCTGGGACATGTCAGATTCACGTTCTGTCTTCGACGATTCTTCGTTCGATTTTGGAGATTCACCTCCTAGGTCTGTTTTCACTTTTTCATTTTCTTCGTCTTCGCGCGCTCTAACGGCAGGTTTGGTAAAAGGTTTCTTCACCTGCTCTTTGCCCGGAATAACACCCAGTGTTTTCATTCCCGAGGCGGCTTTAAGCGCCGCTATTCTGTCACGAATACTCCCACCTGTCTGAGCGTCTGGCTCGAGACTAGACTCGCTGTGAAACATATTTCTTTCTTTTTCAAATATCTCAGTAAAGGAACTACATTCACCATCTAAACTAGTCGTTGTACCAGTATTCCTCAATAACGATCCTGCTTCAACTACAGGTGTGTCATCTTCGGGACCAAAACGAGCACTTGCTCTCAGCCTCAAATCCGCGGGCTCCTCTTTGGCTCCATTTTCTTGCAAATCCCATGGAGCTCCCTCAGTATTGCGCATGTGTTTAGGGCGGATAACCACTGTTGCTACGAAACACGATCGCTCATGAGATATTTCGCCAGCAGCAAGTTCTGTTGAAGCTTCTTTCTGCATGCAATCTGAAGAGACGACGAAAATTAAAAAAACCTTTATCATTCGAAAATAAATAAGAAAAAAAATAAATATATTTTGGAAGGACAAATTTCGACATAGATTGTTTGAAGCATTAGAGTCAGCCTTTGCATGTAAGAACTGATGTACATAACGCTATACTGGAAAAGAGATTTTCAAGTTCTTAGCCGCTTGGCATAAAGGTAGACTAAAAATTTCAATATTATCGTGATTTTGCTGCCCATTTTAGCGTTCGATACAAATAAAACTCTAATAATTTATTTTTCTTTTGTAAATTAATGTAACTTGCGGGAAACTACGGTGAAAATAACTTGGGTTGTTATTTGTAATCAATAGAAAAAGAAAACATTATGTGTATCATCTAGTAAATATTTGCAGAAACGTTTTTTTTCATTTTCACCTAAAGAACCGAAGTGAAGAGGTTATTTCGAAAAATTCTGCTCGAGAAATTCAGTTCATTTTCCGAAAAAAACAAAAAAAGTTGATAAATGAAACAAACTTTCAGCGTTTTCCCTTAATTAGGTAAACATATTAGTAATTATCTTCAAAATAATCATTTCACAACGCTTTTGGACCGCAAATAGTTCTTCTCTTTCTCACAAAACGGATTAACTTTAAGCCAAAAATATCCATCATGAGGACAAGATACAAAATCTATTCTAAACGAAATCGATAAATTGGAAAGCAATATAAAAGTGAGCATCTAACTCCAATATACATGCATGGTACTTATTATTTTCATATTTACAAAAGGGCGCCGAATAACCCTTGACGAGCGAAAAATGTACAAAATGTAAACTAGATGAAGATAATTTTGTCTCTCATAATACATTCATCAAACTTGGCTCAGTAAATAGAGGATAAAAGGCAGAATTAAACAAAAACAAACATCTCTCTCCCTTAGATATAGAGTATGGGCGAATATAACTCTATAACAGAAATATTATGAATATTGCATGAGTGCTTTCAATGAATTGATGATATTTTGTCAAGCACGGTTGAGTTCGATTTCACCAAAAAAATTACGTGACATTTCGGATATAAAACAATTAGAAACAATTAATAAAGTCAGAAAAAGCTTTCTAAAAACTAAGAGCCTCGTTACGATAAAAGTACACATCTCGATTCTGTGCTGACAAAGAATGTCGATGCAATGAAGAAAAACACCGCAGCTAGAAAGTTCCGTATTGAATCCAGTTTAATATTAACTGCTAACCTGCTACAACATATATTTAACACGAGATTGAAAGACGAAACGTTTTAGCGAATGTGAAGGTTAAAAGCCGGGATAAAAAAAAACACAAGGCTCCTGTACAAAGATATCAATAAACAAGAAATCTACCTTGAATACTTCTTCACCGAGCATTAGAACCGCTCAGTGTGGTACACTCAAAGGAACAAACAGCACCAGATTATAAACACGTTGGTTTCCGGTGGTATTCGACAGGTCCTGTGAAATAACTTCTTCGATCTTCCCCGCTTGCTCGCTTATTAATACGTGAACTTCTCGGTGGTGTTCCCTCTAAAGTTAGATCACAGAGATTGACGAGATAACGCAAATCAAACGCGGTCAGAGCCTCGCCAAGAAGTACTCTAGGAAGAAAAAACTGCGCGTGTCTGTCTGATGAACCAGTGATGTTCACAACACAACAGCCGTGTTAAATGACGAATTCACTATAAACGACTGGAAACTATTTCTGAAAGATGACGATCGAATCACACGCTAAGTCCTCTCTTTCTAGCAGATGACATCACCGCCGTTGAATTTATGAGCGACATTTCCTACACAACATCCAACAGTATGAGCGAAGCAACATTACAGCGCTTATGTAAAAAAACAAAACCACGATCCTTAAGTCTGTTTACAATTTCCCGATTTCTGTGTTTCCTTCGGTTCAGTCGTCACACTCCAGGCGAACCTTGGCAAATTTGAGAGATTATTCAGTCACGGACGGCGAAAAACAACACAAGATCCGATTAAAACACTCAGAAATAAATACACCACGCCACGACTTACAAGTTAATATATTCAGTTCTTACATGCAAATTACAGCACTAAGGGCGAGAATCGCAAGTATCAACAATTTTATTACCTCGCATATATTATTTATCAGTATGGTTAAAAGACTGTCGGAACACTCACCTTAAATTCACAGCGGCAGGAGAAATTTCTTCAAATCCAAAAGAGTCGGCTTCAGAGCGTCTTTGTCATACAGATGAAAAAGCCAGTGTAATGCTTATAGCATTACTCAGGCGTGTCTGATCGATGTCGTAAACTTCGCGCGTAAACACAGTCACACACGAGCACGAAAGGACAGTAACGCGCGGAAAAAAAATCACTGTTCGCCAACAAAATATTGACGGTAAACTGAGAAAGATACCACTAACATCCAAAAAAGATCAGTAGATCACAGAAGAACGGTCGAGTTAGCAGAAAATGCCACAACCTGGTATATAAAGCGATCGGTGGGTTCGAGTTGATTACGTCCAGGATTTCTTGCCAAGGAAAATTAATTTGTCTGCCACACCTCGATGGATATCAACACCGGCGGAAAAGGGTCAAAACTGCACAAAATCCCAGCCGGATTGCCGTATTTTACCTGACCTTGATTTCGCAGTCATTTCCTAGCGGCCCGAGCCAAACATCCGTTTCTCGACGTAAAATGTTCGCCGCAAAACAGAATTCATAAACATCTTTTCTGCCTGCTATTACCCTAAAGATCTGTCAATGTTGATAAGGGTTTAATTGCATGGTGTCTAAAAATTTCCCAAATGCCTTTTTAAAACTTCCAATCAAACTAAATATAGAAAAAAAATCACCGGATGTGAAAGCAAGCCATGTTCCTCCACAGGCTAAATTAGGTTTCAGGTGTGGGCGAGCAAAGGTCAAAACCACAGCGAAAAATCTGCTTGCTAAAGGGCATCATATTTCTATCGCCTGTGAGTTTGTAATGGTTATAAAGAGTTGTCAGTTTATTGTCAGCGAGAACTTGTCGTCACTTCCTTTACAAGAGCTCGCGAAGGGAGGAGGGAGATGGGTTGGTTCTTTCTATCCCCTTTCTCCCCACCCCCGCCCAGAGCGACTTACAATGCAACGTCCAGAACCAGCCAGGAGAAGGAAAAATAGATGACAATTCCCTGTACCATCCCCTCCCTTACCTTTGTCATTCAACATGACCTGCCCTCCTACACCACTCCGGGCGGCAGTCAGCCAACTGATTCTCGCTCCCGGGCTTCCACGGCCTGTATGTCTGGGGCTGCCACGCCTTCTGGGACTATCACTGTCATGACTTTTCGGGGTGGCCTGTGGAAAAAAAGACAAATATTTACTTATTTGGAATCACCTGTGCTGTTTACGCAGTTTCTGTCTTTCTAAATTTTTCTACAAATTACTTTTTCCTTACCGACATTTCTTTACTGGTATTCAACTGTTTGATCAGCCTCGCCCCAGCTTCCTGATCATCCGTCCAACTGATCCGGTGTGGATTATCACTTCCGGTTCCCTCTGGGCTATCCCGGATGTGTTTATTTACAGTGTGCTGTCCAGTGCCTTTGCGGTCGCTGTTTGTTGAAGAACGTAGTTCGTTATGCACTGGAGAATTCCTGGTACCAATACTAACATCCTCAACGATTTGACCGGTGGGCGTTTTCCTGAAGGTCCGAGACCGCAAAATGTTTGACGCACCAGGTGAGCGAACCGGCTCCTCTTCTCCCCCTCTGGGGGTGGCGTCAGTCTCACTCTCTCCTCCCCTGCTCGGAACGGATCCTCTAACGACAGCTGTCGTTGATTCTTGTTCAGGAGAGTGGTGTAATTCGACTTGATCACGACCCTGGTTACTTTCCTGTCTCTTGGTAGATTTGGCGAATGTTGAAAATGGATCAATTCCGTTTCCTCTCTGACCTTGGAAAGAGGCCATATTATTCTGCGCCAACGTACTATCTGCTGAAGCAGCCATAGGTTCCTTTCTGAAAGTTGAAAACCCGTCTGACCGCCGCACATCCCAGCTCTCTATACCTGTTCCAGAGACTCCATTTTCATCATTTGCTTTCTTTTCTGGCGAATAATTTTTCCTATACGTTGAAAATCCGTCAGACGTTCGAAGATCTTTCATATCAACACTTGTCCTTTCTTTGAAAACTTGGCCGCCATTTGTTTCACGACTAGAGGCTAATTCCTGTTCCAGAGGCCTGTGTAATTGTGCACCTCTAGGAGAGTTTCTACTGAATGTGGCAAAACGATCTTCTTGTGACCTTTTCAGAACCTGGTTACCCTGTATTGAATTGCAGCCATCACCAACACTTCCACGTTTGCCATTATTATAAGTTCTATAGTCTTGCGTAGCAGGATTAATTTCATAACTTTGCACAACACCTTGATCAAAATCAAACACAAACGCTTCCGCTTTCTTTGATCGGTTGACAGATGCAGAATGTGTTTGCGCACATTCGTTTTGGTTACCTTGTTCTTTGGAGTTTTCAGTTGGAACGTTTTCCTGAGTCCCGTGCGAGCTCGACAAAGAACGTTCGTAAATTACCACATCTCCTGGGCTGTCCAGTGCATGTAGATCACGAGATCGGAGAGCAGCCTCTTGTCGAGTGTCATCCCGTTTCCCGCGAGTTAAAGCGGGTACAGGTGAATGCACAGGCGAAGTCTCGAGTGAGTCCCGCCTCCCGTCTACGCCTTCGGGTGCGAATATCTCTCCCACTTCGTCTTCACGCGCGGACAACACGTACGGTCGAAATGCAGACAAATTCTGGCTCGCATTAGTACCTGTCTGGTTGAGTTTTCTACTTGGTAAAACGCCGTATAGTTCTGAATTTGAATTCACCCTGGGACGAGTTTCCTCAATGCTTGCGTTAATGACAGGGATACCAGCTGCTTTGGCCGTTTCCACAGGAATGTGACCAACTGTGTAGCTACCACGCGCGAGCTGTTCGAAGGACTTACTCCTGGATGAAAATTCCCGGTTTTTGTTTGCTGGCATTTCGTTAAATCTGGGCGTAGCACTAGGTTCAGGATTACCAGAAAAGTCATCGTCCTCATCGTCATCTGCGACTAAAGTGTTGTCTCTGTCCTTAAGACTGAATCGTTGCATCTTCCTGTCCAATGTATTCGCAGGGGAAGTTGTAAAAAACGCTGGCATGAACGGCGCAACGTCTAAAGGCGAGCACGGGCTGCTTGGGGCGGTGGAATTCGACGCCGAGTTTGGATTTGACGCGATAGACGGACACGGCTCTGTCGTCTCCGTTATCGGAGACAGCTGATCCGTTGGAACTTCCGTGGGTTCGTCAGGAACATCAAGGCGCGCGCGCTCCGTAGGATTCCTAGGACTGCTGGCCGCATTATTGCGGGCGAGCATTATAGGATCGTCATCGTCTTCCATCTCTATTACAGGTTCATCTGGGATCTCTCGTAACTTATCCTGTGTGAGCCGCTGCATTACTTCCAGTCTAAACTTATTCATGTCCTCGCTACTGACACTCGTGTTAAGTTCGTCGTCGTCGTCTTGAGATTCGGACGCATTCGGAAGTTTGCTCGGTTTTCCGAACCTGCGAGGAGTCTCAACACTTCTTCCCGCCAGAATCATGGCCTCGATCTCCTCAAACTGTTTCAGTTCTTTAGTTGAGATGTCGCTCATGCAGCTGTCACGCACACTTGTGTGACTAACACCTGAGGACCAAGAAGACAATGTTCTGTTTTGGCTTTTTTCGCGGAATTTTACGGTTTCTAAGATTATCGAAAGTGTGTTTTAGATTTTTAACACTTAGCAGTCATATGATAAATTGCTTATTGACTGGGTGGGAGGACCGGAAGGGAAATATTTGGCTCTCGGTCATGACATATTTCCCGTGCTACCCTTCCATACAGTCAACAAGGACAGAGCCATATCGGGGAGTTTAAGAATTTATTCATGTGACTCCTTCTACCTGAAGGCAAAGAATTCTGTCTTTCTGTCGGCTGGTCTCCAAATGGTTTCATATTCAGACTGTCGGTTGACTTGGGATTGGACAACAGGCTGTCTTGTGATGTGTGTTCTTCACGGGTAGCTTTTGAGGACATCATTGGCACATGGGTCCCACGGGTATCCCTCTGGAGGGCACCACCTTCTGTACTCCTCTGAGGAACACTGTTTGTTAGGTTTGGTCTGATAAAAGAAAATTGGATTTGAGATACATGTTAGCTGGGTGAAATAAGAGACTTGGGGCTATAAAAAGCAATCAACTGTGTTCTCGGCGATCAATCGCACAAATTCAAACCACTGCATTTGTTTGAATGATCGCAGTGACAAAACTTTTCCTGAAAATTTCCCATGTCGCAGGAGGTGGGCTTTACGGCAATTTGCCATGCGATGTGCAAAAGTGATTTGTCACTTTGTGTGTCCTGGCCTAAACTAAGAGCTACAGACCAGCTCCCTGTCCTCAAGGGCAGAGTAGCAATGCATTTGGGAAATGCTTGAAAGTGTTCCCCAATCTCTTCGCTTTAGTAAATATAGGTTCTTAACTCATTAAACCCTGACATCAATATGCATATCCTCCATACTGTAAACTATACATGCCTTAATATGTTGATGAGGAGAATTTAATTGGCAATCAAGTACTTCTTTAGTTGGTGATCATATCCTTAATTCTCATGACCTAGATGTGTGATTCAGGGGTGATATGGTGAGGAGAAATTAGATGCTAGTCACTCTTAGGGGTTCAAGGGTCAGCCCTCAAGAGACACTGCACTGCTGTAGCCTATTGGCATAAAACCCTAACAATTTAACAGCACACTGTCACCACTCTAGTGTGGAAGCACAACACAGTGACCCCAATGCATGGTCAAATCCAAACACAGCGCAGTCAACCCATTTACTCCCAGATCCAGAGACATTACAGTGACACCAGTCAATGCTAGAATCCAGATGAAGCAGAGTCACCCCAACCTCACATGATTATGTTTCTCGTGATTTGTAAAATGCACTCAGACACTAAAACTTACCTGAAGTCAAGTGAT